TAATAAATAGTTAATAAAAAAGCTAGATATTATAATAATAAAAATAATAAAAAGTATATAGTACCTAAAGAGGTACTATAAGGCTTAGTTAATAAAAAGTATTAAAAAGTATTATAAGTAAATAAAGTGTCCTTATTATAAAGTAAGTAGTCCCCTACTAAGTAAAGTAATATAAGACTTATACTTTAGGCTAAGAGACTAAACTACACTAAGGGGGTAGTAGTTAGGGCCTAGCTAGAATATAATAATATAAAAGTAAGGCTAAAGGTAAATAGTTAGCTAAAGAGATAACTACCTATCTAGTAGCCTACTAGGCCTAGTAAGCGTTTCTAGATATCTCTTAAGATACTAGAAGATAAGCGTAAGGCGTAAGGCTTAGCTATTAGACAGTCTAAGTAGCTAATAAGGGGACTACTAGCAGGTAGCTAGCTTAAGGCCCTAAGAGATTAGGAGTTAGGCGTAAGGCTTAGCTATTAAACAGTCTAAGTAGCTAATAGGGGGGGCTACTAGTAAATAGCCTGCTTAAGGTCCTAAGGGCAGGACCTTAGAGGGGGGGGATTATGTTAGGTGCTTAGAGCAGGGCCCTAGGGGGGCACTAGAGTAGGACTAAGACTAGATAAACTAGTCACTAAAGGAATAACAAAAAGGGAAAACTCTATAGAAGATAGGGGTTAGAGGAGGTATATTAGAATAATTGTTATAATTAAACCCTAACTACGCCTGTTGCTGACTCCTTTACTTGATACTATCCCCGCCTCTGACAGAACTCCTCTCCGTCCGGCACCAGGCTCAATGCCTTGTAGAATAGACGAGCGCGCTGTGCCTAATTCATTTGTGGAGGTCGATAAGGCTTCCAAGTCTGGAGATACCATTTATAAGGTAAAAAGAAAAGGAGATAGAATAGAATCTCAATAGCAGCAACCACTTCGACTACGATAGAGAATGGGTGAGAAATGGCCTCAACGCCGCCAAGTGCAAACATGGCATAAAAATATGTGAAACCTAGGAAGCCTAGGTCCCTCATCATGACGATGAGGACGCGTACTGCAATGTATTGTGGCCATGTTTTCTGGACGATTATCGTATGGAAACTCAAATAGTACCGCCGCTCTCTTCTTTACCACCTTCGAATATCAGCGAGAAGGCTCGGGTGCAATACTCACCAAAGCTTCTCCTGCGAATGTTTCGTTCTCGGTCTTCGAGTGCTGTAGAATACCGATTTCGAAATGTTTTAGATCAACAATCGTAAGCTAGGTAGTTGAATTGCGCGGGTATTAAGTTATATTACATTGCTAACCATATGCGTCAGGGTACGCTAATTCGTGTTCGCTGGTTAGTTAAGAGTGCATGAATTCCCCTCGGCCCCGAAGGCCCTGAACCCAGTCGAACTTCTGTGACGTATTATAGAGATGAATGAGACGAACGTAACATTGATGCAGTTAGGGGTGGGGCAAAAAGAAGAAAAGTATGAAAGCCCTCGTATCCGGGAAGTGAAGAGCAGGAACGTTTCTTTTAACTTGACGTCGTGATGGAAACAGTTTATAACAGTCGTAGATCACTCGCATAAGGATTCTTACCACGTTGGTTTCAAATTTGTTTTCCACACATGGGGCGGGCATTCAGCAAGATCAAGTCCATTGACATGTTTGCTGTGCGTTTTTCTGCAATCTGAGGAGACCGTCTCATGTCCGTGGCCAATAGGCTGTACTTTTACTGGCTTATCGGCTTCTGTACAGTGACATGTAATAAGTCTGAGTTCACCTATACAAGGTGGCACATTGTGTGGTGAGCCCAGACTTATTACATGTCACTGTAGTGGAGGGTTTCCCAGCTCACCCAATTCTTCTGGCAAGCTGGAGAGCTGCATCCTACTAGCGATGCACATTACTCAAAACCAACTATGTCAGACCTCTCGCGAGATGTGTGGGCTTCCGGGCATTTCTATGGCTAATCTTCCGTTCGCTCAATCGATATACTCCTCCGACTGGGCTAAACCATCTGATAATTCATATAGTCACCGGTGAGGGTGTGGCACATCCCTGTGCTGTCAAAGCGAACGCAAGGCCGAAGGCCGCATTATTTCTAGGATCTAGGGGTCTGAAATCGTGTTCGCTCACCGTGTTCGCTCACCATGCTCGCTTTCGGCGACGTTTCCTCTTAGTGTTGCGTCATCGCTCAATGAACTAGCATGACCACTTAATAACTCTGCTATTCAGCCGTAGCATGTGAATGTGAGGAACTTTCTATCGGCGCCTCACTTTACATTCTTTTGGTCCAGAATTTGCTCGAATGTGATTTAGTAAATTACGGGGTTCTAAAATTATATCTTGAATCCATAGTTTCGATCGTTCGTGGATCCAACTTGCTTTTTCAAGTCAGATGAATGCTCCAAGACTAGCTAGATAACTAGGTCTAGTTAGTCAAAAAATGCCAATGTACTATTGCAAGATGTCCACTTTGGCGTTATGAGTGTGAAAACTTTCTTATGTTTTTATCATTCTCATTTTGCTAGAGTTAATCGTTCTAGATCCCCATAGGTCTAACCCAGTTCACCCGGTACAGGAATATCATAAACATATCACCCGATACGTAGGACCTCTGGCTTGTAACATCTCATTATCTCTCAAAACGGTACAAAATACCCGGAGTAACTGCGCAATCAGATTTGACTTGAACCTTGGCCGGCGATGATGATACTGTTGAACCTACCACCAAGGCTGCGATAGCATCGCAGGACTGTCGCCTGGTAATGCTGTTCGTTGGCGAATTGGCGACTGAGGTGGAAGTCGTCGCCGGCAGAAGCTCTAAAAATACGAGATGAGGCCACAGGCCGTCGGAGACCATATTAGACTATCCCCGAGGTCAATTTAGGAGAGGCAAGCATAAGGGAAGCGGAAAATATGTCATTTCACTACCTCATAGAGTCGCTTGAGAGGTGAAATTTGCCCTGAAGTGAAGAGAACTCGCATCACTTGACACTATTATAGCAATCGTCAGATGAGAAAGTCTCGGTATAGCTTCGGTAGACTTTCTTCACAAGCTAGGGCACATAGCAGATGGGAATCATACTGAAGTTGAAGAGAAGCTTGGTTGTAGGAAAAGCGTTCCTACAAGTGAGGGCCCATAGGGATACGAATCCCAAGGTCGGTTAGGAGACATCGCACATGACGTGGCTGATACCATCAGCCACACCGACATGAGCCTCCTGTGATAGCTTTTTAGGATGCTTTTGGAAAATACATTTGAATTGTTGGTTCTAGCAATGTTGCTTTGTCAAAGAATATAGGAAACTAAGAAAGACGCTTGAATCAGGAGACTGGGCAGTCGATGGCGCTGCGGTGGCGTGTCTCTGGGTTAGTCTTTGATACTTAGCATATTCGATATTGTTTACGAACTTCTGATCATGCGTGTCGGCAGTGATACCGGCAAGCTGTTTTTCCATTGACTCTGCACCTGACGAAGACGTTCGGGACGAGTTGTTGCGAGGTGGCGCCGCAGTCAAGGTTATAGGTCTTGCCACCAGCACCGACAATATTAATGTCGAGGCCGACGCTGACATACCGATTAACGATTCCTTGAGCGGTAAAGTAGCTTCTGAGTAGTCAGTCGTTATAGTCTATGGTAAAGGGGGTGCTGCGGATGCATCGATAACCGGGCACCGGAGCAGAGCTTATCTAGGACATGTAGTGCTTACCATCCGTAGACAGTCTAGCGGCGGCTCCCAGGAGCAGAAGCAGCTTGAGCGCCAGCAGCAAGGAGGGCCGTAATAGCAAAGGTGACGGCGTACATCTTTAGATACAGAAAGACACGTTTAGGGCACTAACTTGTATATATTATTAACTTACAGAGAAGCAAGTAAACAGTTTGTCAACATAGGGTCTTAGGACTTTAGTTATATGTCGTAGTCTATTTTACTATACTCACCTACCTGCTGCCACTGTCCCCGTTCCATTATCTGTTTATCCTTTCCTATAGAGTCGCTAGAGTTACTAGTAACTCCTTTGACTCTCTCTTAATTAGTCTAGTATTACGTAACTTGTTCATAGATATTCCGTTCTAAGTGAGACCTTACTGTTTCTGTGCCTCTTGCATACATATTCCGTGATTCCAGCCGTCAGAGGCCCATAGGACGTCCCTAGTCCTGCCACATCATACGGATCGTAACAGATCCCTGGACCCTAAAAGGATGGCTAGTTAGCCCTGGGGGGCTAAGAGAGTTGTGGTCTCCTTAGCTAACAGGTCTGCCTCTTCATTGCCTTTTATACCCTGGTGTCCTGGAGCCCAGTGGGTATATGTATCATGTATAGCGGCTGCGGCCTCAATCTCGAGAAAGGCTGCCTGTGAGCAAACTGGAGTATTGCCCCGAATCCCCTGGATCACGCTAGTGTTGTTGATAGAGATGTGAACTTGAGGATGATGAGCACCGAAGCCACAATACTACACGGCACGCGTACGCCGAAGAGTTCCTGGCTGCCGAACGAAGCCGTCCCGAAGGTCGTCGCGTTGCTGGCTCATGGGAAGAAGTGAAGAGACAAGAAGCCTGCGGCTACCAGGTTCTGGGATGCCACTGGATCTACACTTACAAGTTAGATAAACACGGTCGCCTTATGATCCGCGGAGATCAGCAAGCAAAGGATGAAAGAGATACGTACGCAGTCACACTGGCAGGATCTCGCTCAGAGTATTGATGCCAATTGTTGCGAGATTCGATCTTGAGCTCCTGCAGTACGACGCCGTCAACGCGTTTGTTCACATCCCGCTTGATTAACTGGTGTTAAATATGCAGTTGCCGCTAGCCACAGAGCTAATTGGAGGTCTTCAGGAACGATACCATCTGGAAGGTGGGAAAGACCTCCACTGATTATCAACCTGTCAGTGATCCGTAAACGCGCCCTTTCCGAAAACCCCTTCTGCAGCTTTAGGTTGCGCATTCTGAGCCCTCTTCAAGTCGGACATCACCCAAGAAAGACCATGCCCTTTACACCAGGTCTCATAAAGTCATGCCTATAGCCGAGGTTTTTCTCCTCCATTTCGACGATGTGGTAAGTGGTCAATCATGTGAACTCTGAGATCTGGTACACACGGCCGTTCCGCTCCAGGGCGTGGGGAGCATCATCCGATCGCAAGAGTCCAATCTCAGCAACATGCTCGCTTTCCATGCGGCCGACGTCGGCCTCGTCAATAGTGAAAGCATTCGCTGAGATAGGGTTATTCAAGCCACCATCGACGCCAACTTGGCACTGCCCAGCCAGCCACCGCTCACTGTTGCCATGGTAGCATTCATTGCGGACGTATTCGACGGCTATGGACGCTTCCGAGACCAAGAGACCCTGGTCAATAAAGAAGAGGGCGTCACCGACACACAGCTGCTCCTACGGATATTGGGCTACCAGTACGACAGGGAAGGAGGTACGAAAGAGGTGCACGACGATGCTGTCGAAGCAGATGAGCTTCGTTTCAGACGTACGCCGGACGCTATTTCTACCCAGTCCACTGAGGCCGGTCTGCCCATCGTAGCCCCGGCAACAGAGGGACCGTACAGTCCTTCGAATGGATAACTTCCAAAGTTTCAAAAAAGAAAAAGAAAATGGCTTGGGAGGCGAGGCTCAACGGCGTGAATGTTGTCGTGAGAGAGCTCATTGCTTTGGCATGCTGGGAACTGTGGCTTTCTCGGCAGCGGAGAAAGCACAACAGCTCTGGGCCGTCTTCTCGATACGCACGCAGATCCAACCGCAGAAACAACAGCAAGATGAGTACAAGCACCAGCTCAGGACCCATGTAAGTCGCCGGTGATAACTAAGTTCATTAGGTTTTCACAAAGGAGAAGCCAAGCAACTCTTTCCCTCCTCTTTTCTTCTCGGGAGGATCTTGGTGCGCTGTCTTCAAGAACCAATGTATAATGGCGTCGAACTTGGTCAATAACTAGGCTCTGCCGCATTATTATTGCGGGATCTTAACCGCACTTGGCTTCATATGGGGAAGTTCGTGGCCCCTTTGCCAACCATTGAACGTAAGGGCCATTGTAACTGAAGCCATATCCTGATCTTGGCATTGCCCCATTCTCTAGTCTCACGAACCTGCCGGGACCTACTTGCGAAGGAACGACTGTTAAACACTGAGCCGAGAACTTGGAAATTAATCGATTATCCGTATTATTGAGGCTGCATGTGGCATGAGGGCATTGGTTTTTCGCTATCGAAAGACCTTCATACGCGGTGACAAGCTTAGAAGCTGCCCCTTTTCTGCACTAGACACGTTTGTTTCGCAAACCTTCCGATAGTTCAATAGTTAATAATACGCAGACAGATAATCACTCCCCAAGACACAATAGGGGATCAATATCCTCTGACTCAAACTCATGACGGACCTCGACATACTCCTCCTCGCCCTCCCCCACCTCGTCATCTGGGTCAACCATACAAAACAGTACATACATGACCTTGCCGCCGTCATCACAGTTGCCGTCAGCGACGTACACAATCTCGCCGATGACGTCTTTCCACCATTTGTCTGTGACTAGGGAAACCTCGATTCGCGTCCTTTGCCCCGACTCGGCCTTTGTTTCGTCGGGATCGCCGCCGTCGTCGGCCGTCGTATGGGCGTAGATTTTGACGTGTTTGTATCTGCCCTTGTCTCTGACTGTAAGCACCTTGAACGGGACGTGCACGCCTCCGACGTGCAGATCTATGGCGTCCGCAAGCTTCTCGGTCTCGGGCCTAGGGTCTGCTGCAGCGGCGATCTTCCGGAGGGGCGTGCGCGCTTGTCTGCGGTCGGGCTCGGCCCGGGCTCTCGAGAGCTTGGCTTTGACATGCTTGACACCGGAGACGATTGTTGATAGGAAGATCATGGATTCGAAGAGGCCTTTTTATACTGTAGGAGGGCGTTATATGAACTATCTTTGATGAAAACATTGTCGTTGGTTTGTCTTTTTAGACAATACGTCCGAGAAAAGTGATATTTATGAATAATGCGGAAAGTATCCCGAAGTACAGCTAGGCTTTTGGATATTATCGTCAAAGACTCCCAAGGGACAGTCGGAGCTTGATGAAAGCTTAAGTGCTCAAGATCAGCAGTTTCTTACGGTTAGATCAGAGTAACAAGAGATGGGTTTTTGGTAGGGACTACAGGGTACCAACTCGGTAAACTTTAAAGTCCAGAACCAGAAGCAAGATGGCTTTCATAGGAAGAAACGAGAAAATCTGGACCTATGCTATACTTCAAGTCTGGCAAGGTTTGAGAATGTAGGACTCACTTCGTCAAGGAGCAATATCCGCCAGTCCTCTTCAACAGGAAGCACTTCGTCCCCGAGATCCGGGTCAGCAATCAACCGATGATTCGTTTTGTGAAAACGAAACCACCCCATACATACCTTTGTCTGGCGGTTCTTGCCGCCTCCCAAGAACGTGCACGTCCAGACACCCTGTCGGTCCTCGAGGAGGGCCTGTTTGATGAACTCGATGGACTCGGGGGGCAGCTCGCGGTCTCCCGGCCATTGCAGCTGCTCGACCGTCGTCTGGGCGACGGAATCGGCAATGACCATCGTGGAGAGAGCTAGAGTGACGGCGGGGAGGAAGGCCTTGAAGAAGTGCATTTTGATGTAATGAAGTGCAGAGCTCTTGGCCGATCGACTTAGAGTGAGACACTGTACAGACCCACTGTCATTTACATTGCCTATCAAAACTGGCGGTAAGCTTCAACGACGAACTGTTGATTGGTTATGGGGAGGGGGGGGGGGGGGGTAAGATAATGACTTAACGTATGGATTCTCAACCCCGAGAACAACTGAACTAGGGGTATCTCAAGGGAGAAGGCACGCGTCCAAAAGGAAGGATGCCCTGATACGAACTGTCCCTCTAACGGTAGCGTTATCTGCATACCAGAAGGTCCTGTGGTATAACCGTGTACGATGGCTCTGACCCGACACCCCGTTCTGAAAACGGAAGCAAGACCAGAACTGGACTGACAGTGAGCCTAGTGGGAAGCCAAATAGTCCAAACCGAGAAGTACGGGAGGATAAGGCAGTACCTCTCTCGAGGTCACACCGGTACACAAGATAGTCTAACACAGTCAGATAAACACAGTATAAGGATTATACCGAATACTCAACGTAATCAAATAAAGGTTTCTAGGTAGAAAAACAATGCCATGGGGCCTCGTAAGCAAACCTCTCTATTAACTAAAGCTGCCAGAGCTTTCAGAAATGATTTCCCCATTATTATACCTAATGCTTGTTGGTGTTAATGTCTTGCCATCTGTTTTACACCTCAACACATGATAACAAAGTACAAGACATTGAGCTAGGAGGTGGGGGCAGGCGTTCCAATCGTCGTCCCCCGCAGGACGTTCCGGGGAGGAGAAGTCGTGCGTTAAAGGCTGTAGGCCGCAACAACCGGCCCCCGCCCGTCCGCCTTTTAATCCCGCTAGGAAAGGTGTCTGCCGATCGCTTAGAACAACCTCCGAACCCTTGCCTCCGGCAGCCGGCAGCCGGCAGCGGCAACGAACGGGAGAAGGTAAACCTGCGGCGCTAGGAGCGCGGCCCGCGCGTCTTCGCGTCCACACTGACCAAGACTCGCTCGGATGCTTCTTGGCATCCCGTTGACGTCGCACATGACAGCTCGCTTGCGCAGGCTGCAGGGCTAGGCAGACATGCACAGTTCAGCCGCGAGCATGTTGGAGGGCTCTGTTGCCTCGAACGCGCAGAAGAGGGCGGGGACCAGCCCGTTATGGAGAGCGATTTAACGTGGCGCCTTCGCCGGGGGGGAAAGTTTGCTCGCAGTCGTCATTTTGTGCGCGTCCGAAGAGAGTCACAACGTCTAACTGACGACACGTTGAGCCGCCCAGATCATAATCTGACGCAACGAACAATAATGCATTTCGAAACGCGCGGGACGAGTGCTCGCCGCCCACCACGCCATAGAAGCATATGTCTCTGACAGGACTCGGATCTGACTCGGACAGCTCGCAATCCATGCCATGAAGTCCATGACATGTCTTTGACGCACACATGTCGTTGCGGGATTGCGTCCGAGGCACCAACGGACGCACAGCCGGGCGACCTCGTTCAGGCAAAAGCGCGAGAAATGTGAAGCCGAAGGCTAGTTGGCCCAGCCGCTCTATCCGTCAAGAGTGATTTAACCTTCGTCCAACACAGGAGCGGGAACCGCTGGGTCATAGGTCGTCATGAGGGGCCGACCGTACACCCAGCTGGAGGAGCTCATGCACATCCGCACGCGCAGCTTGTCGAGTTTAAATGGAATGCACCTCGAGGAGCGGGGGCGATAGCTACCCAGTGTTCTCTGCACATGGACCCTTGGTTCACCTCTCTGACACGCGTCTGGAAGCCGATCCTCATCAACAAAAGATTGGCTTCCCCTTCCGACCTTCCAACCGAAATGCGTGCTCCGGTATGCTCCAGTTCGCATCAGCAATGATCGCCGGGTCCTAAGCCGGTAGAGCTCCCGTTGGAATTGCCAGGAAGCTTCCTAGGCCGTCATACCACAGTACCAGGGATCAGTGCTGAATCATTAATGGCATTGTGGCGCAAGGGATAGAGTTTCCTGTCGCTGTAACTTTCGGGGGCGGGGAGAAGGTAATGGTAATTATGGCATGTCCGGCAGAGTCAAAAACCTCATCGAGCGAGGGCGGAGAAGAAGTGCACGACCGGCGGGCGACGACTGATATTTTCCGACAGCTTGGTGATGATCGGCGTAGAAGTTTGAAACACCAGCGGGCCGCTGCCTCTGTGCCCATTGGCGTTGTTCGTATGTATCATGATGCGTCTACCGTACGAATAATCATCCTCACACAGTACTACACACCGCGAACTTCTCACTCTCAGTCGTTCCTTGGGCCTCCTGGCTTCCGGGGCAAATCCATCCCCCGCTGCGCCCCGAAAGGATGCGGGGGATTCTCCCGTTTGCCATGCCTGCAGAGACGAGGATCCAGTTCAGGGAGCAGCCTTGTTGTGCTTCACCCACGACTCGACAGAAAGCTGGACCGCAGCACTGACCGTTGCCTCTCTTGGCTGATGTTTGGTGGCTGTGCGTTCCGCTTTCCGGTTTCGCATTGATTTCAGATCCCACCATCTCCCTACCTACTGTACATCTGCCCCCCTTAACCCTCATTCTTTTATCAAAATGGCCAGGAAGCCGCATCTTTTCTCGCCCTACCAGCAGATCACGACCGACCAACAACAGTCGACGGCTATTCTTACCATGCCCGACGTCGAGATGGCCGGGACTCGCGAACGAAGAGACGAAGAGGACGACATCACCGAATACCGTCCCTTGAACTGGAAGAAGATCTTCCTGACGCCCAAGTATATTCGTACGCGCGACCCCTCCAAACATTGTACAGAATCGTATAAGCTGACCGAGAACATCGTAGCCTTGCATCTGTTGGGTATCGGCATCCTCGTGGCCACTATCCTTATCAGTCTTCATCATGACGAAGTTGTCGCGGTCAGCCCCCCCTTCCAAGTTGTTGGCGGAATCCATGTGCTGACGTTGCGCGACTATAGACATTGAGGCCATTTTCCGAAAAGGTTCGATCATTACCGGGAGGCTTCCTGATCCCGATCCTCATCTTGGTCCTGATTTCGTTTCCGCCTCTTTTCGGCCACGAGATCGTGGCGCTTCTGTGCGGTGTGGTGTACGGTCTGTGGATCGGCTTCGCCATCGTTGCCGCCGGTACCTTTATCGGAGAGAGTACAAAGCCTTCATTTCTTGCAGATGACAACTATGCTGACTCGAGACACAGTCGGAACGTGGTTTGCGTTCAAGTACACGCTGCGACGGAAGGCCCATAAGCTGGAGAGGACAAATCTCAACTACGGCTCTTTGGCGCGGTTGACCCGTGACGGAGGTTTCTTGGTACGGTGTTTTTCTCTCTGCTCTTTGGAGCTGCCAGCAGTGGCAGGACGAAGCGGTCGCTAACCTTGCGCAGATTGTGTTTATCATTCGGCTTTCCGTCATCCCGTCGCATTTTTCGACTGCCGTGTTCTCGACGTGCGATGTCAAGTTCTGGTACTTTGCGGTGTCGACGTTTTTGACACTGCCGAAACAGATCATTCTGGTGTACCTTGGTGTCCTCCTTGTTGCGAAGCAGGAGAACAGTACAATCAAGACTGTCGTCTTCGTCGCCACGGGCGTCTTGACCGTCGCCCTAGCGGTGTACATATACATCAAGATGCGGAGCATCAAGAAGATTTTGCTGCGGGAGCAAAGCGAGAGAAAGGCGCAGCGAGAGTTGTTGGAGCAACAGAAGGCGGAGCTGGAGATCACCGAGACGGAGATGGAGGATCTCCAGCCCGTCGTTACAAGAACAGACAGACCAGGATACCCGCAATGGATTTGAGCGCTGGAAAGCAGGAATATATGACATGGACGGGGATTTGGTTATAAGGGATACACGGTGATGGAGCTCATGCTATTATGAGGCTGCTATTCTGGCGTTGGCGTTGGCGTTGACGTGCACGCGTTACAGCGTTGAGGATACACGTAAGCAGCCTAGTCGGCGTTGCTTTCCGATAAAACTATTTTTGTTTTTGTTTTCCTTCAACAAACAACACCCGAGGATGCGATGGTGACATGCGTGACAGATGAGGTTGCTGTGAAACCAATGACGCCCGCTACATGCAGGGCCTGACGAGCCAATATAAGGATAATTGTCGATCTGGAAACTGGACCAGAGGATCAACAATAGGCATTCGCTAGTGCCAGGAACCAAGGGGTGTAGCAGGTGGCAAGAAGTGGAGTCATCCTAAGGAATACGGCCATCATCGCGACGAGTCGAAAAGAACGTAGAAGCCAGGCATCACAAAGAGAGAAAGAAGGCCATCAGACTGAGTGTGATCCGAGCAGGTGGTAGCAGCCATGCCGACGGTTCCCCGGTGGAGTCGAATCCAGCGGTCTTGGTCTTGTCCCGGAGAGCCTGGATTCTCCACGCCGGAAACTTGGGTGCGTGCGCTGGAAGAGAATTTTGTTTTTCCGGCGCGCCCTACACCACCATCACGGACGAGTATCAGGAACGTTTTGCTAGATGGGATATGAGAGAAGTTTGCGAGTCTCAGTGGCGGATAAATGTTCAACACGCTGTTGATTGGGCTATCCCTGAAACTGCAGGAGAGCTTTGGGCGGATGCTGTCCCTCAAAACAAATTGCGGCTTCAGCCCTCTGGTTGAATCGGAAGTTGCACGCCTGAGAGCTCGACTCGAGTCAATTGAGCCTTGGCTGTGTCGTTGTTTGGGCATATGAGTCGTGGGTTTGAAGGTGGAATGAATGAGCATACTACGTGTAATTTGCCTTTTTCAGGTGGTTTAGGTACCGAGAGACTGCAAGATGTGGCTCGTGCGTTGGATCGGAAGAGACCCTTGTACAGCGTACGATGTAGTACCTAGCTATGTCTGAATTGGCTAATCCGAAGGGGCGTAAGGAGGCGAAATGGGGGCCAGAAAGATGCAACAACGACACTACAGCGTCCTTGCCCGCAGTCCCTGACTCAGCTGAGGGGAAGGAGGCCCATTGTCACTGGGCACTTGGTAAATACGATTACACACCTGTAAACTATCGGGCAGTGTACCTGAATTGTGTATGGGAAGCCCGGCTGCCCGGGTCCAGCACGCAGCATACTCGACTCTCGAGGGTTCTTTGTGAGCGAGGCGAGGGAGAATACACTGGGGGGGAGGGGGGCTGTCAAGGATAGGGCGGCAAGGAGGGGCCGCGTTGCGCAAACTAAAAATAGGACTACGGATATGCTGGACCGGTATTCGTAAGTACCTACCTTAGCTTACTAAGAGTAAGGCTCGGTTTGTCCGCACCTTTGCAGGTGGCTTGATTGAGTTTACTATTGACTCGTCGTTTGTAAATTCTAGAGAAATGAAGGTGGAAATGACACCTGGCTTGGCGAAGCAAGTGCAGAGGGAGTCGCTGCGCAGTGTTGGCAGGCGACTTTTGTGTTAGCCCGGGTGGGCGTGTCACTGTATCATTGTCACGTCTCATGATGAGAGAAGTTGGTTCGGCTGCCGTCGTGGGCACCTTATTCCCCGTTGGCTTTTTGACACGGAAACAAACCATCGTCTTGGCCTCAAGCCCAAGCTGCTATATAAATGTGCGATATCGTTCGGTGACGCTCAAGTCCAGTTGGTGACCCAGCCATGATATCACGTAGTTTTAATGAGCACCAACGTCTTGGCCCTCCACCAGGACCTCACACGCAGATGAAACAACGCGAACCAAGGGAGAAGGGGGGAACGAAGGCCAGCCGACCGCTACTAGAGCTATCAGAGACAGACCCGAAGACTTTCATGGTGTTTGGACGAGCCGTGGACGAACTGTGGAAACCCAAAAAGCCCAAAACACCTGAGAAACCGAGTGCGCGCCCAACCTTCAATCATCTCGAGGACTGGTGCTATACCAACAAGTCGGTTCTTGGTGGCGTTCGCCTCGTACGTATGTATCCTGTTTGGAGAGTCCAAGGTGCTAGTGGGCAAGGAACCTGGCTAGCCCGGCTTTGGTGCACTTGTTCGGCGGCAGTCGTAGCGTCACAGCTGAGAGAACCCGGCCTATTTTCCCCCTCTCGCCGTTCCTTACCACCTCAATTATTCACACTAGGTACGCACGCAACCCCGGCCACTGATAGCTGCTGCGCCTCCCTCGAGAACAAACCTCCCGTTTCGTTCTATCCGTCGAGAACCAGATTTTCTCTCATCTTTCGTACGCGCCCATATAGTCAACCCCGAGTCTCAAACAACGCCCAGAAACCCATCACTACCCACTGCGCGCGTGCGCGACGTAAAGGGTCCAGAACCATCGCTAAAAAACCCACCCGAATTGCAACGTCATGGCTGCTGCTGGGCCGTCAGCTCCTCCCACCGAGGCCACCACCGCCCACCCTGATCCTGCTCCAACAAACGGCCACGCCAAGCCTGCAACAGATTCCACAGAGACGACGGAGCCGACTGCTGCTACGGCCACCGAGACCCCGCTCGAACCCAAAGACGATGACAAGGCGAACGGTGCACCTCCGTCCAACGGCCACGATGTGCCAGACGGCGAGCTGAAACCCGAACTTCCCCTCCGGCCGTCCTCGATAGATGCCAAGGAGAGAGTCAACCCAACCGACCTGTCAGCGCAACCGCCGAACACTACCGCGATCACGAGGTCGCCCAGGGCCTCAACGACGCAACGCGCTGGCGATGACGCCAGAGATGCCTCGATAGAGATCGACAACACGAAGCCCGCCGACTTCGAGGGTGAGATCCAGACCAACAACGACCTCCCTACGCCCGAGACCCTCAAGAAGATCGAGAACTACGTCGTGCTCGACCGTCATGGAAAGAGCCATCCATTCAAGAGCTTATACACCGGTCGCAATGTTGCAAGACGAGTCCTCATCATCTTTGTCCGCCACTTCTTCTGCGGCGTAAGTTTCCCACGCCCGCCGGCCACCGTCCTTTGAACCGCCCTCTTGCTTACCCTTTCCTCAGAACTGCCAGGACTTCCTACGCACCCTCTCCGAATCCATAACCCCCGACGCTCTGCTCAGCCTCCCAATGAGCACATTCATTGCCGTTATCGGTTGCGGCAATCCGGGCTTGATCGACATGTACCTCCAGGAAACGGGCTGCCCGTTCCCCGTGTACACCGACCCCACGAGGCGCCTGTTCGACACCCTGGGTATGACGCGCACTCTTGCGCTGGGTACGCGGCCGGCCTACATGCGTAAATCCTTGTTCAAGTCCGCCGCCGAGAGCGTCCTCCAGGGGCTTAAGCAGGTCAAGGCCGGGCTGGCTACCAAGTCCGGCGACCACAGGCAGGTCGGCGGGGAGTTTCTTTTCGAGCCGGTGGAGCTCGGCACCGAGGTCTCGACGCCGTACGCCGAGCGGCAGCTCGAGGAGGCCATGACCTCGAAGAAGAACAGCATCGACAACAACCGGGAGGGCATCGACGGCGAGTGCGATGACGACTTCGAGCCTGAGCAGAAGAAGGTCACCTGGTGCCACCGCATGCGCTCCACGCGGGACCACGCCGAGATACCCGAGCTGATGGAGGTACTGGGCCTCTCGGGCACCGGGAAGCCCCCCGCGCACGAGAACAAGAGGTGGTCCAAGGCTCTGGAGACGAGGAAGGGCACCGGCCTGAGCATGGCGAGCCAGATGAGCAAGGTGAACGAGCAGCAGGAGCGCGCATAGGAGCGCCGGGCCTTTTTTGGGCTGGTCGACGGGTCGGTGCGGCCTGTCAACCGCGCATGCTCGGATAATTGGGGTTGAGATCTCGCCCGTAATGGGATCCGTGCCGGGCTGGCGTCGTAAAGAGTCGAAGAACTCCGGCAGCTGCCCAACAGTGTTCTATTCCTTTTCGGGGTGAGCTGAGATTAGCATAGCCATTTGAATGATACCTGCAGCTTTCAAGTCTTTGGCAGTACCAATGCTTGGTGGGCTAGACCCGCGAGCGGGCATATTGGGTCTTATGTGTCACGTACACATCGAGAATCAACCTTCCTCCGCTCCCCTTGTTGACGATAGCCTTTTCGATGGTTGTGCTACTCCGGAGTCCGGACCTGTACATGAGGAAGGTTTGACCAACATGAAGCACAGCGTCAACTTTACGTGCCGTCTTAATTCATCCCGTTGATGAGACGAGGCACGCCATGCCAGCGAATGAACCTTGTCTCGTTCCGTCGACTTCTCTGCTCGGCAAGGCAATCGCATGATTCCATGTGGTCCACCCGCCAAAGTTATCCAATGTCCATAAAGCCTCAGGTGGGCAGGCTGAAGGGTTATCAATTCTAGTCAGTCGCAGTCTCTCGATCCATTCGACCTCCCAACGTTTATCCGAAGTAAGACACGCTCGGTGTGACAAGGAGCCCGATTACCAAATACCGCCGAAAGCGGATGCAATCTTCTCCTTTGGACGTCGACGCGTCCTCGGCTCAGCCATCTCGACAACGATATCCTCAGATCAGGCAGCGCTTCTTTCAGGTCTCCTTGTGATCATTGCGGTAGGATTTCCAGCCGGACCTTCCTACCATGTACGTGCAATAGACTTGGGGACATCGCCACCGGCTCGGGTCCTTTGCTGAAGCTCTTACAGGAGAAAAGTATGCAAAAAGCTACTCCCCCTCCTCCGCGTGCCTCCGTCGAATCAGGCACGAACTTTCCTCACGTCCTCCCTCGACACACCGGTAGAATGGATCACGGCAAGCCGGGTCAGTGAAGTGGGCGGAACCCGCTTCTTACTCAATCCAATCTCCGATCTGTCGTGGCTAGGCCAAATCCTTCGCGTGTCAGAGCTGGGCTTGCCCTAAATTTAGAAAGCGTAGTAATCCGGGGAGCAGCAGCAACAACACTACTGCGGCATTGTCAACCCCGCCTGCTTCTTCTCATGTGCGCCTGCGCTGCCGTCCAGTGACCGCAAGACAGCCTCCGCACAGGCGAGGTCAGCCCAGCGAAGCAGGGCTGAGCCGGATCCCGCCGAGCTGACGGAACCCCGTCCGTTCCTTTGGCTCGTTGTGTCTAGCTCGTTCAGTGGAGGCTGAGAAACCCTACACCTTGCCCAGATCTATACCCGTAGGGCTGGGTTTTTGGCAGCACGGCTGGATCCCTCATACGAAGGCTTTCTCGGAAGGTTTCGAGTGGAGAGCAGAGTCGCGCGGTGAGCTAGCCGGGTGACGCCTTGCCTCGTGGAGCTTTTCTGGCTTACGGTACCCGAAGCTGAAGGATCTACCATAGCTGCGATGCGTGTCCTCCTCGACCTAGCTCGGGTGAGATCGTGAGGTCGTGGGCGCAGCAAAAGCCGGGCTGACATCCTTAGACAAAAAACGATGGGTCTCGTGAAGGCTTCGCCTGAGGAAGCTGCGATGGGTTACGTGTATAAAACAAGACAATGTCCTCGTTCTCATGCTGTTGTCTTCTCATCCTCATCAGCATCAACAGCTTCAACCAACTCATCAGCTTGACAAACAAAGACAAATCTTCCTCCTCAACTCTCAAGCACCAAACCCGCTCAATACTCTTAATCTAAAAACTCTCCGCCCCAAAAAGCCAGTAAAAATGCAGCTCACAAACATCCTCATCGCCGCCCTCGCCGCTGCCGCCTCGGCCGCCGCGCGCACAACCCCCTCCGCCCGCCGCTTCGCCGCCCCCAACCCCAACTGCCGCATCGTGCCCGCCTCGGACATCAACTTCGGCGTCGCCGACCTCGCCTCCGGCACCGTCGTGACCAAGGTCCTCACCTTCCCTGTCGGCTCCGCCTCCGCGGGCTCCTGCCAGCTCATCGGCGCGTTCGCCGAGGGCTTCCCCATCGACCAGGGCGGCGGCGACCTCGCGCGCCTCGACGTCCGCGCGCTCGGTGGGCCCGCCCCCGGCAGCCTGGTCGGCTCCTTCGGGCCCCTCAAGGTCGCCGGCGACGCCGTCGTCGAGGACACCGTGCAGTTCATCAACAGCTTCCAGTGCGCCGAGAGCCTGAGCTTCGAGTTCGCCGTCGCCAACGACGCCGGCGTCGACGAGGACATCAACGTCGCCTTCACGGCGTCCCACCTCGGTGGCTTCTTCGTGCTGGTCGGCGACCAGTGCGAGTAGGTCATGGGCTAGAGAAGTGGGGGTTTTTACTGGCCTTGGAGGTATTTGATTGCATCAGGGAGGCGTTTTTTTTTATCTAAGGGCATAGCGTAGTCTTGGTTTGGGGTTCGGGCTTGGACATGGGCATTTAACATAAATCATTCTCTCACCGGTGTTCATAGCGACTAATATACCTGTCATTCCTTTACATTTGTAGTTTCCCAAACGCACAACCTGCAAGACTCCAACCTGGCGTCTTCAGTTGTGAGCTGGCGACGGATTCCTCTCATCAAAGAAAAGAAATTTGACAACAGGCGTGACTGAGCTGTCCGAAGCCATCAATGTGGCTTACACGCAGTAATTAACCACAACGAGCCGGTTTCATGCCCAACTCTACGGCCCTTCCTGGGAGATTCTTATCCACCTCTGCCGCGTTTTGTTCTTGCCTGCGCCACAGTAGGAGCTCTCCAGCTCGTCACGGAGATCCTCCCTCTCGGTGGCCATAAGCTATCTGAAGACGGCGGCGTATAGGCTGTCAAGCGCGCTGGATATCCACGCGTGGTGGGCGCTGGGGGACTAGCTGCACACGGTGAACTCTTTGCAGCAAAACTTATGCTGGAACTTGGGGTAGATGTGCTTGAACTACCCAAGCCCGAAGAGCGCGAAGGCATCACCGGTGTACCTGTCGTGAGACCACGCCCAGACGTGGTGTCTCACACACTGGTCCCGTAGGAACTCGAAGCTCAGGGAGGTTAAGTTGCTCTAGAGGGACACGATGGCTCGTCCCGGTTGGAGGGGACCTTGGTGGAGTGGGGGATCAGCGTGCCCATCGCCCAGATATACGATACCATGAGCACCGCCGGGCGAACGTATCCCTCCGCGTCTTTGCCGGCGTCCCAAGAAGGACAGACTACGTTCCTGATGGGAAGGTAAGTATTGGAGATGCCGTCGACGCCGCCTTGTTCTCGATAAATGCTCTTCCACCAGCGACTCTTGAACTTGATGGCAATTTTGCTGGCTCGATCGTAGCTCAACTCCCGGATGCCCAAGAGAGCTTGATGCGGCAGTCCGAGTTTCAACAAATTCATGGATGTTATGGCGGTGGTGTTGGAAACCACATCGTACATGGATGCGGCCGTTTCGCCGATCTTATAAGCCCAGATCGCCTCAATCTTTCGTTATCCAACCCTATCACAACAACTGGCCCGGTGCAAGTCACCTTGATGATTGGCGAACCGTCCTTAAGCGGCCTGGTGGGGATAGGCAAGTACTTCGACATGACTTTAGGAACGGTAGCCATCCCCTGAGCGGAGACGATACGAGCTCGCATCTGGTAGTCTCCGCTTCTTTGTCAGGCGTAGTGGCATGAGCAGGATAAAAGAAATGACAAATAAATAAAGATACAGCTCGCTGGAAGCAGAGGGCGGTTGATGTCAGGCTTTTGATGGCGTCAGAGATGTCTTGTATTCACTTTTGGATTATTTTCATCTAGGTCTGGATTGAGTTTCAATCATATGCGGATTCAGTTTTGAGGCATTGATTTACAAGCTTGGAGTGCTCTCAAAGAGCGATTCTTGGGTATATGAACATAGCAAGAAAGTGGAAATGTATTATCGTTTACATTAACGGTAAGCGTTAGAGTGTTTGACTGAGACTATTATGCCCGTCCATGAATATCGCCAGCTAGCTGCCAAGATCAATAGACAGTTTGAACTCCAACAGCTATAGGTGTGAGGCGATTACTGGACATAATAGTAAGTTTCCCCGCCGACCTCTTACGTATAGCGTAGCCCAACCTGACACTAGCCTCCTAGCCAATGCGATGCAAACTGGATAAATAGTAACCTCCTACAATTCTCACTGGACCGTAAGAGAAATGATCAATAGGTAAGACACATAATCAAATCAGGTTGCTTTCATGAACTGATGAGTTGAAGCTAGCATTGCGTCGTCACGTCTCGGCCAAGCTTTAAACTTGAACATTATCAGTTTTCCGAATTGACTGCTCAGGTGTGCAATCTCGTGTTTCCGTTCCACAGAAGTAATGTGCTTAGAATTCTCGACGGCTAACAACATAAGCTAGCGTAACTACATTACACTGGACATTCGATTTACTCACTGGCGAGACATCCTCTCCGTCGTGTTGACTATTTGCTCACGAGGGCTTGGTCTTACACAACCTGCATACATTGAGTTGTTCTTTTCTTATTCAACTGAACACCTTTTACGGCAATGTGACGTGAGGTCAGTTCTGGTTCAACGCCTTCGTAAGAGGGATAGTCTAATGTCCCTTTGCGTTATGGAGTTGGTTGACACGTTAATTTGGATTGACTAGGACCCAACGCTTGGCGCAAATGTTTATAAAAGGTCCTATAACCTCACCATCTCCAGCAATGTTACTGAGTAAAATCAACAAACTGTTTCCCTCAACAATCAAAGTCTCATCTTGAACTACCGTCGAGTTCTATACTTAAGTATTGTCCCCAACTCCATGCAAATCCTGCCCAACCCGAGCCACTAACATACCTAGCAGCAAATCAAATCATAAAAATGCGCTTCGACACAGTCTTGTCTCTAGTCTTCCTCGCCGTGACTGCCCAGGCCGGTGTCTCCCAGCAAGCAGAGCCCTACGCTCTGGCCGAGCGGGCCGACAGCGACGAGCTCGCGGCTTTGCTGGACAAGAAGGAGGAGCTAGGCTTGGAGAAGCGAGCTTGCTCTTATAATGGGTGCAAGTGTAACAGCCGCGGCAGGCAGCTGACGGTCTGCGGCAACTGTGTATGGTCCGACAACGGCGCCTACGTCGTGACCACCAACAGGGTCAGCGACCACATATTTGACTGTTCGCCGGACGGCAACTGCTGCTCTTACGGCTATGCCAACAACTGCGGTGGCTCCGGTGCTCGGTGCAGAGTCAACTGATCAGAAAGAAATCCACGGGTTGTTTGAAGGAGGCCCAATGGGTTGATGGAAGTAACAGGGATGAGTTGTTACCTTGTTAGGGGGTTTTACGCGTTTGAAAGTGTCGTCTCATGTTTGTAATTGACCTCAAGTCATTCGCTGAGCCTAGGGTTGGATAGTGAGATGTGAATGAAGAGGCATTAAAAATGGACTAAAATCATTAAAGGCACTGATGGACCCATGTCGGTGTGAAGTGCGTAAAGTTGCACGTTCCTGGTTCGAGACGGTAGCAAGGCAAGAGGAGACGAGTCAACCCTAAAATTAGGGATCTAAATGACGTTGTGACATGTAAGAGAAGCAAACTTAGCCGACTTGTAATGGGTCTCTGGCGGGCGCAGCCTCCTAGCTAGATAGGGTCGCAAATCATGTGCAATACTTTAAAACCTTGCCGTTAAAATGACTAGAACTGCAAGAATACGCGTCTCCCCCGAGTTGATCACAGCATTGGTTCCTTCTGCAACTTCAATCAGATAGTCGACGCGGCCGAGTGTTTTGACTGGTTTTCTTTTCTTGCTTCGCTTAGTCGGTTCACACGGCAAGGTGAAACGAGATTGGATATTATTGCATAAGGTAAGCAGCTGCACCCCGGTTAACGACTTCATCGGGGCTTACCCCGCGCCCTTGCGTTTAACAGGTGGGGTTCAAAATCTGTCGCTCCCTCCACCAACTTCACCACACACGCGCGAAATCTAGTATGCCAAGATGGCTGCTCAAGTTCCCACAGAGGCTTTGAAGGAGCTCAACGGTATGCCCTCTCGTCATAGCAATGCTCCAGACACCAACTCCAGCCAGCTGACCAGTGCCATCCAGTGGGAGGGCCTGCGACAAACGACAAGGCAGCAAACCCCACGGAGGGAAATGGCGTCGACCATGATAGCGACGACTCGGATGAGGAGGGCGAGGAGGTAGCAGCCCCCGCAGCCGGCGGCGCGGCCAAGAAGAAGAAGAAGAACAAGAAGAAGAAGAAGAAGAAGTCTCCGACCGCCCAGTCCGACCCGCCCCGCGTGCTCATGTCGTCGCTGTTCCCCAACAAGAACTACCCCAAAGGTCAGGAAGAAGAGTACCGCGACGAGAACCTCTACCGCACGACGAACGAGGAGAAGCGCCACCTTGACAACCTCAACAACGACTTCCTCACCGATTACCGCGAGGCCGCCGAGATCCACCGCCAGGTCCGCCAGTGGGCCCAGAAGAACATCAAGCCCGGCCAGACTCTGACCGAGATTGCTGAGGGCATCGAGGACGGTGTGCGTGCGCTGACGGGGCACCCGGGCATCGAGGAGGGAGATGCCTACAAGGGCGGCATGGGATTCCCATGCGGCCTGTCCCTCAACCACTGTGCAGCCCACTATACGCCCAACGCTGGCAACAAGATGGTGCTCTCGCAAGGGGACGTTATGAAGGTCGACTTTGGCGTGCACGTCAACGGACGCATCGTCGACAGCGCCTTTACCATGGCTTTCGAACCGCAGTATGACAACCTCCTGGCGGCTGTTAAGGACGCGACAAACGCCGGCGTGAAGGAGGCTGGCATCGACGTGCGCGTTGGAGACGTGGGAGGTGTCATCCAGGAGGTCATGGAGAGCTACGAGGTCGAGATTGACGGCACGACGTACCCTGTCAAGTCGATCCGCAACCTCAACGGCCACACGATTGAGCGCTGGAGCATCCACGGCACCAAGAGTGTGCCCATTGTCAAAAGCAACGACACAACCAAGATGGAGGAGGGCGACGTGTTCGCCGTCGAGACGTTCGGCAGCACGGGCAACGGATTCGTCCGCGAAGACATGGAAGTGTCTCACTACGCCAAACGAGGAGAAGGACACGCCGCACTTCGGTTAGATTCGGCCAAAAGACTGCTCAACGTAATCAACAAAAACTTTGGCACGTTGCCCTTCTGCCGGCGCTACCTGGATCGTTTGGGACAGGACAAGTATCTTTTGGGCGTAAGTTCAGTCACGCTTGCTCATGCTAGACCACGATCTGACAGCACAACAGTTGAACAACCTGGTATCCAGTGGCATTGTCGAGGCTTACCCGCCCTTGTGTGACAAGAAGGGCTCCTACACCGCTCAGTTCGAGCACGTAAGTATAACCACAAAACGCTGTTTGATTCCAAAGCTGACAGAGTATTGCAGACGATCCTGCTGAGGCCAACCGTGAAGGAAGTAATCAGCCGAGGTGACGACTACTAGGCGGGGTGAAACCGGCCAAGGATGGACATTGCTTATAGGGTTTCTTTCCACTCAATTGAGGCTATCGTTCAGATACACTCTCGAAATCCAAAACAATCAAATCCAACCATGGGGCGTGACAACACTGGTGCAAGGGGGCTTGATGCCGTCAAGTCTTTCAAAGAGGCATGCGGTCTTGGCACGGCAAGGAGAGTGTGGAATGTAACTGGGGACGCACTTGGAGCAGCATGATCGCCGTCGACTTGTGAAAGTGCACTGGTCCCGTTGTCTACCCAAAATCTACCGCATTGTACTGGTAATGGACCATTCCCTATAGGCATGCCATGTCTTGTCAATCTTGCGTTATTTGCCTTGCTCGTTGAGTGAAAACGGACTGACAGCATGGTCTGTCGAATCAAGTTATCGACCCAAGCAGCAAACAACCCGGATCATGCACTCGCATCTATCTTGACCACAGATATAAAACCTGCCTCTTACAACCTATACAAAGTTGGCCGTCACTGCCGCAATCACGCGCAAAATGTGTAATTAAAAGGAACGATCCACTTTAAGCAGCCACGGCCCGTTTCATAAGATATTCCGATACCCGGACCGGGGCGGATCGCAGCGGTGACCGAGTTCGACATCATGGCCAGATCCCGGTAGGATCGGTGACGCTATGCTATCACAACACTTCTGTCGGCCATAGAGAATAGTCACAAAACCATCCCCATCATATACCGAAGCCTCGATGATGTCACACATCGCCACCCTCGGCTCGGTATGGCCACCCGATCGACTCCCGTAAATGGGAAGACATGCGCGAATGCACTGCAGATTGAGCAAGACACACGGAACACAGGGCTACCCAGGTGCCAGATTGACAACCTTTGAGCCACTTGAGGCTGAGAAGGAGTCAGCATGGCGTCAAGTGTCGTCCCGTACGCAGAGGGTGTTGCACAAACGGGCAAATGATCACAGGCCGATCCAGAACCTGTTTTCCCACTTTTGTTTCTTTCCCGCACGCTATGATATCGCCGCCAGGCCCAGGCGAGCATAGGCCAACGGTTACTGGTCAGCGCCTGCTTTCTCCACCGCTTATCCCATTGCCTCCAGGGTCCGATCGGCGGGCGTCCAGAAGCGCCGAGGACGACCATCATCACCCCTTCCATTCCGGGCCACTTTGTGTGTTTTGCTGGTCCTCGGACAACGTAAGAGGCGTCGGTTTGCTTTCGGCTGCGGATGCTGTAGTAGGAAGTTTCTTGGCACATCTTTTCTGCTTCTCGGGCTGTGAGACTTTCTACGTCCTCGGACGAAAGGCAGAGAAAGCTTGGGCCTCTCCCTCTTCTTCTCTTCGTTGGCTAACCTTTTTCGATGGAATGGAGGCAAAGGGCGAATCAGAATCAAGTAGCCGCTCCACCGAGAAGCCAATCACATGCAACACAGCGACGGTCAGCGGACAACCTGGTGCGTCGTTACCGACGGTTTCCATCAGGTCCATGCGTGTTACACCTAAACAGGGCAGATAGGCGAGACGACAAGTACCTGTACGCGTCCGATCCGTGCCATTCAGCGCTCCATCGTCGTGCTTGCGTGCCTCACAGCGCTGCGAGATTTGCACGCGCCACCCCGAATTTCCCGTCATTCCCCGGGCACTGACCGGGATTATCGAGGCGGCACACTAAGCTGCTTACGTACAGTACTTGGTCCAGCCCAGCCCGTGCCAGCCAAACCCAGCGCGCAGCGAGTCCCCCAGACACTGAGAGAAATTTCCAGCAGCGTGAGACCTTGTACCCAACCTGAGCGTGCCGATTCCACCCATTTGCCACCCTGTGGTTGGTTGGATTCCGTAGCGTAGCTTCCTGAAAAACCCGCACACGACACCTCCACCCTCCGGTCTACCGAAGCTTGCAGTTACGCTTTGCTTTGCTTTTTTTTTTCCCTTTCCCTATCTCACAAGCAAGGTTTGTTCACCCCCTGCCACTGATATTTTTCCCATCCCTTTATTATCAACAATCGCCTCTTCCTATTTCCTCGTCATCCATTTTTGAGCCCATTTGACTCATCACTGTCGTTTGACAACAACACAAACAAACCTACAAACCCACCGTTTTGCCTCGTTCTTCACTTCCGCGCCTTGCTGGGTACGCTTTTCACAAATCTACACGATCCCCATCCGAGAGAGAATCATACGCAGAGAAAAAGGTCTCCGATCCGTCACACGCTAGTTTCTCGTCCTCACGAACCCTGCAAATAAGAAAAATATCCACAAACCAAGAGTTCGCTCATCCACGATGAAGGTCTTCTCCAACTCAGTGACCTTCAATTACTCTTGGGAGGAGGTCTCGGCCGCCAACTGGCGCAAATACTGCCCTTGGAACGACAAAACGACACATGTGATTGCCGTCGACACCATCGGCCGCAGCGTCGACCCGGCCACGGGCATCCTCCGTACCGAGCGCCTCATCACCTGCAAACAGTCCGCACCCAAGTGGTTCGCCTCGCTCGTCGGCGGAGCCAGCGCCGGTGCCGACCCTGACGTCTCCCACGTCTTCGAGACCTCATACGTCAACCCGACCACCAAGACCGTAACCATGGTTTCGCAGAACCTCACCTTCTCCAACATCATCTCCGTTCAGGAGTCCGTCGTCTACAAGCCCATCAGCGCCACCCAGACCCAGTTCGTCCAAGATGCTCAGATCACCGCGCTCTGCGGCGGATGGCAGCGCATCAAGAACGGCATCGAGGACCAGTGTGTGTCCCGCTTCCGCGATAACGCGATCAAAGGCAAGGAGGGGTTCGAGACAGTGCTGGCCATGAGCAGGAGGGTGTTTGCCGAGGAACGCGAGCGCGAAATGCGGGTCCGCCAGGGCATGGCAGCATGAGCTGGTTCCGAGAAGAAGAGTCCGGAGTTCCGAAGTCTACGACACGAAACGATACGACGACAACTTCCTCTCTTTTTCATCACGACAAGATGATTTGCGTCTTTTGCAGCGATTCCCCGTCGAATTATTTTTCTTCCTCAGCAGCGGGCAGCATTACTAACACGGTTCTGGAAAAAAGGGTTTTTTTTAGAAAGGCGTTCAGAAGTCAAAATTCGGGGGCTCAGACCCCCAAGGGCGGAGGCCACATTCAGTTCAGGGTCCTCCAACTGTACAAAGAGTTTTCCGGAGTTTGGGAATATCCCTACACGATAGAGCATACAAAGATGGGGGGGTTCTCGCCTCAAAAGCATCTTTTTGTCTCCGGACAAAATTAGAGTGTTACTTAGAAATAATAGACCACACATACACAACCATGAATCGTCAAACTTTTCATAATGACATGGCATTTATTAAACCGCCATATCTGGATGCATTTCATGCTGGGTATCTTACTTGCCCGCCCGACCCTGGGACTTCTCCTCGTAATGTGCCAGCGTCTCCCTCGTGTCCCGGTCCAGCGCCGCGTCGCTCCCGTCTAGGACCCGCCTCGCGAACGCCGCTGCCTCCTCGAACCTGCGGCAAAAGTACAGCTCCTCCACGGCGTGCAGTAGCTCCTGCAGGACTGGCTTGCCGGCCTTTCCGTTGACGGCCAGAGGCAGCTCAATCGTCTGCCAGATCTAGCGGGAGGGGTGTCCCTCCAACGTTAGCCGGGGCTGTCTGCAAGATGGAGGGGTTGCAACTCCGGGGTGGAGAATCCGGCGGTGCTTGCCCCTCCGAGTGAGAGAGTGTGATAGAAGTAGAGAAGGTTCCAAAACTCGGGCCCTCTTATTCCGAACATCCAGTACAAGGCCAAGGTTAAGACTGAAGTGCAAATTACATTGAAGATAGCCAGAGAAGAGAGTATAGTTGGGGAGAAGGCGAAAAAAAAAATTGAATGGACAAAAAAGTGACTCACATTGCCATTTTGTACATTGACCCTGTAAGTAGCCTTCAGCTCTTGGAAGTCCTCCTCAGACTGCCAGTCCCTAGGCTTTTCCTTGGCCTTGGTCGCCGCCTCCGAGACCAGGCCCTCTTCGTCCGAGTCGCCGATAGCGATGCTGAACAAGCCCCCGTCTTCGTCGGCCATCTTCGCTCGCTCACTCGCACAGGTTTGGGGGGGACGCGGTGCGAGCTCAAAAAAAGTGTGGTCTCGACTCTAATGCTGGCCCTGAAGGATTGGACGAGTCAAGGAAGTTTTGGAATCCGGTCGTTCGGGGAGCGGTCTGAGAGTTCGAAGAAGAAGAAAAGCCGTTTAGGAAACGCCACGCTGAGTGAGCCGTTCACGTCCAGTTCGCCGCCCATGTGTTTTGAAAGGCGTTGTGGCCGGTGCCATATGAGAGCCAGAGTAGCCCACCACAAGCCGGTTGGGGGGGGGGGGTGCCAGGAGTAGCATTATGCATCTAAAGGAAGCCCCGCCCCTCTCGCGAAAAGTTTTCCAGCAAGTCCTGCCGAACCATTCCCCAAAATGACATCAAGCCGCATGGCGGGGTTAGTGGGGCCGCTTTCGCATATAGCGGCCCGGTACGGAGTAGCTCTGTGGAAGCTTCCCCTCCCGCACCGGATCTACCTATTGAGGTCTCGTCGTTTGCATTCCGTCTCGGTACACGACATTTGGTAACAAGATCAGGGTCCTCACACTGCAGTACACGATGGAGCAGCAAGTGACGCGACTCGTTGAAAAGGCTTGGGACAAGTTCCAAAAGACGCCGGCCGACCAGCGCCTCAGTGAGTACCCTTGCTTGCGGCTATCGGGTTGGGGGGCACACGAGCATCACCTTACCCTTGAACTCCCCTTGGTATCTTTGTTAAAGACGATAGCTCCAATAAGCCTCGAAGTCGATGTCTTCAGCCCTGACGCACTAACACACCGCAGTGATCGGAATAGCCGGGATCCCAGGCTCAGGTACACACACGCGATGATCGCCTCCCCGCCGCCATGCCAATCGGCATTCTAACGCCTACCAGGCAAGACAACCCTCTCACAGCTATTGACAACTCGCCTCAACGCCCGCGCCGCGACCCTTGACCCTTCCAATCCCTCCCGGGCGACGCACCCCCCCCCGACGGCCTTTGTCCCCATGGACGGCTACCATCTGACCCGGGCCCAGCTCTCCAGCATGCCCGATCCGGTGAACGCCCATGCCCGCCGCGGTGCAGTTTTTACCTTCGATGGGGACTCCTTCCACAAGCTCGTCATCTCCCTGCGCGAGCCTCTGCGCGCCGACACTACTCCGATATACGCACCGAGCTTCGACCACGCCGTCAAGGATCCCAAGCCCGATGACATCGTCATCCAGCCATACCACCGCATCATAGTCTTCGAGGGCAACTACCTAGCTCTCGATAGGTCTCCATGGAACTATGCCGCTAGGCTCATGGACGAGCTGTGGTTTGTAGACGTCGACTTCGACGTGGCGAGGAAACGTTTGATTACCAGACATGTCATGGCCGGTATTGCCAAGGATGAGGTGGAGGCTGACAGAAGGGCAAGGGAGAACGATCTAGTCAACGGGAAGGAGATTGTCGACTTCCGTTTACCCGTTGATGAGTTGATTATCAGTCGGGAAGATGACAAGTGGATTCACGAATAAGCTGTAGGCAACAGCATCTCCAGCATGTATTCTTATGAAATGGGGCCTAGTCGCTTTGCTGACAGAACTGCGGAGTCTGAATTATCATGTGTCTGTTCTATGGTCTTGTGATTGTGAGGCTGGTTCAGTATTCCTCGACATGCCACACTCTAAAAGGCCTTTTCCTATGGACAACTGCCCGTTCGCTATTCTTGGGTAAATCCTTTCCCCAATGATCAGCTTCACTAATCTTATCACTCCTGCTATTGGGATCTAGATATGAAGTGCCTAGACCTGTGTTCTTCTCGTTGCCCTCAAATCACTCAGAAGGCGCTCCAGTGAAACTACCCGCATGCTTGGCGCTGCTGTATCCAGTGGCGAAAATTGAGCTCCCAAGTCCTCTCCGCATACGATTATTACCAGAACCCCTCCGAGATTGATCGCGCTGGGAATGAGGCTGGAATTCTTGAGCATTGGGTGAGAATGCTCTACCTGTCTGCTGTCCGATTAGGTCTGTGACGCGATGGATGGCATGCACATTCTCTTGGCTGGGATTCGGGGGTTGTCCGTTGGATTGTCCAGGATAGCTGATGTGATAAGTGACGCTCACAGAGTGCACGATACCGGCCGGTGGACACTGAAAACCGGGAATTATGGAATGCGCATCCATTTGGGGCGTGTAAGTGACATTGGGTTGGGCCATGTGGGGTGTCGCCAAGAGAGGCGATGTCATCTGCGGCGATGTCAGATGAGGCACTGGCATAGCAACTGAGATTCTCTGGCTGCTTTGGCTTTGGATCCCGGAAAGAATGTTGGGATGAACTGCAAAGGATGGCGTAAGAGTCGCTGTGTGGGTGATCGTGGAGACCGCTTGCCCAGAAACCATCGCAGGTGTTTCCTTCGAAGAGCTATCCTGCTCATCGACAACAACGGAGGCAGCAGGGGCAGACACTTCCATTTCGAAGTATGTAGCAGTATCGTTCATCTTCGCTTGGTTATTCTGATCAATGGCAATACTGGAAGGGTGTTTGTCATTGGAAGGAGGTTGAAATTCAACTGCAAAATCGCTTGAAGCACCAGAGTCCGCAGCCCGGTCATTGGATTTTTTGGGTTCAGCGGCGATGGGAGCTTCCACAACAGTGGTGGCCTGAGCAACAGAAACCTCGGGGCCGATACTGGCACCCGCATCCGTCGACTTTGGAGTGGTAGGGTTGGTGCCATTCGCTGTCGAACCCATCTGAGCTTCGTCGTTTGCACCGCCCATGTCGTTCTCGGGCGCACCGTCAGCCTTGATCTCATTCTTGTCAACGATGTCATTGACGGGTTTATTTTCCGACGAAGACCCTTTGCCTACCTGAGCTGAAGATTTGGTAGTGGCGGCAGCTGCCTTCTGGTACTGGACTGCCTCAGACAAGCCAGGCATTGAGATATGAAAGCTTCCTCCGGTCTTAGGTTGAGGCCGTTTGCCTGTAATCCAGTCCTTCAGTTTGGCGCTTTCATGCACGGTGGGCGATTTCTTTGATTGGCGGTCCTGCTCGAGGACGTCTTGAGTAGTCGATGACGTATTTTTCGGCTCTTTTCCATGTCGGTTCAGAGGTATCTTGACGTCGGTGATACCAAGAGGAGTCCGGGCAGAAGCACGCTGCTCCAACAACTCCTCAGCACTGTAGCTTACACGCTGTCGATTGGCCTTGTACATATCGGCGTCCTTGACCTTGTTGAGAGAAAGATTGTTAAAGGCATCTGTGATGACATCCGTACTGATTTCTGATTCCTTGGGAGCGTTTTCGTCGTCTTTTGCTGACGATCCCATTTTCTCGATCACCGCCTTTGACTCTGGAGTCGCGTTCTGCTCGGCGACAGGGACGACTTCAACTCCCATATCATTGTTAGCAGCAGCTACATCGCTGAGGTAGCCCATGACTCTCTGTAGCACTGCTGCCCGGTCCTGAAAGTTTGTGGCTGTCATCTCGTCTTGGAATTTCAGTCGGTAACGACCCTCTTCCCTACCATTGCCATGGTTGACGAATTTGACAACACAAAGGTTACCCTTCGTGATTTCGAGGGTGTAGAAGCTCATATTGTGCTTCTTGACGAACACCTCGGGGAGTGTCATGACAAAAAGAGATTGTCCCTCGGTGCCCACTGCGGCGTTGATGACTTTAAGATCGATCATGACCATGTGATCCTTCCCCTTCTCAGGGACCCAAGTCATGCATGAACCAGTCCAAAAGATCACGACTTCGTCGTCCTTTGAGCCAATTCTCTGAGAAGCGTGGTCATCCTTGACGGTGTTGACATGAGTGACAGAAAATTGAATGTTTTTGGACCCGGTTTCGACACTCTGGTCCTTGAGAAGCTCCTTGGTTGTCACGGGTGTTGGAAGGGATACTGCGATTTCTCCAGTTTGAGAAGCTGTAGAGATATCCGTCGTGACTGGCTTGGTGGCTTCCACAGATCTTCCATTCTCAGGACCAGGTTTGCTGGGCAAGACAGTCTCCATTTTCTTCTTCATCCTCAGATGAGGAGGCAAGGACTTCTTGGATGCTTGCGCTACCGCAGCGTTACCAGATTGTGGGCTGGCAACTGCGACTGGATTTCTCGAGACCGTAGGAGAATTATCCGGGTCGAATCGATGAACCGCAACGCCGGGAGGAAGCAGAATACCGTTCCGGCTCGTCTTCATTCCCTGAAAGCTTGTGCTGTCCTCATGTTAGGCAGTGTGCCATTGAAGGAAGAGAAAGTCACTCACGTGGGACAACGAACTTCGGCCATGAAGTTCTTCACTCGGCCTGCGGTGGGTCGATGAACGCTAGGTCCGCCCAGATCATCTAGATCTCTAACAGCCATAGCTTCGGCGTCGTCAATCCCCTTCTCCGCCATTGCTATATATGCGTTAGCTTGGTTGATCAGGTGCTCCAGAAAGACTCACCGCGGTAACCATCCAGAGCCTCGCTGTTCTCGGTAACGGCAGGCGGTTGACGAGGCCGCTGTGGAATGTATCGCGAGTTGGGAGTGTCGTCGAGTGGCAACTCGTTTATGCGGATAGTACCAAGGTCGTTCTTTCCATTGTCAGGCACAAGAAGCTCTAAGATTTGGGCAGGGTAAATTCGAACACCTACCATCATTGCATTTTTGACCAAATCATCTGCAGTGTAGGGGTTTGACTGTTTGTTTGTGTTGACTTGGGCGCGCATGGTAGGCATTCGGTCTGTCCTTCGCGACGTCTGCTCACCCCAGGAACCCATAATGACGGCTTGCCACGACGGAACGGGTTGAGAATCGATAGTTTGCTTAATGAGTCAGGCAAACTGTAGCCTCAGAATGTTAGATGCAGTCTTTCGCGATGATAGAAAAGTATTCGAGGTATATTTTGGTGTAAATGGAAGGAAATGAATATGAGTACAGAAGGTAGGAGGGCAGGCAGCCATTATACAGGGCAGCGATATTGCAGAACAGGGAAAGCTGAATCGGGAATCAACTGCCCATTCTTGGAATATCTCACGTACCTATGTTCGCGGTCTGTGACCTCTTTCGCTGGGGTGGACTGCTTGGTCAATAAGTATAGCTGCCGGTGTAAGCACGCAAATGGCAGGAAGGAGCCGAAGTTAGGCACAGAAAATGATCGTTGTTGGTAAGATGATGTTTCTGGCTTCTCAAGATTGAGTGATTGTAGTGGTGTGGGAGAGTGGAAGAGTGGAAGACTGAAAGTGGTTGAGGTGGGGTAAGAGGCTTGAGAGGTTGAAGGAAAGAAGGGAAATACCGCTCTTGACTTGGCTTCCGGATAGCAAGAATATTGTAAGGTATTTTTGGGCAAGGAGGGTGGGGGGGGCACTTGCCCGATGATAGTTATAAATGGGCAACTTATGTGAAGGGCAACAGCAGAACCTGGTCAAGTTATTCCTTGAGGTGAGCAAAAACACACAGGTAACCTGAGAAAAAAAAGTTTGAGAAAGTAAGCAGTGGGGTAACAGTACAAGAAATCCATGGATGGCTTTGTAGAAGTGACCAGGCTGTGAGAACATGATTGAGGCTGGCAGTCTTTATCTGGCGTGCTTCTTAAGTATTGCAATGCAAATAAAGCGTCCCGCATGAAGACAAAGAGGCCTTGCGTGGTTGTATATCAGACATTCTAATCCTGTCTGCTTCAACCCAGTACCTGTTCTGCCTTCTCGGACACAACGAGTGGTTGCAGAATCTCATAGAAGTAAAATGAGGATAACGATGAAGAAAGTTGACACTGAGACCAAGCCGGCGGATCGTCAACCCTTCCTTGAGACAATATAGGTGGACAGAGAGCAATAGAATGTATGCATATTTCAATTACAACAAGCATTAACAACTCCTACCTAAAAAAGAGAAAGAAAAAGAAATCGCCCGTCACAGTAGGAAGATTCGCAAAATAACCCCATTGAAATTGAGCAACAGAAAGCTTTGAAAATGCGCTGGACTATTCTTCTAAGTAACCCTACTTGGAAGTTGGTAACAGCTTTGGAAAGATCTCATTTGATGGTAAGCTCCATCAAAGTATCGTTTGATCCTGGTGCACGGCATTCCGTATTTGCAAAGCAACTGGTAGATAACTCGACACGATGGATAGGATAACGCGATGATGCACCTTTCAACATAATGGCGCCAGAGTCCACGATAGCCTGTTTATTCGCAACCAAGAGACCAATATCGAAACAAGGGAAGCCAAACGGCATGGAACATGATTTTAGCTAGACGTCAGTATACAATTTACATACCAAGTGATCATGTAGCATCAGTTTAAAGTGTGATTTTACTTTCAGGTGTCAGTTGTAACAAACATTATAACTGAGGGTACTGATAAGCAAAGATTACCGCAATATTGGTAAAAGACAAATCATGCCATTGCCATTAACTCATGCCATGTAATGCTCCCTAATAGTACAATGCTCCCAGTCCAGCTTGGTGTTCCCAATCCTATTGAGATTTTCCATTCATTCGTAATCTATCAAATTTATTTTTTGGCGGTGGCATCTCTGGGGAGGTCGTCAAGTCCCTCGACGGCCTGGCGGCCAACGTTGCTCAGGTCAACGTTGGTCGTGGACGAAGGGTCGCGCAGGGCAGAGGCGGCGGGCTTATCGCCACTGATGGGGGCTTCAGTACGGCCGCTGCCAACGTTGACGTTGCGGGCATCGGCGGACTGCCAATCAGGGGCAACGGGGGGGTCCTCGGGAAGGGGGAGGTTGGCCTTAACGCTCTCGATCTTATCGGCCTTGGACTGTGTCATTTCGGCGGTTTTTGTTGGTGTTCTAGAGGGAACAGGCGTTAGCGTCTGCGGCTGCGATTGGTCAAGTGGAAGTGGCATGTAACTCACGGTGGTTGATTGATTGGTTAGCTTGGACTTGATGTTAGAGGATTTCCGGAAGTTGTCTTGATCAAACTGTCTCGATCAGGGTGTGATGGTGTGATGTGATTGGAATCAAGAAGGCATTGTGATCGAGCTTCGATGCCAGTCTTTTATGCTAAGTCGAGCGACAGTCTGCAGGAGCTCCAGGATGGCAAGCTGGGTGCAAGCTCTCAGAGCGCTGACGTCAATGACGTCAAAAATATGCAATTCTGCGGCTCTTTGCAGCCTCTTTTGGTGGAGAACGGCTGATGTTCATCGTCGATTGTGATGAGATGTGGAGAACTCTAACGACGAAGGGGCCCATCAATGACACAAACCGCTCACGAACAAATGCTCCAGGCACCTGCAAGCTCAAGATGCAGAGGGGTCAAAGTGGTAGGTAGATCATCGAGATGCAAGTTTATTGAGGGGTTGGGATCTTTTTCTTCTGTCTTTTTTTTCTTGTTATGGAGGGGGCTTAGTTCGTAATCCTGTGTCATCACCCCGTCCCTGAACGCCCAAAATCCCAGCAAACCCCAGGTTCCGATCCTTTTCCCGATGCGTAGATGCCACCCTCGCTATATAGACATTTTTGATCTGCACGTCAATTATCTTCAGCCCTGCCACTACGTAACCCGTTGCCGCTCCCACGTGTTTCTGGTTTAGGCCATCCTCTTGTCGGTTTCAGCCGAGGTCGCCTTGTCTCCTGTATCGGGGTTCAGGTAATCGGAATCCTCTGCTGCTTCGTATTCTTGGATTAGATCCGACACGACCTCTCGGGCCTCGTCGAATTCGTCCAGGTTTTCTGCAAATGGTGCCGTCTTCTTGTATCCCTCCATGAAGGCATTGCGTTTCCGCATGCCGTCATATTGTCTCAAGATTCTCTTGAACAGCTGTAAGACTGTCAGCGTACGATTGTCCCTGATACAGGGGCATGGATAAAAATACTCACAGTCGCAATGCTTGTGTGGTTCGCGAGCATCAACCCGCTGACACGGTGAGCCATTGGGATATAGGGACTCCGCTTTGTCAGGGCCACCTGGATGCTTGCCGGGCCCCAGGGAATAAACGTCGCGAGTCGTCGTTCCCGGATTCTTAGCAAACTCTTGTGGACGTCCGTAGGGTCCACTTCGCCCTGAATGACGTTCAAAATGGAGATGTAGCAGCTCTTCTTTCCTGGTTGGGTCGAAACCATTCGGTTCTTGGGCTGCAGCAGTCTCCGCATGACGTCCAGCACTGTAGTCTTACGCACTGTCTTGGCCTGCTCAACCTGATCACCAGTGAACGGTGTGTATGCTGTCATCAGGAAGTGGCATCGGGGAGTGGGAATCAACGAGGCCAGAATGCTGACCAGATCGTTGTGCATGTATCCCGGGTATCTAAGAGTTGTCGTGCTGGCAGACATGACGGTTGAAACCTGAGAACCCAGGTCAGTGTGGACAGCGTGAGGACGAAGATGCAAAAACTTACCAATTGGTTTGTTTGAGCAAAAGAAGGCTCTTGGACATGCAGTCTGTCGGCTGCGATGCGTGATAGGGCTCCGTTGTCCAGCACCACAACCGAATCGGCGTTCTGCGTTAACCTTCTCATGGCGAGAACGCTGTTGTATGGGTGAACAACAACATCTCCAGCGTTTGTGGTGTCGGGAAAAACAGAGTATGTCTGGATGATCTTCTTGGGAAATCGGTCGTTGAGTCGTTCGAGGAGGAAAGAACCAAGGCCGGATCCGGTACCGCCTGCAATGGAGTGTAGCATCATAAAGCCCTGGATAAGAGTCAGCATCATCCAAACAGCTGGATGCAAGATGCACGTACTTCCAGTGAGTCACTACCATCAGCTTCACGGTCGATCATCTCCATAATATCCTCATAGACCACCTCGCCCGTCTGGTAACCGTCACCCCAGTTGTTCGCGGCCCCGACTCCATTTTTGCCAACATAGAAGTTCTCCGGGTTGTAAATGTTCTTGTACGGTCCCGACTGAATGCCTTGAATGACCTGATACTTGTCAGTATGACTGGTGGCCCCTTATCTGTATCGAAGCACGAACTCTCGGCTCCAGGTCGACTAGGATTGCTCGCGGGATGTATCTTGTGTCGTCACTCTGGTAGTAGAAAACGTCCTTGCGATCACCGCCTTCGGTTGCAAAGTCCTCGAGGTTCCCGTCCTGGTTGATACCGTGCTCCTGGCAGAGTTGTTGCCAAAACTGGCTTCCGACTATGCAGTGTTAGCCTCAAAGCTCAGCAGTTGCCTTCCGTTTGAGCTACGATCGTTGGGCTCGTCGCAATGGTGGGGTGACTGACTGCTGTTGCCGCATTGTCCGGCCTGAACGGTAATAATTTCCCTGGAGTAGTTTGTTAGGAAAGGATATACACGAGATAGAGAGAGCTCGTGCGGCTAACCTTGGCATATTGCAGTATGACGGCGGGGGTTTGACGACGTTGGGCTTCTAGAAATGAGCTTCAAGAACTCGTGATGTTGGACGCAAGCCCCTTGTTCTTATCGATAAGAATAACGCGAAGCGCGTTCTGATAGGCTTACATAATCAAATGTGGGGGCCACAGGGACACTACTCTTGCACTTTGGCTTACATCTATCCCACAAACCGCCAGCCACAACTTAGAGACTTGAAATGCTATCTCCATTCCTTTTGTTTACGATGAAACAGCCCACGCGAACTAGTCAGGGCTGGTCTTTCATCTTTCTCAACTGGACCAGACTGTCTGTCGAAATGAGCACAATGCCCATGGCTTCTTGTATTGGCGGCCTCTTCATATTTTGCACAATGGGGTGTCTGAGTGATAGCGTATACCATGTAATCAACCCGCCCAAGAGGTCATGGGCCTCGATGAACATCTCGGATGTTTGTGGATACTTTAGCTATGTCGTCTTGTTCCCATTCCAAGCCAAGGTCGCTAAAGGAAAGTAATCAAGCTAGCTACTCGATCCAGACGAGGTCCCACGTCTTAGATCCATCCAAGCCCCTATTGAACGCCCCTATGGCCCATGCGAAATGCGCTAAGAAGAGCTATAATGAAAGGCGGGGAACCACAGATGCGGGATTTGCTTCGTCTGTAATTGTGGTCATTTCGAAAGTCGCACAGCCGTGGGAAGTTTGGTTTAGACGCAATCTACACCGGGCAGAAAGAGGCCCGCCTCTTGTGTAATCATGCAAGGCTCTTTCGGATGCGTCCCCCTCTTCGAAGCAAAGCATCTCGAAATAAGGTAACATCGGTAGCATGGGACCGGAAGCCCAAAGCCTGGAGAGCCAAATTCACTCGCACGTTTTCGGGCCAGCTGAACCGTAAAGTCGGTGCCAACTGTCAAGTTCCAGCATCTGCATCGCAAAAAAAGCGCCCAAACAGAGCAAGGAACGACTGAAGACCTGGACTGGGACATGGGACTAAACGCAGGTGGCGTGCCCGAAGGGAACCGCTGCTGGGTCCTTGTCTCTGATTCCACCCCCTATGTCTGCCTCCGTCGATGCCCATTGGCTCGGAGTCAAAGAAGCAATTAAGCCTGGCCCTCCACTAACGCTGCAACTTGGTTTGGGGATTGCTGACCATCACAAGGATTGCTGGTCCCTCCCTTCCCTCTTGCTGCACGACTACCCCATCGGCCCCCTTGTCTCTTCCCCGACGCGACCACCTAAGGTTCCTGAATCCCAGAGTCTCAAGTTCCCAAACACCACAACTGCAACAATATTGATCTTCTATCAACCGTGCAGAAGCGACCTCAGCCTGCCCTTTTTGGGTACTGCCATATCTTTCTGGTCTGCTGCCAGCGTTGTCAGTTGGTTTTTTTAAGCAGCTTTTCCGTTGATCGCAGTGCTGGTGATCTCCGACTCAAGCACCGTTGTTGTCTCGGTTTAGCTTCCCTTACACCCTTTACCATCCGGCCGCATCATTGCCTCGACCGCGATTTCAAGACACCCGACCTACCCCTACAATCCAGTCTTGCAATCACGAGCCCAACCCCTTATTGGGTTACTGTCTCTCATTTTGCGACGACGACAACGACGACAGCGACGACGACCGAGCCATGGTTGAAGCGTCCAATCCATTCTCTAACATTCAACGCAGCTTGGTTCTACGATACTAGTACGGTTTCCGATCTCTCATCGGTTCGCTCTTTCCATTTTACCTACACCCCGTCACCATGACGGACTCGAGACGAGATGAATCCGTATCGCCAATGACAAGAAGCCCTCGCGCAACCTCGCCTTCTACTACGGGCCAGCCAGACTCTCTTGCCGCCCCGCCTCCTCCACCAAAAGACGCTCCTCCTGCTCCTCCGAAGGACGTTTCCACGCCCAGAAATCCTTCCCATATCCCGATCGACGCCGGGATCGAAGCAAGAGACTATATCAACGGAGGAGCCCCCCACGACAGCGTATCGCCTATCCAAAATGGCAAGCGACCGGCACTACCCACTCTCAACTCGGCAGACAGCGCGTGTCAAGGCCCAGGAGGTCTCCCGCGGATGCCCGAAGATGTAACATACTCTCCCGAGCCAGCCTCGCCGACTGATCGTCGAAGCGTACAATTTGCTCGGACGGACACAGTCTTGGAGGCACCAACCAGCCATTCACGACAACCGTCAGGTGAAGATGGTGGGGGGAAGTCGATTGGTTCGGCCTTTATGACCAAGTTGAAGCAGCTCACTGGGTCAGGTAGCTTGCAAACCCTCAAGACAAGCAGCTCGGGCAACTTGAACGACAATGGCACGCCGCCGTCGATGGGAAACTCTCCAACCACCGGGCAGTTTAGGTCTAGGATACCCCACACACTTGAGGAGGATGGAGGCAGCGATGCGGACGCAGACGTTGAAGAGACTGCGGATGAAGGTGCCGCATCGGATGCCGCTAAGCCTAAGAAAAAGAGAAGAATGCGTCGTTCGAAGAAGCCGCCGACGTCCGTTCCAGGTACGCCAAACTTGCGGCATCTCCCCGGCCCCGATTCGCCTGTCGGACATGGTCGCATGGGTTTGCGAAGGCGCCTGAGTATGCCCGACCACCACCCTGAACAACAACATGGCATGTCAGAGGGCGAGGGACGAGATCAGCTTGCCGGACCCTCATGGATACGTTCACACCGCGCGCGCGATGGCGACGGCAACGAAAGCCCCGGCGGCAGAAGGATGGGTCACATGCGCCGCATCACCGTGCTCGGGGGAGGTGGCGTTTCTGACGGCGATGCTATAACTCCTAGGAGACCATTCTTTGGCGGCGAAAGGCCATCGACGTGGAAGTATGTCAAGAACACCTTGAAGCTTCTTAGGCAGAAGAAGGAAGACCGGTTTGATTTTGCCAAGTCAGCCGAACTCATGGCAGAATTGCGTGCCGGGGCCCCTGCTGTTCTTATGCTGGCCAGCATGATCCAGAGAGATGAGCACGGCAACAAGCGGATTCCAGTCCTCCTCGAACAGGTCCGTTTGCGTATAACCGACAGTCAGCCCGAATCCGACGACGATAGCGAACGACACTGGGTCTTCACGATGGACCTCGAGTATGGCAGCGGTCCAAGCCGGATGAAATGGACCATCATCAGAACGCTCAAGGATATCTACAACCTGCATGTGCGATACAAACTTGCGATGAGCAACGATAAGTACTTGCATGGTCGCGCCGATGTGGGAGCCCGACCTAAAATGCCCAAATTCCCTTGGGGCGCCTTCCCCTATCTCCGCAGTGCCCGCAACAAGGACGACAGCGATGAGGAGGACGGCGCAAGCCTCAGGGGCGACGACCTCGGCGAAGCAACTGCCGGCGAAGCCACGGCCGCCGAGGGTACTGCTGGAGAGGGCACTGCAAGCGAGTGGGAGGGCGGACGCGCTGGTCCAGGTGTTAGGAAGAAGTCCCGCCTTGGCATGCTCGGTATGCGTAGGAAGTCCACTGGTTTTACTGAGCCCGGCGAATCTGGGACAGAGAACCAAGCCGACCTCGTTCAGTCACGTAAACGGTACTTTGAACGACAAAGAAGGGTGTTGGAAAAGTACCTGCAGGATATGATCCGGTGGTTGATGTTCCGCGCAGACAGCAACCGCCTCTGCAAATTCTTGGAGCTGTCTGCGTTGGGTGTGCGTTTGGCCGCCGAAGGCAGCTATCACGGCAAAGAGTGCTATCTGCACATCCAGTCCTCCAAAGGCATGGACTTCCGCCGGGTCTTGACACCAAAGAAGGTCATCGCCCGGCACAGTCGCAAGTGGTTCCTCGTGCGGTCTAGTTACATTGTCTGTGTCGAATCACCTGAGAAGATGAGCGTTTACGATGTCTACCTTGTGGACTCCAAGTTTCGGATTGTTTCCAAGAAAAGCACATTGAAACAGTTGTCCAAGGGCAAGACCAAGAAGGATGAGAAGGAGATCGACCTGACAGAAGAGGCCGACGTGGAGAAGCATCACACTTTGACACTCCATACTGCCGAACGGAAGGTCAAGCTGTTCTCAAGAAACCAGCACATCATGAAACAGTTTGAGGACTCGATCGCCGAGATGCTCAAGCAGACTAAGTGGCATGACATCAACCGCTTCGACAGCTTCGCCCCCATTCGGACAGGCGTCTTCGCGCAATGGCTTGTGGACGGCAGAGACTACATGTGGAATGTGTCCCGCGCAATCAGCATGGCTCGCGATGTCATCTACATTCACGACTGGTGGCTTAGCCCTGAGCTTTACATGCGGCGTCCAGCGGCTATCAGCCAGAAGTGGCGCCTGGACCGTCTCTTGCAGCGTAAGGCCCGGGAGGGTGTCAAGATCTTCGTCATCGTCTACCGTAATGTCGAGGCGGCCATACCCATAGACTCGGAGTATACTAAGTACTCCCTCCTGAACCTTCACCCAAACATCTTTGTGCAGCGATCTCCGAACCAGTTCAAAAAGAACCAGTTCTTCTTTGCCCACCACGAGAAGCTTGTTATTGTCGACCATGACGTAGCCTTTGTCGGCGGGATTGACTTGTGCTTTGGTCGTTGGGACTGTCCGCAGCATCCAATCACCGACGACAAGCCAACAGGTTTCGAGCATAGTGAGCAACCAAAGGATGCCGAGCATTGTCAACTCTTCCCCGGAAAGGATTACTCCAACCCTCGAGTTCAGGATTTCTTCAAGCTTGATGAGCCGTACGAAGAGATGTACGACAGAAGCAAGGTTCCCAGAATGCCGTGGCATGATATTGCTATGCAGGTTGTGGGCCAACCGGCCAGAGATCTGACAAGACACTTTGTTCAGCGATGGAACTACGTCAAGAGAGGAAGGAAGACAACACGCCCCTTGCCATTCCTGCTTCCGCCCCCTGACGTCAAGATGCCCGAACTTGATGCTCTTGGTCTGACTGGCACTTGTGAGGTACAGATTCTGAGATCATCGGCTAACTGGTCTCTCGGAATCGAGCACACGGAATGCAGCATTCAGAATGCCTATGTCAAAATGATTGAAGACTCGGACCACTTTGTCTACATCGAAAACCAGTTCTTCATCACGAGCACTGAGGCTTTTAACACAAAGATCGTCAACCGCATTGGTGATGCACTGGTCGACCGGATCATCAGGGCACACGAGAACGATGAAGACTGGAAAGCATGCATAATCATACCACTCATGCCCGGCTTCCAGAACACCGTCGATGAGCAGGAAGGTACCAGTGTACGACTGATTCTTCAGTGCCAATACCGCAGCATCTGTCGCGGAGACGGTTCCATCTTCTCACACCTTCGCGCTGCTGGCATCGAGCCCGAGGACTACATCCAGTTCTATAGTCTGCGGCAATGGGGCAAGATCGGTGCCCGTAATGCCCTTGTCACCGAGCAGCTCTACATCCACGCCAAGTGTATCATTGTAGATGATCGGGCGGCGCTGATTGGCTCCGCCAATATCAACGAAAGATCAATGCTCGGAAACCGTGACTCTGAGCTCGCTGCTGTTGTTCGCGACACCGACATGATTTGGTCCACAATGGCTGGTAGGCCTTATCGCGTCGGTCGCTTCGCACATACTCTGCGGCTCCGCCTGATGCGTGAACATCTGGGACTGGATGTGGATGAGATCTTGGAGGAGGAGAGACAGGCTGACTTGGATCGTCAAGCTGAATACGAGGCAGAGATGAATCAGATCTACACAGACGATGCCGAGTCGTCTCCTGTTGCTGGCTCAAGCGGGCAGCATACAGACGAAAAGCTCACCAAGCCAGCGATGCCAAGCCAGGCTCCGAGCTTCAATCACGATGCCGTTGTAGAGCCTGATGAGGCGGCGGATGAGGCATCGTCCGTGTCTTCGTTATCTAAAGGTAAAGAGCGCGATGACCGCGTGACCGGAAACGAAGCCCACATTATGGACATTGCCGGGTACGGAAAGGACCATTGGAAGGATGCTGCTCAACTTGGTCTCGACCAAGGACGAGATTCTATCATCGTCAATGGCAGAGAGGTCCTTATTCGTGATGTGTTTCCGGAAGGAAAGGGCACTTTGGAGTCGCCAATGCAGCCACACGAGCGCAAACCGTCAGCCGATCACCATACGGAGGAAGAAGGGGGTGTTAGTAATGACGCTTTACCGCCCGTTCCGGCACTCAACAGACGGACTACCGACCAGCTTGGTCTGCCTCGGACCGCAGGGCTGCCCACTTTGCCTGTTGTGGACGACACGGATATTGGCGGCCCTCCTGTTCACTTGGATCAGAGCGGCCAGCCAACCAACGGGCCGTTGCATCCTCTGGCTGCCGATATCAGGCCCGCACATATCGATAAGGACTGCATGCGCGACCCGATCAACTCCTCCTTCTTCGATGATATCTGGAATAGAGTAGCGGAAAACAACACTAAGCTGTACCGTCGCGTCTTCCGATGCATGCCTGATTCGGAAGTACTTACGTGGCCCGACTACCGAGAGGCTGTATCCTATTCGGAGCGATTCAGAGAGAGCATGGAAGGGAAGACGAAGACCGACGATGGGGAACCCAGCCTGAACCGTCACCAATCCCCCGTTGCGGGCGGAGGTTCTGGCATTGGGGCGCCTGGCCCTAGTGCCATTGCTAACGGCGCCACCGAGAAGGCGGAGGAGAAACTTCACATCAAGACCAATCACTCGAACCATCCTCGGATTGTCATCCCCAGAGACGACGATGAGTTGAATGAGAAGAATGAACAACCCGGTTCGAGAGCTGGGCCCAACACGGACGCAGAGAGGGCGACTACTTCTCCCCGTCCATCAGATGCTCCGTCGCCTGTTCTCCCCGCTGGGGACGTTCCGTTCCCTGCATTTGAGACAGGCCCTACTGCAGATGCCAGCATGCTTGAACCAGCGCGGGACAAGAGTAGGGAACGACGGACAACATTCTCTCCTCTGGAGAAGGTGCCTTCCAGAGACGTGAGCATCTCAGCTCAGCAAACTCAAGGATCGGTTAGACGCCGCCGAAGGGCCACTACTAAGGGCAGCCGACGCGGCATGCCGCCTGAAGAGGTGCTGGGGAGAGGTGAAGCGGAGGAGCTACTCAGCATGATCCAGGGACACGTCGTCAACTTTCCCTACGACTGGTTACTCACTGAAGAGCAAAACGGTAACTGGGGTTTCCAGGTGGATGGTGTTGCTCCCCTGCAAATCTAGTAAGAGTTCATTCCTACCCATTCGTGATCTTAGACTAACAGCCACTTCAGCAACTAGGTGTTATCCAAAGTCGAGGATTGTCTCATGGATTTTATGAACAAAACCTCTCTGTACGGCTGAATCGTCGCAAGAAACATCTATACAGCGGATGGCGTCAGGAGGTGGCTTTTTGGCATCATAGGGTTTCTTCGTTGCATTATTTCTATTCGTGTGGCTTCGGCCCTTGTTTTTTACATGTACTATACACAGTCTTACACGACAGCCATTATTATATCTTTTCGCTCACCCAGATGGCGCCTCTGCACCCTGCCCGGATGATGCCGGTCAGCAGCCAGTGCGGCTTTGCGTTCTTGGCGTCATGCTCGACAGCGTGGTCAAGGTGTTCTAGCTCTTCGTCTCGAATGCGCCGCAGCGTCTTGATCAGATTGGTGAATTCCGGCCCAACCTCGTAGCCCTCAGCCTCCCACTCGCTGATCATCTCGAGCAGAGTCCGGATCTGGTTGTTGTAGTGATCGCCAATTTCCGTCTCGACAGCCTCTGTACAAGCCATTGCCGCCTCTCTTCCCATAACTGCCGTGCTCCAGCCTAAACCGGTCGACAAGAGCTGCCAGACAGGGTAGAGCGCAGTGGGCCGTACACGGTGCTTGTGAACAAGCGAGTTGAATGTTTTGAGGTGACCCTCCTCTTGCTCATACATGTGTGCCATCAGCGGTCGCAGGTGCGGATGCCGGTTCACAATCGGAGGGGTCTGGGCTGTGTAGATTCGGGTCGCGGCCAGTTCTCCGGCTTGATTGACACGTAACTGGCCATAATTTTAGTACATATAGGATGTGCGAGTGTGTTTTCTGTGCGTACCGCAGAGGAAAGGAAATCCCGCTGCTCCTTCGTCAAGGGCTTGCGACGAGGAGGCGCTGCTGCGCTTGTTGCTTCGGCCTGCGGATTGGTGGGTGAAGTAGAAAACTGTCTACATGAAATGCAAATGACCGGCGCAAGCGGGTTGCGCGCACCGAGCCTGGCGATGCCGCTGCAAGGCCTCAACAATGATCGTGTCGATGCCATTGTGTTGTTTGAAAGTGGGTAGTTCCCCTGCCTACTCAGAGCTCGAACTCAGCCGAATGCAAATGATGGTGTCAATGATATCGAACGACCCGACCCTGGTGGATGGGGGGACCTTTTCTGTATGCTGATTGGCTGATGCCATGCCGGATCGGATGAGCACAGCCCGACGCTCCGACGACCCACCCTGGTGCAGCTGAATGACATAAGTTCAGCCAATCATGCACGCGCTTGCGACACCGATGTCCAAAGGCTGTGAATAGAAGCCAGACTTCCAGGTCCTTATTCCAACCTACTGGATCATCACCATTCACCTTTGCCCGACTATCAATTCTATTATACTGATTAGGACGGCGCCTTGATTATCTGCACAATTCTAAGCAGCTGGTATCTTGTTTCCATATCGATAGCCAATCGCATAAACGAACGGCCCGTCGCGAACCCCCCGACTTGCCAGTCGCAGGCAACTGAGGCATCCTTACACGACTGCTTTAGCCATCCAGACTCACCATGGCTGACATTGATGACGAGCTCTTGGCTCTTGCGGGTGGTGGGGAGTCCTCCGATGAGGAGGAGGAGGAGGAGGAGGAGGTGATGTCGGAGGCCGAGAGCAAAGCGCAATCGGCATCACCGCCGCCCAAGGCAGCCGCGAAATCGTCGGTGGCAAAGAAGGTGAAGAAGCGTGTGGGTGGAAACGACTCAGAGGAGGAGGGAGAGGCGTAAGTGCCTCTCATTTTTTTGCAAATCCGCGCAGGCGCATTCTCGAACTTCGCCTTCACTTCCACATACTCGAGGCCAGGCCTAACCCTTTCTACTTCACGCCGCTTCGCTAAATTGCGCGCGCGCGCTTTCTTACTCTCACTCAATAACTACCTGCCTCTGCAATCCGCACCGCTAACACAATGCGACTTAGCTCGTCAGCACCCGGTAGCCCCAACTCGATCGGATCTGCCGCAATGGACGAGTCGGACTCGGAAGCTGAGCCGCAGAGAGCTGGACACGACGATGACGAAGAAGACAAGTATCCTGTCGATGGCATGTTCAGGAGTCTTGCCGAGAAAGGACAGGTGATGGCCATGCGCGAGGTCGAGAGAGAATCGCTGCTCGCAGAGCGTCAAGCCGAGATAGAACGTCACCGGCAGAACCGCATGCTGCGCCAGCTGGTCAGCAAGCAGGAGAACGAGGAGAAGAAGCAAAAGTTGAAGAAGCGCAGCGCCGATGCCGCCGACCTCGAGGACGCCTCGCGCAAGAACTCGCGACCGCGCACCGACGGCAAGACGTCTGCGATAGATACACTGCGTCGTGCACGAGCGGAGAAGAGCGACCGCGCCCGTCGTCGCGAGGAGGACCGCCAGAAGGGAACGCGCTCGCCGCACGATGATTACAGGGACCAGGACAGTGATGAGGGAGGGGACTGGGAGGAACGCGACCGCCGTCGCCATCACAAGTCGCGATCGCCAGATGATGAGATTGTCTCCCGCGAGCTGCCGCCACCTGATATCCGCGATTTCGAGCGTGTCCGCGTCGGAAAGAGTCGCTTCGCCGAGTACTGCTTCAACCCGGGTTTCGAGGCAGCCATCGTGGGATGCTATGTTCGCATCAGTATTGGCCCCGATCCCAAGACCGGCCAGGACGAATACCGCATGGCGCGCATCCAGGGTGAGTTCGGCGGCCCCTTGTTGTATGACGAACAGATTCTGATCCCTTCCAGCCATCACTGTTGGCAAGCCATATGCAATGACCGGTCCCGGTGGCGCTTTTGTCACTGACCAGTACGTCTTGGCGGCACATGGCAAGGCTGAGAGGCCATTTCCTTTCATTTTCTTGTCGGATCGGCCATTTACTGAGGTATGCCCCTCTCCCGTCCCCCGGCCGCTGTAGGTTCGTTGGATTAACAGGAGTAGCGCGAGTACAACCGATACGAAAAGGTCATACAGTCCGAGGGACTCACTCTTCCCAAGAAGCAGACTCTTCTCAACAAGATTGACGACATCAACGCACTCATCAATCATCACCTCACCACGACGGAGATTGACGAGCGCATCCAGCGCAAGAACGCCCTGCGCAAAAAGTTCGACCCCAAGGTCCGCGAGCGCCTCGCTCAAGAGATCGAAGTTGCGCGGCTCAAGGGCAACACCAGCAAGGCAGAGGAACTACAGGAACAGCTTGATGACCTTAAGACGAACGTGCTTGCTTTCAAGACGAGCCTCAGCGACACCTCGTCCAAGCCGAGTACGACGTCGCAGCAGGACCGCCTGGCCAACATCAACCGACAGCGCCGGCTCGAGAACGCCGAGAACGTCCGGAGGGCGCAGCTCAAGGAGAAGGCCGAGGCGCGCAAGCTGGAAGCTGCGTTGGAGAGGGGCGAGGACATCAAGAACGATCTCTCAAGGCGACTACGCACCAAGGCGAAGTTCATTCACGATGCCAACGACGCCATTAAGAAGCCGTCGGGCAAGGACAGCAACGCGAGCACGCCCGGGAACGGAACCCCAAAGCTTGGGGCCCAGGAAAAGAACTGGCTGCCAAACCTGGCCAAGCTGCAGGCCGCGAATCAGGAGAAGAAGGGCATCCCAACTATTCACAAGCCCCTCATGGACGATGACATTATCGGAGCTTTGGACCTCGACATTGACGTCGACATTGATTAAGAGGGTATCAATAGGGATTCATTTGTACGGCAGCCCGTGGTCGCTGTGCTTGGGTCGTTCACCATGTTGCTATAAAAGAGGGGCCGGGAATGGGCGGCCTACACAGGCACCGCGAGGTTTTTCTTATTTTACTCTCTTCGAGCGCAATGGGCTGTAGATTAAAGACACAAGTACTCCGCGGTATAAGCGAAACAGCGGCTTCTGCGAGAAAGCAGACCAGTCAAGAATTGAACCAAGCACGTACTGAGGGCGTTCTCATCACCTTGATTCAGCTTACCCGCCCCCCGTCGGGTGTTTTTTTTTTTTTTTTGAAAAAGTCCACAGTCCAATCAACACTGGGGCGGGGGGTGCGGCCGCAAGTGCGCTACTGCAGAGTACCGCCCACGGCGGGGTCGGACTTTAGGCTGCGTGGCCCGTACCGCCGGCGCGGGGCTGGCTCCATTCCGGCGCATTGGCTTCTGCACGTGGGGTTCTGTCCCCCGGCTGATGAAGCACCCAACCCAGGCACGCCGGCATGTCGTCGTCGTTGTCGTTGTTGCCTTCGTCGTTCCCATCCATTTAAGCCATCCACCTGCGCGCGCGCACCACACCCCCCTCCCCCGCTGCCGGCCATTGAATCATCCCGCGACCACGCGCAACCACGGGCTACGAGCCTGAGTTTGACCGAGGCAGCAGGTGCCGCATCAGTCTTTCCCTTACGGCTCTGCAGCCTACCAAGAATTATCTTGCCATTTTTTTTATGTTGTGCGAAAAGCTTTCCCCCACCTTGGATCCATGTTTCTCGCCGCCGGACCTTGCTCCAGCTTAAATACCTAGGTAGCGCCGGCCGCTACCATCGTTACCATCGCATCTTGCGACGTGTCTCGATAGAAATCCCTCCCTCCGTTCCGGATCGCTACGCGTGTTGGGTTGCAAAGAAAACCGTCACCAGAGAAGCAGCAGTATGGAAGCCATGACCTTAGAAACAAAACCTCTCCTCAGGGAAGGGTCGTCTGTCCCGTCAGGTATTCCGCCGCCCCGCGCCGTCGCACATGCGATCACCTCATTACCCCCTCCCTTTCCGCAGCGCCAAAGCTAACACGCAAACCCTGTACAGCGAATTTCGCCTCGTCCCTATCCGAGTCGCCCGCCTCCGCCTCTGCTCCCGCCCGCCCTCGCCTCCCGCAAGCCATCGCCCACCGCGGCTTCAAGTCCCTGTACCCGGAAAATACCCTCCTCGCCTTCCGCGGCGCCCTCGACGCCGGCGCGAACGCGCTCGAGACGGACCTGCACCTGTCCCGGGACGGCGTCGTGGTGCTATCGCACGACGGGAACCTGAAGCGGTGCTTCGGCGTCGACAAGAAGATCAACGAGTGCGACTGGGCGTACCTGGAGACGCTGCGGACGGTGATGGCGCCGGGAGAGACGATGCCGCGGCTGGAAGACTTGCTGGTTCTCCTGGCGGAGAAGGGAGCGGGGAGGGACGGGGTATGGGTGCTGTTGGACATCAAGGTACGAACGAGTGCGCGCTGACAAGTCCCTTTGGGGCCGGGTGGAGATCGACTTGTCGTCGAGGGAAGGTGGGTGCTGATATCGTGAGTGAACAGACCGACGACCCGCCGGCGGAGCTACTCGGCCGCGTGGCAAAGGTCCTAGAATCGACACCGGGCCCCGTGCCTTGGGAGAAGAGGATAATGTTCGGCTGCTGGAATGTAAGTCCCGTCCGCCCTGGCCTTCCTAAACGACTCAAGCAACCGAAGAAAAGGCTGACAACGCCCCGAGCAACCCTATATAACACACGTCCGCACCATTCTGCCCGCCTACCCCCTCGCCCTCATCTCCTGGTCCCCGATCTACGCCCGCGAGTTCCTCTCCGCCTCTCAGCCGAACCTGTCCTTCAACATGTTCCAGAAGGCTCTCGTCGGGCCCGTGGGGCAGCGCTTCATCAGGGACGTCCAGGAGGCCGACAGGCGGCTCTTCGCCTGGACCGTCAACGACGAGGAATGGATGGAGTGGAGCATCCGCGCAGGGGTGGACGGCGTCATCACTGACGATCCGGAGCTGTTCCTCGAGGTGTGCCGGCGCTGGAAGGGCGACGACGACGATGACGACGACGAAAGGACAGTCTCGCTCAAGGCTACGGGCGAGGACCCTGCGGCGCGCGCGGCCCGGAGGGCGGGCCGCGTCCGCGACGGCACGTGGAGGCGGGCGCTAAGACTCCACCTCAACGTCGCCGCCATACAGGTCCTCGTGCTGCTATTCACGCCGGTGCTGATGATTGTCGCGCGGTTCGGCTTCGTCGGGCCGGGGCCGAAGACGGCCAAGGCATTGAGGCTGTGATGCCCAGTGTTGAAGACGATGATGAAGGCGGGGGGCGGCGGACGCTTGCAGGCTCGCACGTCGCAGTGCACCCGATTCGACAGCTCCCAGACTCGCCAAATACGAGAAGAACCAAGACTGAGATGGCAAACATGCAAGACAGAAGAACGCTCGTTTCTGGATTGCGGACGCTGCATGAGGCCACGAAACAGTGCGCCGACGCTGCCGCAAAGGGAGGGCTAACGAAGATCCGCAAGACACAGATGCCAGAATAGAAAAACGTGGACATGGGCGAGGCTTCCCTCGGTGGGAGGCGCAAAGCGATAGATCATCAAGTCAACGCAGATAGGATCGGTGTATGTCATACGGAGACACGCAAGGGGTTTTCTCATCATGGACGATGACAGGAGTGGGTAACGCGGGGTTGGATTAGGTGGTGAGTTACGTGACATCGCTCCCCCACGGCAGCAACACCCCGAGCATTTGGCAGGTCATTTGTCAAATAGAAGACGAAAGTCAAAGATCAACATGCTTGAGAATTCATAATAAAAAGAATTATATGTCCAAATCCCACATCAGAGCATCAAATCGAAGCCAAATATTTGTCCTTGACCAACCCAAAGAGCCTGTTCCCAAACCATCCCCACCCTAACCTTCTCAAGGAGTCTGTCGCTAGAAAATAAAATGGAAAAGATAAAAATAAAAACCAGAATCCCAACTTCGAGAGTCGATGCAAAAGCCTCTCGCTGTCGATGCTAATCTCACAATCCATAGTTTCCATCTAGCCCATCAAGAAATAGCCCGTCACTGTTCGCACTGCACGATGCGAGCAGCGCGTTCCGATATTCCAGGCTGCTTACGCTCAGATTCAAATCGCTCGTCAGGTCCTCTCCGGAGCTGAGGCTTTCCTCGCTAACGCTCAGCACACTCTGCGGCGGTGCCGGGTTCGTGTCAAAGTCCCCAAGATTGAAATTGGCCAGATCCCATGAATCGGGGCTCCAGCTGTCCAGTCCTGTTGACGACGCTGGCGTTCCGCCAATCACTGGCAGGCTACTGGCTGCGCCACCGTAAATGGCGTCATAGACGTTGTTCAGCCCGCCGTCCATAGAGCCCAAAAGCGCTTCCCATTCTGAAGAGGACACACCCGGGACCTTCTGCGGTTGCTGTTGACGTTGCTGTTGCTGCTGGTGCTGGGCGTAGAGGTTCTGGTGTGTTGCGGTCACGATGTGGCGGTGTAGACGCGCCGGGGTTGGCGGTGATGGCGAAGAGTCGTTGGGTGTGCTGCTGAGGGACAAATAGTCCAGATTCTGCTTCGACGTCGTGCTGGTATGATTGGAGATCCGAGACATGGAAAGCCGCTGCTCGCGGCGGGCGGCTATGCTTTTCTGTTGCAGGTTCTCGGACGACGGCTTTGAGCGGGACCGGTACAGCTCTGGACGCTCATTAATGTTGGGCATGGTCATGCGGCGCATCTTCTCCTGCTGCCTGATCAGGTTGTTATCGCTAGTAGCGGCACTGGGCAAGCGACCGAGAGTCTGTTGAGGTGACTTCTTCTTGGGCGCTGACGCGGGCGGCGATGACCGTTGCGGCGCGGGCATGGACGCTTCGGGGCTCTGCTGCAGCAGAGTGGGCAGGTTAGCCTCGTCGAGTCGAACGAGCATGCCGGCTACGCGCGTAAGATCGAAAGACCCTGAGGCCTTCGCTTTGGTGAGAATTTGGAGGACACTGTTGACCATCCGCTCTGTATCCTTTAGAATCCTACTGTCCTGCTTCAAGTCGAAACTCTGATAGAGAAGAGTGATGCCGCAGAGCACCAGGGTATCTGTCTTGTTAAAGCAGAAGGAGTAGGTCATATTGCGTTCCTCCAACAACTGAATGATCTGAACAATGCGCTTCGCGGATTCGGCAATTGACATCAACGCGGGTGCCGCTTTATGGCCAAGCGAGGAGCCCACCGCAGGACGGAAAATGAGCGTCTTTGTGTAGTAATACGCAAGCGCAAGCAATGGGGATCGGCTTCCAGTAATGTCGGTCGAAGGTTTGTCTTGTTTGAAGGTGAGTTTGAGATGGGTGGGCAGAGATTCGCACCACTCGTCGAGCTCGGCGTCCATGGCGGACATTTGCTGCAGCGACAGCTCGTGAGACGTAGCGGCTGGGTAGTTCGTTTTCATGACCTTGGCAAGGATCCGGCAACAACGGAAAAGTGCCAGGGCGCTCGAAAGACGAGTGTACTCGCCGGGAAGGGTTGGTTGGAAGCCCTTCTCAGTCACATACTCGTCGTCGGTATCCGACGGATACTCGGTGTGGATCTCATCCTCCTTGAGCAGTTGTGGCAGGCCTAGAATAGCTCCAGAGAAGCTACGATTGTTAGTCAGGGTTTCTCACTGAGGATGATGGGACTTACCAGTCCAAAGTGTAGAGCGTCCAAAAGACCTTCTTGCGGGTCTCGATAGTGAGCGCACCAAAGGAGAAGCGCTTCTGGCTCTGATGCAGTCCCAGGCGGTGAGACAAGCCCACCGCGATGCCCTTGTAATGCTGGAGGCGCTTGTAATCCGCTCTTACGAGGCAGTAAAGGAGGGCCAACTCAAGACACTGCAGTGTGATCATGGTGTTATCCATGAGGACCGCCTCAACAGCTCGCTGCCATTGCTGCTCGCAGGCCGCAACCTGCTCGAGGTCGGGCTGGTCGCTACCCAGCGCCGCAATACCAAAGACCAGATACAGCTGGGCGATTTTGTGGTTATTCCTGACCTTTTCCGGGTCAGAGACGAATTCCTCATAAATATGGAGGAACGTTGGCTTGTGCAAGACGGGGAACAATGGCGCCCATTCTTGGAAGTAAACGTTGACGCATCGGTCGGAAAACAGACGCGGCGGCACCTTCAGAGACTTGTCGGGCGATTTTGATGTAAGAGGATGACAGCCCTGGATGTGCAAAAAAGCTTCTGGGTTGAAGTCCGAGCAAGATTTGCCGTTTTCTTGCATCTTGCGCTTAAACGCTTCTGTTATCCCGTGTTAGCAAAAGTCGTCCTCGCTCAGACCGCGCACGGGATGACAGCAGTAGTGGTACGAACCGATAAAGGCACGGCCGCTCGACGGCCCCATAAAGTATGAATCTGAATTATCAACGCCGAGCAACAACGGCGACGCCTGCACGCGGAAAGTGTCCTCCTTGGCCGGGGTCGCGGCATCCCTCCTGGCGTCGGCGGCGGACGCCGGCGAATGCGCTGACACGGCGATGGAAGGGCTGCGATGGATCGCATGGCTGTGATTTCCGTGCATCCTCGACAGCATGTCGATCTTCTCATCCTTCTCATCCAGCAGGTCTTTCAGTTCCCTGACTTCGTTCTCAAGCTGGCGCACGCGCTCCTCGAGAGACTCGGTGTAGCCCCGGGGGAAGGCGCGACGGCTGAGCTTGTCGCTCGTGCGGCATTCGAAGCCGACATTGGCGCATTGCGAACAGGTCGGCCTGATGCCGTCGCAGCGGATCTTCTTGCTCCGGCATCGGTCGCAGGCTTGGGCTATGCGGCTCTGGGAGCTGGTGCCCACCTTGATCACCTTCATGGGCAGGATTCCAGGCATGATGGCGTCCCACCTCGTTACGAAATTGGCGATCTATGTTTGGTGGTTTTGAGGGTTTGTGGCGTCGAAGGAGAGGGTAGGCGTCTACTGGTTCAGCCTCGGGGGCTTCGGCAGGTGGGGTTTTCTTTTGGTGGTATTGTTCGTCGCGTGGGCTCGTTCAACTTTGTTGGGCGGTGGCTGGGGTATCGGCTATTCGCATACAGATCACGTTCCCTCCTCAAAATATCACCGAGTTGTTTCGTAAATATCGTGGTCGTAGGGTTTGCAGGTAGATGGTATCTTTAGTTACTAAGAAAAGAAGAAAGTAGGTTCGTGAGAACACCGGTCTTCCAGACACAAAAAGCAAAGATACAACACAGAAAGGGGGAGTGGAGATTTTCCGTCTGCAACCCGGAAGCGGCGGGAGGGCAGAGCACAGTGAACACGTGAAGTTGGAGGAAGAAGAACTGAAGATGTTGAGTCGGAGTCGGGGGTTGTGTGAGGGAAAAAGGAAGAGAAGAAGAGGAAGGTGGTCGTGGAGAAGGATGCGCGACTGTGGAGTATCTTAGTGCCTAGTGAGGGAAACGGCCACGGACACTGGACAGCACACTAAGGCCTATCTGCCTGCAATGTTGTGGGGTGAGGGTCTGGAGCAGAAAGACCCGTGAACGGGAGGGCGGGACCGGGGTGTATGGGGGGCGTGTCTGGGGAGTTAGGAGACAGCGACTGATTCCCTCGGGGAAACGAGGATGGCGAATGCCTGCATCTGCCACAGTAGAAGAGTCAGCTGCACTATTAAAGCCATACTGGGAGTTATTGCTCTAGGTATGTCCATCGGGATGGAGCGGAACCGGACCGGAACCGGAACCAGAGCCGAGACTGACACTGGCACAGCTCCCGGCTCCAGCACTCGCTCTCTGCTCGTTGCTTTTTGCTCGCTGCGCTGCAACTATGAACTCGCACGCACTCTCTCACAGAAAGAACGCCCGCCCTCCACCGCGGGCGGGGAGGCCAAGGAAGGGGAAATGTGGGGGAAGAGCTGCGCTGCCTGGGGTCTGCCGAGCGACGCGAATTCTAAACGTTGGGAGAACGTTGGGGTGGGCAGCAGAAGAACGCTAGTGGAAGTGAGGGGAGCCAATTGTCGCCCGGCAATTGTTACTGAGGCTGGAAGGTACCTAGGTAGTAGGTAGGTGTGTACAGTGACATGTATGGGCACCTAGGCAGATATACTGCTGGGCTCCACCCTCAATTCCCGGCAGTGTACGGATATGAATGATACTAGTCCGCGGATAGGTAGTATAATACAAGTACGGATACATTTGCGCTACACGCACCAGAAGCAGTGCAGAAGCACACCACACACCACTCCCACCATCATGTTATTGTCTGTCGACGTGCCTCGCCGCCTCTTGTCCAGCCGGCATTTACTCCAAAACACCAGACTAGAAACCGCGTGTCATAGGGTATCTTCTCGATGCAGGCCCCAACATGGCCTTTCCAGCCCGCCGGTGCCGTCCCTCCCAAATGATGCAGCCCAGCTCAAATCCTAGGAAGCCGTCCAGCAAATGCAGCCATGACACCACTCGACCCCGGAAGAGGGGGTTCGTATGTGAATCCTGACCCTCCTCTACCAAGTACAAGCTCTCCGGTTCATCCAAGACTGCTTTTTCAAAGTTTCTCTCCATGCATCGTGCTTCGACAGGAGGCTCTAGGCCCTTCAAAATGGCCCCACCCCCCGGGAGACTGGCATTTCCGTTGGCTGTTGTCGCGGCGCCGTCAATATGATGAAGCCCTGCCAGCACAAGCACCGCCCCCCCTTGTAGTCCGAGCCCATCCTTCCGACCACCCCCGTTTTCCCCAGGTTTTCACCGGCCAAGGAAAGTAGTTTACATTTACATGCATGACATGGCACACCTCGTGGGCAGAAAAGTAAAAACTGTGAAGCGACAGACCTGCAAGTCTAAACCATGTTTCGGCAAGAACAGGAACTGCAAACTGGAGCAATGGGACATGGGGAAAAGGGAGCCCTAAGCAATGCATTGATAGAACTGGGGAAAATCCGGGGCAGGGGGGACCGGCATGGGATAAGAGCTTCGTACCGTTACACTAGTGCCGGGGCCCCATTTGGTGAGATGTCGGATCGGTCAAGGATCGCTGCTTTGTCACTGGTGGCCAATCGTCGTCGTCGTCTGACCAAGCTGCTTGGCCCACGCAATCCCATCCCCGGGTTTCTCTTCAGCGCCTTTCTCCACCGAGAATGCCCGCTTGGATTACCTAGGTACCTCTCCCAAGCCCTCGACTCCTCAGTGGCCACGTTCTACGGATACCCTCGTCCAATAGACCTGAGACTTGCACTCCAAGGATCCAACCCAGGTTAGCAAGCGGTGTAATGCTGTTGGTGACGGTCTACCCACTCAGAATCTAGCCGCTCACTGAGGGCGAGGGCAGCCCGTCAAACTTTCAGGATGCGCGAGATCGCTCAACAAGAGCTCATACTATTCTGACCCGGTGACGCCTTGCTGATGCAATGAGGAAAGACCTTTAAAACCGGCATCTGTCGAAGAGCAGCCATACCACAACCCACAACACCTATGCTGTCTGGTAAAGGTGGTCGGGAACACGAAGCTAGGTTTCTGTGCAGCGCAAGTTCTTGCTCATAACCTCCCTTCTCCGCCCTTCCCCTTCGAACCAACCAGCTTCGGCTGAACGGTAAGGTCAACACTCCGGGTTCTTGTCGTGCGGGTGTGCTCTCCGCTGGCGTCGAAACTCTTTCTGTCTCGCTCGTCCGGTTCCTTTTGGAGAACGGACTTGTCTCGCCAACTTGAACTATCCCATCCCGGGAGATGGGTGCCTTTCAAAAGTCAAAAGAGGCCTTTTCTCTGCTTTTTCCGAATCAGATGGAATAAGTGTTCCTGCCGTGCCAGAAGCTTCGCGACGTGGGCACAGCAATAAAAAGCTGGAAACCACGCACATAAATTACCCCCGTCCGAAGACACATGGTTTCAAGTATTGGCTGGGGCCCGGGGGGTGGCACAACCCATATTCGCTTACGCCGACCCAAAATCGCTTGGCCGATGAAAAGACGACGTCCTCCTCTCCCGCAACCCTTGTCCCCAGTCTCCACTGTTGGCGATCCACAGACGCAGGTTTGAGGGCGGATACGCATCCTGCAGCTTCTCCCTCCGGACGCGCGGGGTATGTGTCCTTTCCAACACGCCTCCGTTGAGATGCAGGCTCGGAACCATTAGGGACGACAAGCTATCGTGTTGAGGCCTTGGTTGCCATGCGAATTTGCCCGCCACGATTCGTCGAGACTGCTTTCTCCATGCAAGGACAGGGCGAGGTCCTCTCCCTTCTTTGTACGACGCCTTCCGGCTCGTCCTGCTCTTGTCATCTGCTCTCCTTCCTTTAGCAGGGTCCGGGGGGGTTGGTGTACCGCACAGCGCGGATCGCCCGCTACTCGGCATGCCATCCCCCGCCGGTCCTTGACTGAAAACAGGCTGTAGCTGTTGATTATTACTCTCGCAGAACCCCAGTTCGGCCCGAAATGTTACCATTCTACCGCAGATGTCTTTCTCCTGCGTATCGATCGACACTTCAATTTTAAATCAAAGTTCCGTTCCTAAGGCGGCCAAGCTATGTCGATCTCCTTTGCATGTAGGTACGGCCACGAGGCTTCCGACCACCGAGAACATGTCTGAGCCCTATTGAGACGTATGGCTCCTGGCCAAGAGCATTCCGATGAGGGGGTCGAAACAAGGCAGACTCACTCAAAGCCATTCACTGTCGATAAACGGTGACTGCGAAGATATATCCACATATATTCAACGTCACACGCGGGACAACCAAAGATTTGTCGCTGGCCTCGCTCATCCGTATTTCACTTTCCCCACGGGAAAGACACTGCAAGCTGAAAACATGCCGGAGGGGCACAACAACCTGACTAGAAAAGTTTTGCAAGCTTTTAATGATCCAGAGTAAGGGCGCAAGTGTAGCTCCGTGATGTGACCTTCGCTAGTCTCAACCATTATACTTCATAACGGCAAACTCTGTGGAGGTGAGTCAAGAAATATGCCTAGACCTCCGCGTCAAAGTGAGCTGAATGAATCGACCCGGCTGTATGTGTATGGCTTTTATTGACCTTCCCTCTCTAACTGAAGTCTTCCTCGTCATTGGATACCTCGCCTTCGGCTAAATCGTTTTGGGTATCTTCCATCGATCCGAGATAAGCCACCACGCTTTCGTCTGCAAGAAGTTGTGTTTTCTGCAAGGTTGGGCCACATCGCCCATCCTTGTTAGCCTTGGTACTATGTGCGGGGAAATAGGCAGCCACTTGGGACAAGGACGAAGAAGGGATCCAGAAAGAAGGCAGGGACCTCGAGCAGCAAAGCGGTTGAAAAAGGAAACGAGCAGACAATCGTGAGATTTAACTGCAACCCTGAAACTGGCAGAGACAAGCCAATGGACAAGAATAAACTTACTTGGTCTTCGAGAGCCTTCACTGCAGCTTCCAGCAACCTAGTCTCTTGCTCCCTCAGCATGGCAGCTGCGTTGATGCACGCCCCGCAAACGAGACCCCCTTCGTTCAGTGACTCGTCCAAGTCCTCCAGTGGCATGCCCGTAGCCAACCGTTCCAACTGGTTGGTCACTAGATCCTGCAAGACGGTTACTACCCGAAGACGAAAGATTTGAGCAAGAGGATGATCGCCAATGTGTTGACCGAAACCCGCTGTCGTCGTTGTTACATCCTCTTCTTGCCAGAACAGCTTCAGCTCCCGTGATCCTCCGGTATCCTGCAGAATACGAAACGACAGGCCGTCTTCTTCGTTGAGGCACATTAAATAGGCAAAGGGACTTTCCCAACTAACGGAGTGATTCGTCCGGACAAACTCCACAGTCGGGGGGCCCTCGAAGATGTGCAGTTTCGCCTTACCCAGCGGGTCGTCTTCGAGAGGTGTTAATGGTAGCGTGATACGGTCCGCAGCTGACGCGGGGTCGATGAACCCGTAGCTGAATAGCATCTCGGCTCCGGATTTTGCATCCCCATACGAGATTGTCATCTCTTCCCCGGATGAGACCCTGCAGCCAGGCCGCAGGAGCAGAACCACCTCGTCCTTGCTGTTTTGTTCATAATATGCATTGGCCTTGGATGAGTGGTTTGCCAAGTCCAGTACCGGAACCATGGCCTCGCCCGATTTGGGAAGCTCCAGACATCGGGAGCGGAACCATGCATCGACCCGAACCCAGTCGATGAGTGAGACCTTGCCGCTTTCCCAAAACAGTTCGTTCCATAAGGGCAGCGAGGAAGACACCTCGCGGAGCTCGTCGAACTCGTCGGAAAGTGCAACGATCTTAGCAGCCGTGGCCGACTATTGTCTATCAGAAATTGACCCTTGTACGGGAACCGCTGCCTTTGGCACGCCGGGTCGCCTCCCTTCAGCCGCAAACTCCTTGGCTGATGGATCAAAATTCCTTTAATTGGAAATTAAGCGCGCTAATGGGCGGGTGCGTTGGGCACCCTCCATTAACAGGGAATTTGTGATGTGATGTAAAGTGCCATTGCGTAGAGGTTTGCGATTTGAATGAGCGCACCCGACTGACCGATCGGCGTCGCGGTAGCGCTTCTAGGAGAGGCTATGCTCGTCTTCCGAAGAGAATCATGGAGAGGAGAGACTTACTTCAAGCGATGTTCCGTTCAGCATTTGCCGCTCTCGCACGGTCCAAAGTGTCGTGACAGGCACCTGCGGTGGTAGATATTTGATGTACTCGGTCCAAGGCGTCGGCACACCGCCATGCAAGGACGTCTCCGGCTGGTCAGCGAGGATTTGCTGTGTAAGCAGAAAAATGCAGATGTCATGCCGGGTCGACTTTGCCATAGGTCAGTGCCGGAGGCGATCAAAAGCTGGAGCGAAGGGCCACATCTACCTTATGTCCAGCGACATTTAGCAGTTGACGAAAGTTCTTGTCGACCTTGGCGTAGTTTTCGACAGCCTCTGCAGATAGGATCAGCTCATGGGGAATCCTCAGCAGAGTCGGTATGTCCAACGTCTCCTCCTCGCGGCTGAGGTCCTTGTTCGAGACCAATCCGAGACCGCAGCCGGGGATCTCGCGCGCCTCGACGTCGACAAGGTCTACATCGTTGAACATGGCCCAAGTGGATAGAGTATCGAGGGGAAGCTGAGAGGCGGCCATAATGAGGAGGTTTCCGGCGTTTTTGAGATAACTAACAGTTGGGTTCAATTGTCTGGGTCGACAACTTTTCGTTGGCGGAGTGGCTTGTTGGGTTGGCGGTCGTTCGATAGCGCTGCGGGCCAAGCTGGTGGATCACTCAATATTAGTGCCTGTCAGCAAACGACCAGGAAAGTGCGTCACCTGCTGGGCTTCAAGGATACCGTTTGTCACAGATTTCTAGATTCCTCCATGCTATTTTGCCACCAAAAAAAAAACCACCCTAAAAAATCCGCTGTTCAATTCTAACTAAGAAGCATAATTGAGCTATACTCTCCTTTGCGCCCATGTGAGCTTCTTCCACAAGGACCTGCGTTGTGGGTATCCCAACCACTCAGGTTATGGGTTCAAGCATTCGCAAGCCGTAGTGTGTTGGAGATGACGACAATATTGAATATCTAAAACTTCTATGACTAGCAACCAGGTTTGCCGCCGGTAAACGAGTGGTTGTTTTTGAGAAGCCACTAAACTAAACAATTCCCTCTATCCCGTGTGTGCACTCAATATCATGTATGTAGGCCAGGCCACCGCGGCGAGGCCCAGGTATCATCGCTGGGGAATAATAAAATAAGGAGATCAAAAGCAAGCTCAAACCCCGTGCTAAGTGACTTGACTCCCTTTTCTCGTCTCTCGTAGCTCATAATATGCTCAATATGGCGGCAGCGTGCCTCCTTGCCCACAGCCATTGAGCCGCAGCAAATTCAGACCCTCGGCGTCTAGTTGTGGTTCAACGACCGCTCCGAGGGAAGAGATGATCACAGGGCAGACAGGCGGCACGAAGTGCGGCCGCTTCCTTATTCCTGTGCAGGTTCTTCTCGCGATTTTCTCGCATCCACGCCGTTGCCTGCAACCATTCCGGATTCTTGCGGACATACGCCGGCAGCTCCTCCTCAGGAACGTCTCCAAAATCCATGGGTCTGTGGTGCGACCATGGTTGAGGTGGCTTATTATGTAGAACTGGCAAGCCCTGTTCGGCGGCACGTTTTTCTTCCTTATCGAGTCGCTCCGTCTCCAATCTCTGCTGCCTCATGCGTTGGGCTGCTCTGCCAAAGTTGGCCTTACGTCCACCGCGGGACTTGATTTCTTCCATCTTGGCTCTGTACCAATGATCAGAGCGATTGTGCGGCCAATGGATACGAGGATCGAGCCTCATGTAGAGTTGCTCGCGGCTTTCTCCAGAGAATTGGACGTTTGTCAACATGTTGCTCGGGGCTACCGGTACAAAGACCCCCTCAGGAGGGCTTGTAGCTTCGGCCTGTCCATATATCATTGCGTCGAACTTGGCGGAGTTGAAGGTTGCGCACAACTGGAGTCGGCGCTCTTCGCAGTTCGTCTTCCCTCGCTGTTGGTCAGGCGCCATCTTTTGGTGGTCGACCCCACCAGTGATTGATGGTAGATTTGCATTCTTGAGGTATGCTCTATCGGCGGGTATGATAGTGCGGTGGCTTTGCCTATTGAGAGGAGTCACCTGCGATGTACTCCCAATGTTATACGCACCATCTTCGTTACCGTCTACGTCGTAACCGGAAGAGCTCAAGACAATGGGACTGTGCGCTACTCGTGTGCGAAGCATACTAGGCCGGTTCCGTCGGCTTTGGGTTTGTGACACTTCGGAGTATATGTTGGAGACTCCAAGAGATCTTTGAGAGGTCGTAGGAGCTTCTGCAGTCGTCCGAGCCTCGCCGTAGATGGTATTGCTCTCAAGCATGCGCGGAAGCGCCCCCTTTTCACTTCCACCGATCTCATCTGACGAACTAAGCCCGGATGATGACTCGGCACTGCTGCCCCTCTTCCGCTTGCTGGCCGAAGCTGACCGTAAAGCTGACGGGGCAGTCTTCAACTGCATCGGCGGCAGTCGGTTTGTCCTGACATAGGGCAACGAATCAAAGCTCCTGCTCCGGGAGGATGGAATGGAGGCTGTGATGGAATCTTTTGCGATGGATTCGCACATGCGATCCTTGGAAGCCCGTTGACCGTCACGGCTGCCGGCAAGAGGCGTACCGGTCTCAGTAGGTCTTGTCATGGAGGACCGGGGTACTCGAAGAGTTTTGGTAGCTGGGTTGATGTTCGACGAACTGGTCTCCAACGTGGCGTCACCCTCTGGAGCCCTTCGCTGGCTTCGCTTTTCGGCGACAGCCCCATAGTCCGTAGACATGTCGTTGTTTGGGTAAATATTGACCAACCGTTTGATGGTGGTGTTTGGGGACGGTGTATGGGCTGCGGTGATAAAGGACTGAAAGGGGTTGAAGGCCCCCGAGGCAGGATGTTGTTGTTGGGTAGTTGGTAGGCCAGAACCACTGGTGTGCGTGCCCGTAGGATTGTTGCGGGAATCCGAACCAGTCAATATTGTCTGTCTTTTGGAAGAAGCTGACGAATAAGTCGCATTTCTAGCTGTTGTGGCAAATCTTGTGGCAAGATCTGGCAGAAGATTGGACTTTCTGCCTGTTGTCAGAGAGCTTGTAGACGAAGCCAGACCAGACTCGTCCCGTGAGTTCCTCCGCCATTGACGAGAGTATCCGCTTTTTGACTGTTCTTCTGTTTGTGTCTGCGCCAAGTGCTGAGGTGAGTCTTGCCTCACGGCGGGCTTGCCAAATCCAGAACCAGGTCGAGACCTAGAAGAGTCGCCGATAGCTTTGAAAGCATGGGCTTGGTTATCTCTATTTCCGAGACGCAGTTTCTTCCCGTGAGAAAGACAATATTTTGAGTTTAGTGCAACAGATGTGCACCCCTCCTCAATGCAATTATCTGAAAATTGACGAAACGACTCCATTTCCTCGCTAGAAAGCCCCTCATAGGAGAAGCACTAGTCTTCTTCAATTGACGAGGTGATTTCAGCTTCAATGGACTTTGAATGACCGGCCCTTGGAGGGAGACAAGGCTACTGTTACCCTCCTAGAACCACAGAGGTCCTGTAGCCAGGGAGAGTCCCTCAGCTCGAACAGGGTGAAGTGCGTTGTCTGAACAGCTCCAAAACAAGTTCATCCAGACTGGGTGGCTTGTGATAGGACCGTCCAGCGGCCAAAGGTCAAGAACACCGCCAAAATGCTGTGGGTTATGACGCTTCTGGTGCACTACTCTCCTGTGAATAAGTCACTCTACTGCCGAAGAAAGAGGTACAAAGAGCGCCAAATATGTTGAACTTCATCGTTTGAAAGTCGAAGACGAAGTGGTGAGACAAGATGCCTGGTGGGCGACAGTTAGCAGATTGTTATCAAAGACGTGGCCTGAATAATCCAAATGGATCAAAGTTTGAAGATGAAGCATGCGCTCAGGTCTTTTCAGTCTTTTTTTAGTCTTCATTTTGGGGATCACAACGGTTTTATTGCTTTGTCTTGCCCTTTTCTGTCATGTGTGCCACAGCCTTTGGCCCCACTTCGTCGAGGTAACTAGAAGCAGGACTCCAAATCTAGGCATGTTTATGTTGTTTCTCAGTCGTGTGCGAGGCTGCAATACTAAACAGCTTCACTAAGCGCGCGACTCTTCGCTTGGCGAAGGCGTTGCAGAGACGAGGGCGTGGCTTGTTCATGAAGAACGAAGTCATATATGAGGAATAAGACGAGGCAACAACCCCAGAAGAATCCTTTTCGATCGGACCTTTTACCAATAGTCATCACTGCGCGTTGGGATTGAGATTCCCTAGGTGAAAGAGAGAAAACGGGACTTTGTGCCCACTTACTGGTTGAGAGCTGCCCTTCCCCCACGCTCGATTTCGCGGCTTCGCACCCTTCGCTTCACAGCTATTGACAAACAACTTTCGCATGGATCCGAAGGGGAGAGGCCCTTGGGTTTCTGAAACGATTTCAAAATCCTGTATGGTAGCGACGTAAGGGATGTAAGAGGATTTTCTCCTATCGTAAGGGCGCATACGTAGAACGCGACTTGAATGTTCATACGAGTCGCGAAAGTGGGTGTTGAGGCTTTGGCCTCGCGTTACGTTCAGTGGAAGTTGATGAAAGCCGGGTTGCATGAGCCCACTGGGAGGACCTTGGGGCGGTAATCCTTGCCTAGACAGCTTCGCTACTGGCCGCGGGGCCGTCATTTCACCATTCGGGCCCACATTAGGCGTCGGCCACGGATCATCTGCAGTCCGTATCACCCCTCCATCCATCCAAACAAGCCTAGCGCGGGGGTCTTTTGGGCCAGAGGAAAGCTACGCCTAGTGCCCCTGTTCAGCGGCGACGGTCCACTACGGAGTATCCTGTCGCCAAATTGCCTGAAGCTCCCTGCCCAGCTCCAGCAGCGCGTGTTGCAACGTCGCAGCCTCTCCACGTCCTCTCAACAGCTCTATTGGTCTTCTTGCTTGACTGAATCTTTGGCTGCTCAAGCTTTTCTGGATCTGGACGAACGACATGAACTTCCTCAAGTCGGCAGTTGCATCTGCCATTGCCCAAGGGCCGCCGTTCCCTTACAGCTTCGGTGACAAGGTGGACATCGACGAGTCCATCTGGACGCTTAATAACGGCACCAAGCGAGTATGTCTAGCCACTGCACGAGGCAGCCGAACTTCCGAAACCTGACAACTTAAACAGGAAGATGGATCCAACTGTAGCATATTTTCCTTCGACGCTACTGCCAACAAGTCTCGGCTACCCCTGGCCAAGAACGCTTTGCGCAAGCTGAGAACACTACGCCACCCAGGCGTTATCAAGGTGTTGGATACGGTGGAGGTATTTATGGTGCATGATCAGGCAAGGCATAATCTGATACAGTTTTGCAGACCGATACATACATATACATTGCGACCGAACGAGTTGTGCCGCTGCGATGGCATGTGAAGAGGAAAAGCCTTACACCAGAGACAATCAAGTGGGGTTTGAGTAGTGTTGCAGTATGTCGAAACGAATGCGAAGTAAACATAGGCACTGACAGCCTTGCAGCGGACAATCAAGTTTATCAACGACGAAGCTTCATCAATACATGGCAACCTCAGAGTCGGCTCTGTGTACACGTCCGAGAGTGGGGAGTGGAAAATGAGTGGCTTTGAGGTGCTGAGCAACGTCAAGGATGACGAGGCAGTAATATACGTGCGTGGATTCGTTTTCTTCTTCGCGCAACCTTTATTAATCTTGGGCTGCAGACATACGGTAGTTTAGTTCCAGACTCGGGACGATATGCGCCGCCGGAGCTTGCGCGTGGGGGCTGGGATGCGATCAAGAAGAGCCCGCATTCCGCTGTGGACTCATTCGGCTTCGGCTGCTTGATATTTGAGGTTTTCAATGGCAACTTCATGGGCTCCGATCAGGCTGGCCAGACGAAGAACATCCCTCCGACAATGCAGCAAAGCTACAAGCGTCTGGTCAACCCAAATCCCAAGTCGCGTGTCAGTGTTGGCCATTTCCTGGAGCAAGGCCAGCGCAGCGGATCCTTTTTCGATAGCCCACTTATCAAGCTGACGGAGGGAATCGAAAACCTGGGTGTCAAGACCGAGGCCGAGAGGGAGCAGTTCCTTGAGTAAGTTGTTCGGTCTACAAAACACTATAAGGAACACCATCTGACCCAGACAGTGACCTTGACCAGCTGACTGACGATTTCCCCGAGGATTTCTTCAAAATGAAGGTTCTTCCGGAACTAATCAAATCGGTCGAGTTCGGGGGCGGAGGACCTAAGGCATTCAGCGTTGTTATGAAGATCGCAGCCAAGCTGCCTAACGAAGACTTTGATTCGAAGATCACGCCGGTAGTCATTCGGCTTTTCTCTAACCCCGATCGAGCCATCCGCGTCTGTCTCCTGGACAGCTTGCCCTTGATGATAGACCGGCTCACGCAGAAAGTTGTCAACGACAAGATTTTCCCGCAACTAGTCACTGGTTTCACAGACGTCGCCCCGGTAGTCCGAGAGCAGACACTCAAGTCGGTTCTCGTCATCATCTCGAAGCTGTCTGACCGGACAATCAACGGGGAGTTGCTCAAATATCTAGCAAAGACGGCGAATGACGAGCAGCCAGGTATCCGGACAAACACAACAATTTGCCTTGGAAAGATCGCCAAGAACCTTGGCGCGTCTTCGAGAAGCAAGGTTCTCATCGCCGCCTTTACTAGGTCCCTCCGAGATCCCTTCGTGCATGCCCGCAATGCATCACTGATGGCTCTCGGCGTTACCGGGGATTGTTTCTCTGATGAAGACGCCGCTCTCAGGATCATGCCGGCGCTGTGCCCGTTGCTCATAGACAAGGAAAAGATGATCCGCGACCAGGCCAGTAAGACCATGGATGTGTATGTGCAGAAAGTCAAAAAGGCAGCGGCCAGCATGCCAGACTCGGCCCTGCCTCCCCAGGGTGCCGAAGGAGCTGGTGGACCCCGTATGAGTACGCCGCAGCCCAACGAGGCTTCAGCGTCGTCTTGGGCCGGTTGGGCCATCTCCTCCTTCACAAACAAGGTTTCGACAGCGGCGGGGGATATGCAGACATCCAACGGCCCAGGTGCCGCCTCCCCCAAGCCAACTCCCTCGCCGGGCCCAGACGCGAAAAGGCCTACTACGTCCTCGGCCTCTGCTTTACATCGGCAGGCCGTCACATCCCCGCCGCCAATATCGCGGACACCTTCCTCGGTCGTGGCGGACGCCTTCAACCCAGAACCTGCGGACGACGCGGGCGATGCCTGGGGCGATTTGGCAGACGACGATGCGTGGGGAGAGCCGGCCGACAGCACAAAGTCCTCTGCGGCGAAGAAGGAAACGACCGCCAGTGTGACGCCGTTCGATGATGGCGCTGAGCCTGATTTCGCCGGCTGGTTAGCCGCACAGTCGCAGAAGAAGAGCGGATCCAGCAAGCCTCTGCCCAAGGGGCTGGCCAAGTCCTCAACGGCGGCGGCAAAGAAGCCCCTGGCGTCCAAGCCAGCAACCAAACCCGTAGTAGCAAAGAAAATAGATATGAAGCCCAAGGATACGGACGATGACGACGACGGTTGGGGAGATGGCTGGTAAAGTCCACGTGCAGGGAGCGAGTTTGCAGCATTTACGGCGTTGGGCGCGGGATCACCATACCCATAGCGGGATACCATCAACTTTGTACGTAATTTCCATGTAGGTACGCCTGTCAATTGAGAAGAATATGCAATGCAGACGGCTGCAGCCCAACTGTAAATGCGCTACAAACGACTTTCCCGGACGCCCCGCCAACCCAAGTCCTCCCATTGCCCAAACTGATGAAAATGTTACACGCACAACAGGGTTTTGTTGTGAACCAAGGAAATTGATAAACACGAATGCCACCCCAAGCGTCAACCCATAGTCGTTACCTAGTAGACTCCGAGTAGTCGTTGAGGGCGACGCAGACCGCACCTCGGTGGTGGCCGTTGTACTGGCGGATGATCTGCTGGCTGTGGAGTTCCCAGAGCCGGGCATAGTGGTCAGAGCAGGCCGTCACTAGGTAAGCCGAATCGGCGCTGAACGCGCAGTCCCACACCCAGCGCTGGTGGCCTGTGAGTGTCGCCTCGAGTGGGAAGGGCTTGGGCTCCTGGTCGGCGGCAGGCTCAAGGTCCTTTACCTCCCAGATGCGGGCGGTGTGGTCGGCGCTGCAGGTTGCGAGCTTTTTGACGTCAGGCGAAAGTAGAATGCGCGTGATGTACTCTTTGTGCGCGTTGAAGTGAGTCACAGGAAGGAGCTGTGTTCGATCGTAAGCTTGCAGCAGCTGCCACACGAAAACGTTTCCCTAGTACCCTGTCAGTCCGAATGCCGTGTGGGTCGTGATCTTAACGACGGGGCATGCTTACGCCATTGTTCGCGGCGCACAGCAGCGAACCATCGCTGGCGACAGTGACGCTCGAGACAGAGACATCTTCCTCAGGGATCAGCTGGTGAGAGCAGTTGTTCTCGGCTAGGTCCCAGACGCGGACGCTGCCCTGGCGGTCGCAGCTTATGATCTCACCCTGGTTTGGATGGATCACGACATCGTTGGCGGGGCAGCCGTGGTTGTAGCTGCGCTGAACCTGGCCGCTGCGCGTCTCCCAGATCTTGACTGTGCCATCCTCAGAGCTGGTGACCATCCACTTGCCCTCACAGTGGAAGGCAACGCCAGTAATGTTTCCCGTGTGACCCTCGAATGTCAGCAACGGATTCGGGTTCGTCGACTTGATGTCATAGAGCTTGACCGTATGGTGGCCTGCGGCAGCGAGAAAGCGCTTGTCGGGGGAGATACAGAGGCGGTTCACCTGAGAATCGGGGTGTTGGATTGTGCGAGAGCAAATGCCGGAGAGAGCCTCCCAGAACCTAAGGTTGAACTGTCAGTTGGCCAAGGCTGCATTATTATTTTCGGTGTTTATGGTCTTGATCTACCTGATCGTGTGATCGTAGCCCGCTACAAAATATCAGCGGTCGGTCGCAATACCTTTTGTCTCAAAAAAGGACGTGGATATGGAAGGCCACCTACCTGTGCAAAGAATCACAGACATGGTTACTGTGTTAAAGCCTTTTTGCTTCGGTTATCGCATGTTATGGTGAACAATGGTATGTCGGTTGTGGCGTTGGGGGATATGCGCCCATATGTATATAGGTAGATATGTTGCGCGCGAGAGGTCATCAAGATGCAGCCCCTCCACGATGCGGTCGGTTGGATTTCTTGGAGCTTCGGTTCCTAAGAAATAGCCCCACTAGAGGTCCTGGGGTACCTGGGTCATCTGTGTGCCTGGCCGGAAGAACTTCGGCATCTTATTTGCTGACTTCCTAACTTGTGCCGACAGGTTAGATACGTACCGCTCATATCCTATCTGTGGTAAACCGTGGACTCCAACAACAAATCGCCAAGCATATCTTCCCCGTCTCTCGATATACAACGACGCCGGGTTTCTCTCTGGTTCTAGGGAATTATAATGGATTTACTTCGTCCCGCAGTCCACTTTCGGCTCTGACAAGCAGTAGTCGCATATCGGCCCCCCACTATAACTGAAGTGGTGTAACTGGAAGCGCCGTGTCCCTCGATTCAAACCCAATCAGAACATGCTCGCGAACTTGACTGTGCTCATTCGACACCATTATGGTTGTCGAATTGTATCTCTTATGTTTTTTTATTTGGTCAGCCAAGCACGTATAGACATGTCATTCGATGCATCGTTCCTGCTAGCAGAGGCATCGAGTCTCATGGTTTCTCAGGATTCCGTCGGGGATCTTGGGTGCAGGACCCAGCCAGCAGAACGACAGCCTTTTTGCGCCAAGCTTTGGAGATCCCGTTGGTACATCAGAGATATGCCAAATTTGTGGTAAAATACACACATCACTGGTGATTCTCTTGCCAACGAGTATGTTGTACGAGTCCTTGATGACTCAGGCTTGCAACAATTATCCCGTGGTTGACGTTTTCGTTTCTTCAGGGGGCATCATACTCCCTTTTCCTTGTCCCACACCAACTGCTCGGGAACACATCTCGGTTTGCCGGATTCAGAGATGCGCCGCCGCTCTACAGTTCGGGTCACTGACTTCTCGGGTCTAGAATTTAGGGCTGCAAGTCGAGTGGCTTCCGCCTCACACCCCTCCCCAACGGGGAAGAAGAAACGAGTACTTCTTGAGAAATTCCGGTGAGCTATGTCGCCTTCCCATCCTCCCTACATCGGGGGTTTGACCATCTGTTACACACCCAATGATTGATGTATTGCCCAGAGGCTCTACCTAGGAGGTGGTGCAGAGTAGAGAAGTCTCCGAAAGCAGGCAATCACAGCTTTCGCTATAGAAGATAGCCGGACTTATGAGGCCCTCTTAGAATATTGCATGGTCTTCTGGAACAAGCATTTTGTTTGGGACGTTATGACATCAGAAACAGGTTTAAGAGAAGGCTCGTTGAGCTCTGGAGTATTCAGGTTTGGAATTCGATCATGCCTTTTAACCCAAGTAACTACTTACAAGGAACTTATGCAAAGGAACAAGCCGCAGACCTGTGGTTCATGTGCCCAAGGGGCACGTAATTGTGTTGTAGACGGAGCTACCTATATCGTTCAGGGTCAGGCCAAAGTATTTGCTATTGTGCAACTAGGCATTGGTGCACAAGTACATACGGCGGCTTCTTGGAGATCTGCAAAACGAGGCTTTAAGTCCTACAACGAGCCTGTCTCACCCGGACGTAATCCTAGTGTCTCCGAGTGCGCGGGCACCATCGAGGCATCCCACTCGGAGCTGAATTAGACTTAGTTCGGGGTCGGCATCGCTTGTTTCCAACCAAGCTCGAGTCTTGCTCCAGTGAATGCAGCTCAGTTCGTATCCCGGCTATTCATAGCCAGGATACACCCTGCTTCGCAGCATATTTCGATGGAATAGAATGTCTTGACTGAACTCCTCACACGAGAGATATTTGCCAGCCTTAGTGTTTCCGATCCTTTGGATCAGCGGCGGGATGCTACCACGGTATTCAACACGCCGCTTTGGCAAGTCCGACCAGAAGCTACGCTAGCGTTTCCGAAGCAGTTCCTGAGATTCTAGACTCGATTACTGTTGAGCTGGCCCAGAAAACAGTGAAATAGTGGCATTCGTTTGTTCGTAAGACTATATTCTCAACTCTACAGCGATTCTGCTAGAAATCATCCTACTAAAACTACCCAAATACATTTCCCACGAACGCCCTTTCCACGCGTCGCCTAACTAAAGTCATAAGTTGATCCCCAACACCAATGCCCAGATGAATAAGGACCAGGCAGGTCGTCGCCGACAGGACCCTGCCAAAACAAACAAGCTTCATCATTGGGATCACTTCGCCCTACTCCAGGGCCAACGATCTACTGGCGTTGGCCAAGACTAACCAGCGGCAACGCCTCTGTTTGGGCCCCCGTTTTGGGGGCCCGTTGGATCCCTCGGCCCCCGTCTGTCTCTGCGCGCCCCCCCGGCTCGCGGCTTTGAGCCCAACGAACGGCTGTCGCCCGCTTTCCCATGGGGGCAAGGAACTCTGACTACGCCCTGAGAGCCACAGAAGTCACAAGCGTTCCTTCACGGTATTCGTCAATATTGCGGTACACTTCACCACGGTCGGTGGACCCTACCGTTCATGTCCTAAACAGTGACTACAGGTTCTGAAGTCCCACCTGCCAGAGTATATGTCTTCGATGCATCCGCAGATGTCTTCGGCAGCCATGGTGGCGACGTGTAAGATCGAGAAAAAACGTCAATAAGGCTGTCTGATAAAAGTCTCCTTTTCTCAGAAGGCAACCGGTTGTCAAAGAAAAGGGCGTTAGTTTTGTTGTTCTCTAGGGAGGGTTCGTCGAGGAGGGACTCATCCGCCTTATATAGTTTCTCAGACCAACAACACCAAGGTGCGGCTGCATAGACCATGGAAGATAGCCACGCACGCGGGTCCACGAACGAGGGTCCACGAACTTGGGCAAAAGATATGTCCGCCTTCGACTTCCCTCACCGCCCTCGCCGTTCTCCGGTCGGGCAATCATCATTCCGGGCTTTCAATACATTCAGGACATTACCAGGAAATAACTCTGGACGAGGTCTTGTGACTGCTCTGGCTGCCGCCGTTGAGGCTGCCTCGTTTCATCTCACGGACTAGCGAATAGGGTAATAGAGGTGGGTGATACTTCATATGTCGCCTTATCCTGCTTATCCCCTTTGGGCAAATGAGCCGACGGTTCTCTGGGACTATTTTCCAGCTGGTTGATGCTGATATTGACGTCAGCCACCCTTGGTACGTGTCTTATCCTGTACATGTTATCGCTTCGATGCCGTGGAAGGAAACAGCCCCCCATCCCGGTGTTGCGATGTCGTGCTTTACACCGACCTCATCCATAGCTCCCTTTTCCACTCTTTGCTCCTCGTGTCGGCGGCATCTCAAGATATTTCTGGCTGCTTTCAGATGACTTCATTGTTCTTTTGACACAATGGCTGCAAATATGTCTCAATCTGGCTTTACCCCCCTCGGGACTTTGGTCCGGTACCTCGTTTGCCAGCTGCTCCATCAATCAGCCCTCGACCTCGACCGGCGTACGGCTACCTGCAGCATACCCATGCCGATCCTGCCACACAGACTTACACCGGCGCCTTAGGGCCTTGGAAAAACTGCAATAGAAGGAGCAAAACCATGCAGAGCGCACATCGGAATGTCCAAAATTGCAAAAGGCGGTGTTGTTGGATGCAGCCGTCTAAGCTGCGTTGGACGTATCCCAGCTTTCTCCGCCTTATATCGCTGTTCACCCCTGACAGTGCGACGCTCTGCAGAACCAACCGGGACCAACCGTAACTCCGTATTGGGGCCAAGGATATGCTCGCTCTCGTGGGAGTTGGAGCACAACAGTTGCTTTGGCTCTTCCACTATGTCTTGCTGTCTCATGAAGCGACCCATCCCGCGTGGCTTATGCCTAGCAAGGCGGTGTCGATAGAACCAGCTATCGGGCACGCATCAAGCAGCATGCCGTTCTCGCTTACTCCCATGCCTATCCATGCTTCACTTTGGGTAACGTGAATTCTTCAGGGGAGATCAGATTCGTGAGCTAACATCAAATGCACCAAACAGTACCATTCTGACGATAACGAGTGTAAATGAGAAAGTTGTCGGTTCAGCATGGCATGGTCTCCAACTTTCTACAACAGTGCTGGTCCCATGCGTTTTATGACAATAAGAGTATTTTTGCAACCTCAGATGGGCCGGCGGCCTTTCCAAAACGGGAGAGGAAGGCTTCCAACCTCTATCGAGTGAGGATTGCTAGTACAAGCAACTGACGATAATCAAGAAATTACAGCGAAACCGTACCCCCCTAATCACACGACCATACCATACTTACATTGCCAGCGCCCTCCCTTGGCCGAGTAGTTCCCTGTTGTACCACCCATCCTGTATATAAATTGTTACTACTTGAAGCGCTTGTAAAGGGTCATCTGACCTGCTTGTGCTCTCTTTGGCGTTTCCTCGAGGCTCGACTGACGCGGCATGCCAGGCGCCGGATACCGGATCGACGGGCTCTTCGACGGCTATTCCCATGGTCAGCGACGATAATTATCGCGACAGTCAGATGCTTCATTGCCCAGACCCGACGTAGGCGCTGCGTAGAGGATGGGGGCAACTAGTTTCCTCCTTTTGTTTTCTCTTCTCTTCTCGTTACATAGCAGGGCTGCATCTTCCCGGCATGATCAACATGCAGCCCCATGCCCCCCTCGTTCTATTTGGACGTCTGGTGGATGTGTAAATCGACAGGTAGGCATGGTGTGCACATTCAGCGCAAGCCCCGTGATGCCTTCTTTCTTGGTCTTCCTCTCTCCTTTCCGACAGTACCACTGACACAACGTTGAAGCTCATGATCACCCCCTCGCAGGCATCCTACTTGCCACTCGGTGAACAGTAGATCAGCAGACCCTGCCTCGCTCTGGATAAAGTTCCGGGCGGTGTGTGGAGGGGACAGTGCAGGACCCAAAGTAGAGAAGTCAGATCGTGAAACGACCTCAATGCCTCAGAAACATAGAGCTGACAAGAATAAGAAAAACAAAATCCCCTTTTCCCCGGGTCGCAGCATGTCTCGGCACAAACGTAGCAGTGAATGGTGGACATATGCAGCCTATCAATATACCACAGCACGATCAACCCCCAAGCCCCTCCAGCCCAGCCCCATTCCGGCAATATTTGCTATACAGCCGAGCAAACCCGAACGACATGGAAAAGAACTTGAATTATGCCGGTTCACTCTCTCAGCCTGAATCAAATCACCGCTCTCCACTCTCTTCTCCGGGCTGTGAAGCGCGAAGAGAGTGACCATCATTGCATTTCTAGCTCTCCACTGATGATACACCCCTGCTCACTCACTCTCGTGCTCTTCTACAGAACGTTTCCTATGTCGAGCTTCAACCTTCCCTTTTCCCTTCTCTTCCCTCCCTTTACCCGCTTTACTTCTCTATCTCATATCGTGCTCTTGCCACCTGCCACGGCCTTCCCGATACTTGCTTGAAGCTATGAAAGCACATCAGAAACTTAGGAAACTAACACGCAGAAACATCTATGCACATTAGTAGAGCGTGAAATGCAAAGGTAAAGAGATCGGCTTACCGGCGAAGGGCAAAGCCCTCTCCAATCCATGCCGAGAAGCGATGCTTTTTTAGTAAAAGTATACTACTCGCTTGCGCTTCTCCCTCGCGCGGTCCAGCTTTCTGTGGCTAATTAAAAGAGAAGAGACCAAAGGCGCATCTGTAGGCCGTAGCTATGCGGGCTATCCTCTCGTCAAGAACTAGCTCCATGTGTACTCGGAGGCCTCCCGATTCATCGACATGAGAGGACTCAAAGGCTTTCTGGCCCCTTATGATTTGTTGCATTGAACGTAAGACTACACCTGGTTACAAAACGATAGAAGCAGAAACCAACTTGGATGGAACATCAAATTAGGAGCCCCTGCGGAACTTTATAATGTACAGTTGAACATATTTTGTAGGTGTGCTCACGACACCTGAACATTTCACATTGTCTATTGTATTTTGAAATTTGGGGGACCTCGATTTACCAAAGAAACGTGTATTACCTGAGCTAAGCCTGCGAATAGGGCGAGAACTGTGAAAAGGAAAGAGCCACTCTAAAGATAGAAAGCCTGGTATCTCAAAACCCAGGTATATCATAATTCCTCGCCGGGCAAGCCATGCCCTTGTGTCTCGTAGCGGTCCACCAAGACAAACTAGTTCGTGAAGTAACCAGCTTGGAAGCCATTCCCTTCTCCCATCCTGGTGAACCAACACCAAGTACCAATCCTCGAAGCCTGTGACGCCGTAACGAACCCTCAGCCTTGGGTCAGCTAAAAGAGTCAATCCTTTCTGACTCCGTTTCTGCAGCCGTAGGAATATATGACAAAGTACGCGGGGAAAGCCAAATAGATAAACTGCCACTAGAGGGCAGGAGCAGCAGCAGAGAGGGCCGTCACCAGACCTGCAGCAGTAACGACACCTCCACCAAGGAAATATCCAGCCTTGGTCAAGAAACCTCGCAGGCGTTTGGAAGGCGGGGTTGCAGATTCGTTGACCGGCTTGACAGAGGCCGGGATGGCCTGTCCGGAAGTTATCTGCATCTCACTGGCAGTTTGCTTTGATGTCTCGATAGTCTCCTCCTCCGGGGCAAGAGTAGAGATCTCCTCTGCTTTACGCTTGGGGGGCCTCGAAGCCACTGCTGTCTGTTGAGCACAGTCGGGCTCACTAGTTGCAGGTTGAGCTGCATCAGTAGTACTGATTTGGCTGGATGCAAGCTTGCTTTGGTGGAACTGATAGGCGCTCGTCATGTCGAGCTCAGGAGTGGTGTTCCTAACCTCTGACAGGGGGAAATCCTGGGGTGTGTTGAGAAACATGTCTCCGGAGGCCGACCACACTGACTCGGCGACGTTGATAGACTTGGGAGCTTCTGGTTCCGAAGCAGCAGCCCTGTTCGAAACACCAATGGGCTTAGTTTCTGACGTCAAAACTTCGGCAGACACTTCAGTCGTCTGTGGTGTCCTGGCCTTGGGTTGAGAGGAATCTTCCTGCTGCTCCTGGCGGCGTATGACTGCTTTGTTGTGTTCCCTCGCTGAGAAGAACTCGGGTTTGCCAATGAGATGACCTAGTGCTTCGGCCGATGGTTCCTTGTTCTGGGATAACGTCCAGGAGCCTTTGTCCGCGGTGGCAGCAATAGGCTTAGGGGTCCCATAGGCCTGCTGCCAGTGAGTGTAACTCGGTGACACTACCTCCTTCTGTGCAGAGTACTCCGTTGATCGAGACGCAGGCGATTGCTGTGCGCAATTGCTTCCATCGGAAAAGGATTCAACATGTGGATCAAGAGCATTCAAGATCGAGGGCAATCTGAAGTCATTTGGACGTGACTGTTCACCCTGCTCTACAATAGTCAGTGCAGGCCAAACGATTGGAGGAAGCGCTGGCATTTGCATTGGCTTAAGCGGGCGAGACGGGGCACTCTGCACACTAGGTTGCTCCGGCTGCCAAATGGCCGGGACATCGCAGGGTTGGTGTGATATGTTGGCTTTAGGCATGGACTGTGAGCACATGTAAGATGTACCCTCGTCTGCCCAGAGAGTCGAGTCGGGCTGTTCGGCAACAGATTCAGAGTCATAGTCGTCAGCCATGGGGTGGTCTGGCTCATAACTCGGGATGTCCAGGGGCTCGATATCGCTTTCCACGTCTGAGCCACTCTCAATCTCGACTTCCTGTTCCTCATCTTCTTCATTTTCATCGTCTTCGCTGTTTTCATCACTGTCGGAAGCACTAAGGTTGATGTCCTCTTCACAAGAGCCGAGCAAGTCGTCGTAGCTCGAGGGGAGTTCGTCAGGATAACTGGACGACTCGTCGTCATAAGACTCGTCGTCGGAGTCATCTGACTCTGAGTCGGAGGAAGATGCGGGAGGGGGTTGGCGTTGGTCATCGAGGCTGGGTGGCAGAATCTCCTCTTCCTCGTGAGGGGCGCCCAACTCGCGTTGTGTGGTGATAAGAGAGGATTCCACAGGGTCCTGCGAAGGTGTCTGACTATCCTCGTCGATAACGATTGGGTCGATCGCATCCCCGTTCGTCTCTGGCTCATGCATGGGTGAATCCATGGTAAGGTCGATGGAGCTGACGAAAAGGCGGCCTGGGATTACGGCCGGTTTTGGAAGCATGCCGATTTTACGAAGCTTCACAGCGGTATCGCGGACGTCGCTCTCGGTAATGCCATCATCACAATCGCTACTGTCCGAATCATCGGGGACTGCGAATGATGGCCGGGACTTGATTTCGTTGGAGGCTTGCGCAGCTTTCACCAAGGTATCCCACTCCCACTCCACCTCGACAGTGCACGGAGGAAAGAGTTCGTTGGATCGCTGGATGTCGATGCCAAATTTAAGGGTGTCATGTTGTTTCAACTCGCAGAGCGTGCGAGGCTGCAGCCTTTGAGAGTTATGGTAGGTGCCATGAAGAGATCCGATGTCCTTGATGTTGAGTTTCTGGATTTGATTAGCAACCGTCTATTTGCTTGCTGCCACGGGGGATCACTTACCTTGTGGTACCAGTCGATCGTGATCTTGGCATGCTCGCGGCTCATCACTGGGCTATCGAAGTAGCAATTGTCGCCCTTTGCCTCCAGGTTGTTGAATCGCCTGCTGGATCGACCAATAACCAGGACGCTGGCTCTGCTTTGCTCGAGGATAACTCTTCGCTCTGGGTAGAGTACTTCGGGGCGGGGGTGCTTCACGCTGAACTTGACCAGCACTACCAACAGGTTAGTCACAAACCTAGCATGAATATGTAGAATGGGTGGAACCCACCATCATGTGCTTGAGGTCTCGGACCCGTCGAACTCGACGACGACATCTTGGTGCTGGCTTCTCGAGCGTATCGCTGCCAGCTGACGACAGGAAAGAGTTGAAATCGAGGGTTTCTCAGCCTTGTTGTAAAGCGGAAGTCAGCACACTTTGGCAGACAGATCTCGGAAGCATGTACCTCCGTCTGAATAAGACCGAGCTCGCGGGAAGCGATTGATGTTGGGACGGCGGGGTCTCGAATGGTGCCGAGAATGGAGAGGGTTCTGTTGGAGATGGACGAAATCGCCTATAAGAGAGGTGGAAATGAAAATCTAGATGGAGAGGCAGACGGGGTAGGTAGGTAGGTATGGTAATAAGGCGTTCCTTCCTTGAACCGCAGGCGGGTTGAAAGTTAAGAGTTAGGAGGCAGAATGAAGGCAGCAGAGAGGTAGGTGCGATACAGTGTAACTTAGACCATCGAGGTGACTGGAGTGTGAAGTGGGTCGGGAATCTGGAGGTGGCACCGTACCGGTACTGTATCAGGCAGTCGCGGCAGTAGTGTAGCGCAGGCAGCGATAAGGCTTTATCGCAGCTAGGATGGGAAGCCGAGAGGAGCTTGCAGGGGGGTGGTCGGGGTCTTGGGCAGGTGAAGGCGGAGACGGTGGGATGGTGGGGTTATCAGCAGTGACCTACCGTGACGTCCAAAGCACTTTAGATAAGTAGATCTAAAGTGCCGTCGGCGCCGATAAGAAAGATGAGAATAGACTGGGTGAAAAAGGCGACGGTTCACTAATTGACGGTAAATGAAGATGGAAGAAATAAAGGAGAGCGAGGTACCTAGTTTGGGCACTGCAGATAAGGAGGCAAGGTAATAAGTAGGTAGAAAAGTGCACAATGATTGCCGCCGAGGGTGCCTTGGGGAAAGTGGTCCGCCAGTTGCACAGTGTGTGTGTGAGATAGCAGGCACAATTGGGGCGGCGTATTGGTGATGACGGGATTAGGAAAGAGGGGCACGCATACCTTAGACCACACTCACCACATGGCACCTGACTGATGGAAGGGAACAGCGGGGTCGCGAGTAGAAGAATGTACCGGAAAACGGTCAGTCATTCAAGGGAGCACTGCCAGGTTGGTTCAGTGTTTTACCATCTGAAGGGTTTTCGTCAAGCTTAGATACCTCCCTTCCGTGGCTCGCAGATAGCACTTCATGTTGGAGCCACTGACCGGCAGAATGCCATGTACCTCGCTTCGAACCCGTCCCAAGAACGGCAGCTGAAGAGTTCCTCAAGGTTGCGCGATGCGACTCCGACAAGTAGCTCCACATCCGGTACCTACCGGTTCACGCATTTGACAGCGGTAGCGAATTGGGCATCCGTTCTATTCTCGTAAACCCAACACCGGATACTAGTGTACCTATAGGTACAAAACAATCCTCACAGAGCACAGGTACGGTTAGTGGGCAGTTGGTAACTCATGCTTTGGCAGTCCAGCAGCCGTCATCCACGTCGCCAGGCCTGATTTGCGCAAGTGCGCGGGCATATAATATACATTTACGGCGCTCCCCTCTAGCTCTTGTCTTGCTTCAGTCAAGCCATACTATTTAGCTCACCACACATGTGCAAAGCCTCTTTGGCCTCGAGAGAAACGCATTTGGTTGCTGCCTCAGCTCTTTCTCGGATAAGCAGGGGGGTACGTCCTCGTAGGTATGTCTGACCGCAGGGCCAAGATGGGCCGCATTTGCTGTACCTGATGCAGCCGCAGCCGCATTTGTCGCGGGTGCTGCTCATTCTCATACTTAGACTAGGGCTCATGTCTAAATAATAACGAAAGGTCGGAGATGAAGTGAGAGTCTAGCGAATCCGGTCAAGATGGCGGGTTAGTGACGAGGGGGTTTGTTGACCGTTTCTGTGAATGTATCTAGTGTACGTAGACCAAGGAGTCACGGTCAGATGATGCATGTTGGAGTCACCTCACCCTCCGTGTTGTACCAAGGTAATACCTGGAAGCCCCTCTTACGTGTGTCCCTCACTTCTTCGAATGCGGTCTGGCGGGTTCAGAGTTACAGGGCCAGGCAAGCAAGCAAGGAAGAACGGAAGACGATCTGCTGACATGGGTATCTCCCAGGAATGCGCGAGCGGACAGACCACATCCACTTCGCCCCACAGGAAGACATCACTCTGGAGTCCTGAACTCGGCCCTGGTGGGGGAGTGACTGAAGTAGGTGAAAGTGCAAGACGACTGGATGAGGGCAAAAAAACACAGAAAAAACACTTTCGCTTTGCCATGTTTTGCTCCGGTCTGTCATGCCGCTCCTGCTTTGTCCCCAGGGTCCCCGAGCTCAACCTTGCGACCAGATCCGTGTCTCGCCCTACACACGATTGGAAAGTCTCTTTCGTCATTCGTCATTCGTCATCCTCCCACCTGCTCGATTCTTCTGCAGCATCCCATGTGAGATCCATGATGAATCAAGGGTTCCTTTCCCGTCCATGCAATGTGAATGCCACCCTCTTCTTCTTAACCCGCTACCACCCACCATCTTAACCTGTACCCTCCACAACTAGTTTTTCTTCATTGCCCTAACTTAAATCCCCAAACTCCTGCCTATCTCCGGGACGACGGTCTTGTCATTAAAACCTGAGCAATTTCCACTGTCTTCTACCTCTTTGAGATACCTTGAGAATATTCTGCCTGATGCGCCCCTGGAGAATCGCTGCAGACAACGACCAGCCTTAGACTATCTCCGAAAGGTGCCTCCAAACGTATCTACACACGGGTCGCTACTCCATGGACTGCTGGCAACAGGTCGAGAACACAACAAGAAGCAACACCATCTTCAAACATACACCACCTCGGTACAAGCACAGAAGATCCTAGTTGAAGAGATAGGAAAAGGAAGAAGGAGCAAAACGCTTGTCAAGAACTACAACACTGGTCTTCTCTTTGAGAAGTGCCCTACGATACCCTCAAAAGCATCACTCCCACATACCCCCGACAGTCGACCAACAGCCGTCGCCACCATGCACGACTTGCGTCTGAAGGTTCTCCGCGAAAGCGGCAAGACTCTCTCGAGAAAAGCTCGATCGCGCCCCGAATCCGCGCGAGCTTCCATGAAAAACTCGCCTAACGTTTCCCCTGGCCACTCTCAGATCAACTCGCCTGCACACTCACGCGCCGGCAGCCGCTATGCCTCTGAGGAAGAAGGCAGCGACGACGAGTATGACGACAACATGACCATGAGCACCATCTCCAACGGATCAGAAACCGCGCTGGACGACGCCTCCGAAGCGTCGTGGGCCCAACTTCTCCAGGACCGCATTGTCGAGCTGCAAGATCGGAAGCGAACGAATACCAAGACGCGCGAGACAACGCTCATGTCGTATCTCCACCTTGTCAAGCACCACTACAGCGGCCGTCAAATCACCAGCTCGTTGACCGAAGTCGTCACGGCGTTGATGAAGAACATCAGATCCGGAGGCAGCTCTCTCGAACGCCTCATGTCACTGAAATCACTTGCGGCTACGCTACTAAACGTTCCCTCAGACGCCCTCTTCGACGACATATACCCACAACTCGAGAAGACCCTGGAGGATGACGACGACAATGATGTCAAGGCCGCTGCCATTTGGGCCATGGCAGTCACAGCGATGTACGGCGGCGGCGGCGAAGACGCCGCGAGCGAACTCCTTGAATACCTCGTCACCATTGTAGAGAGTGACGGAGAGGCCGTCGGAGCAGCAGACAACGGTGACGTCGTCACGTCCGCGCTCGAGGCCTGGGCCTTCGTTGCGAGCCAAATGGACGACATTAGCGAGAACGTCTACTCGGCCATCGACGCTTTCGTGGACCAGCTCGACAGCACAGACGTCGAGGTCCAGGCGAGCGCCGGTTTCAACATCGCCTTCATCTTCGAGGCCGCGCGCGACCAAGAAGAGGAGACGGGCGAGCCGATGAACCTGCAGTACGACCCAAAGAAGCTTGTTGCCCGCATGGCCGAGGCGTCCAAGCCATCGGTGAAGCAGACGGCACGGAGAGATAGGAGACATCTGCGTAAGCAGTTCGCCAGCATCGTGTCTTCGCTCGAGCACGGAAAGGGGCCCGGATTCTCCAGCGCCGGGCGTCCAGCCTTCAACCCCCACACCGGTGGCACCAAGGCCGACCCTCGATCAGCCCCCCGAGGCGAGGATGACAACGACATGCGTGGCTTTGGGTATCGCGAGAAGCTGCGCCTCGGTTCTTCCGTGGTGCTGATCGACTCGTGGTCTCTCATGGCTCGTGTCGAGGCGGCGAGAACCATCTTGGGAGGGGGCCTCCCCACTCACTTCAACGATAACCCCACCGTGGCAGACCTACTTGGCGGTGCCGAGACGGAAGAGCCATCGGGACAGGGTTACTCACTGCACCCTAGAGATGCTAAGAAGATGAGGAGATAGAAAGGCTCGACGGAGAGAGACCCAAGGGATACACGAGGCTGGGAGTCTATTGACTGGGCATTGCCCACCCAAGGAGTTTTGCATGAGATCAGAGGCTCGCATTGTGAGAAAGATTGCGGTTGGTACTTTTCCTTTCATTCAGGAAGTAGAGACTCGCGGACGACGAAACAAAAGCAATCAGTCATCTGGAGTTCAGACACATCAAGAATATGCGTGATGCGAACGAGGAAAGAAGATACCACGGGGCGGAAGGTCCTCGAATCGCCGTACTTTAACCCACCCTACAAATACAAACTTATTTCTTTTTCAGATACTCTTGATGATGAATTGTTTCTTCTTGTCCTTTTCGTGATCAATCTTTGGCTCGCGAAGACAAAGTCTGATGGGCCACCCCGCCCCCCTTTCCCTCGCCCCCTTTCGGACCTCGACTACTGCGGGTATCCGCCAGGGCGGCATCCGCAGGTCGCACGGCGGCCAATCCTCATTAGCCTCGGATGACGGTCCCAGAAGACAAAGGCGGAAAGAGGGGAACGGAGGACGAGATAGGTCAATGTTCATCAATGAGCGGTCCCACGGTTTTTTTTCCTTCTTGCGGAAGCATGTATTTCGAGGCACGTTGGGCGGCGAGATTGGTGCAAACGGGTTGTAGGCAGGAACCCACAGGTGCATGCGTTGGCAGGGGTTTCACGGACGGATGGGCGGGCTTGGGTGGTGAATCCGTCTACCTGTGGTTATGCAGAGTACCTTTCTCCCTGGACGAAGTAGGTAATGCAGCAGTGGTTTGCAGTAGTCCTGTACATGCAAAGGCATACGGTCTCGGGGGTGGGGGGAGGCTTTTCGTGAGCAGTTTTGGAGCCCGACAGTCAGAAAATAAGAACACGCTGGGAGGAGAGGGGCCTCGGCTCTCGAATGCGTTTGCGATACCGACGACGTTGGGTTGCAAACGGGGAAAACGGGGGTGCCGGCATGGGCCGCCGGCCCCAGGCGGGCCTGGGGAGAGGAAGAGGGATCTCTGGCCGCCCTGGGACCTCGTCTTTTTTGGTTGTCGAGTCCAAAATGGAGGACGAGCAGGAAGTGAGGGGCGGTTTCGAGCTCGGTTTGCCACTTGGGTACGCGGACATACATGTTGGGCTTTTGTTTGTCTCCCCCCAACTGACTGCGCCAGCCACTATCCTGAATCCCAACGATCAGCCGAGGAGACGGGACGGATGAGGCGAGGCGTAAACGATTCGAGCGGAGATGGTCCGGATTCTCATGCAGTGGCGACTGTCAAACGCTTCGACGTCTGGACGGTGATAGCTGAGATGTTGTGTGCCTGTGTATGCCTGGGCCCTTTTGTTTGTAAAAGGGCGTACAAGAAAAGTCGTTCGATGCTGATGAGTGTTTCTGCATTGTCAAGTCAGAATCGAGCGTCTCAGTCAGAAGACGGCGCCATTCGTGACAGATAGACATGAGGGTTCAGTTGTGTTAATGAGAGCTGAAGAAGTGTCGAAAGGCGTCACTGTGTGTGTAGAGCTCTCCGCCCGCCCCTCTTCTCGCACACGGGCAAGCGGAGGAGACCAGGCTTCCCCGTTTGTGTCATTCTTACGCCCCTGTCTAGTGGATGATCACTTCTCCAGTATCTCCTCCCGTCGCCCAGCCAAAAACGCTTGAGCCACCGCCGGAAACCCGCTTTTATCCTGAGCTATAGAGGGGCTCGGTTTGCAGGGAAGGCCCATTTGAGAAAGTGGGAAACGAAAGTGTCCATGGCTTTGTTTGTCGTTTTTTCATCATGAGCCAATACGCATAGCTTAAATCCAGAGGCTTAAATCCAGAACTGGGAAGAGCAGATATATCCATCATCATGTGGAGAACGGTCTCGGGAGAATTACATGAAGAGAGGATCCCCGAGGACGACTACCTATTCGTAGAGCGGCTGGATGACCAATTGTGCCATTGTTCACATTAGGCGGGGGGCTGGGAGACAGGGGTTCTTTCGGACCGGCAAACAGGCCTGACAGGCTCTGAAGGCTGTTCGTTATCTCGATGGCTTCCCAGATGTCCGGGCAGTTCTCGATGCCCAGATCTGATTTTTGAAGCAACGTGTCAGTTTCCGGTCCGGACGAGAGAACGCATGGCGGGCAAGGTCTACCTAGGGTTTTCACCACCGGCTGCGGGAAGAGGAGACAGCGGTGAGGATAGTTGCCTTCTCACAGGGCGGGCTTTTGAGGGCTGTGGGGAAAAACGTGCCGGTGGAGAGCGGGTGGTGTGGTGCAATTCACCCCGTTCAGTGGCCCCAGGCCGATGCGAGTAGCGCAGAACCCGTATTGGTGACAGACATGGCAGCAGATGTGTGTGAGTGCGTGGAAGCAACTTACATATTGCGTATGAAGTACGGATAGTAGTATCTCTCTCTGCAGGGCCCCTTTCACACGCCCCCAGCCTGCGGCGGCAATTGGTCTGCGGTGCGTGCCTCCCGGTGCCCTCCAAGCTGCTTTCGGGAAGGGAGCGAGGGACAACTCATCAAAACCTCCACCCCGTGGGACCTTGTCTGGCAGCACCCTGACCAGTCGTCTTCAAGAGGCTCTGGTCTTTTCAGTCACTTCGCTCTCAATCGACGCCAGTAAGTTGGGACGAGGGACGCGACTGGATGGGATGTGTGTGTGTGTGTGCGCGCGCGCGCAGGTGTGTGCTTGTGTCCTCGAATGTGGTGAGTGCGCCGCATTGCCCACCCGGCGAACATTTGCATGGTGCCCATTGCCTCTTGCCAATATCTGATGTTGACCAGTGTTCTCAGCCCAAAGGGGCCCAACCCCGGCTCAGCCCAGCCCGCTCCTGTGCTAACCGGTCCATCTTGACATTACTAGTGTACCTTTTCCTTTGCTGCAAGACAGGGCCAACACACATGTACACACCAAACGTGGACCAGTCTTGGACGGAAACTCACAACCAGCACCATCCCAAGTCCAACGCAGAGCCCGACGAAACGTCCCTCCTCTGTCAGCCGTGCTTCCCTGTCCTTTGGCTCTTAGGCTCGTGCCTATGTACTCCTTTCAACCTGCATCATCCAAGATTGGACCTCGTCGCTTGTCGCTTGTCGCTTCCATCTGGCTTACCCCCGGCTTGCCTCGTTCTCGAAGACCCCTCCCCTTCCCCCAGCTACGAGTACCAGACCTCGGGTACCTCCCACACTTACCAACCTCACCTTACCGACGAGCTGTTTGCTATAGTCGACCCGTTTTCCATTGATAGCGGTAGCGCTCTTTCTTCCTTTCTTCACCTTGATTGTATTCTTTGTGCCACCTTTTTTGTCGGGACTTGTGGTGGTGGTGAATTCGTACAAATAACCAAGTTGGGGCACAAAAGAAAAAGTCGGGTAGGTCAACGACCCCCTGGCCAGAGCTTTACTTACCTGCCTGCCTCTCTGATTTAGCTCCAAGATCCGCCGACAGACACAGCGACTGGGGCAAAAACATCGACAGGGGGGAAACAACACCCAAGCAACCGCCTACCCAGCCACCCCAGTTTGTGAACCTCACACCCCGACTGAGACCACTTCCTTGGCTTCCCTCTTTGCGCCTCTCGAACTTACGCTCGCCATTTCCCCACCCATTTCCAGCCTTTAATCCCCAATTTCGCAGTCATCGTTGCTTTTCTGCGCGCGTTGCGAGTGTGTGTTTTTGTGTGTGGCATAAGCGGCCATAGTCATTTTATCATTCCTTCTTTGGAATCCTTTCGTTCGCTGTCGTTTCGCAAAGATCGCCGAACCGTCAAACGACCAGGTGTGAAGTGTGAAGCTCGCTCGCTCGCTCAGCTTATCACCCAGCCTGCCCAGTTTTTTTTCCCGCAGCAACGAACGGCTGCTCCTCATGTCTTGACGGCGACCGCACCCACAACAAATCCTTGCCCACCTTGGACGGCAACCGGGAAACCCACCCACACTCACTCTTCCCTCTTTCCTTCTTCTTTCCTTGATCGAGGGAAGGACAAGATCCAAAAAGAAGAGAGGTGTGTGAGCCGTCGAACGAGGCACTCGTCATTCGCGCCTGCGCCCCTACCGCCTCTTCATCGCCGAGGCCTTCGAGCATCGCACCACAATGGGTGTTGACTCGAACAAGCCACCTCCACTTCCTGCCCCGACCGAGACCGATTCCGTCACCCCCACCGAGCTGGCGACCGATGTCTCCAGACCTGCTGACGAAGCTTCTCATTACTCCCTCCCTGACGACGGCACTCCCGTTACCATCAAAACCCGAGGCCACAGGGCCAGCCGTTCACAAACCTCGCTCCTCATCGAGTATTTTGAAGGTGGCAAGCCTGGCCCCTCCGGCACCATCGACCGCAAGCCCAGCGTTCGCGTCCGTTTGACCCCGTCCAAGAAGAACCGCCACGACCACATCCAGATCACAGAGACCAACGGCAACACCCGCAAGGCTTCGCTGACCCGCCGTGTGCCTCTGCCGCCTCCGACAGGCTCGTCGCATCTCGAGGTTGAAGACTTGGAGGGCGAGGACGCGGAAAGCATGCGGTCTTACGCCTCCGCCACGGAGGAGTCCAATGTTTCGAGGAACCCAATAGACATTGAAATCGACCGCAGCGGACGGCGTCGTCGACCAGCGAGCCCGTTGATCCCTGACGGCGATGCTCAATCTTCGTACCTGCCTCCCAACATGTCCGACATATCAGCCATCCCCCAGGACAGCTTCCTTGACGGCTCCGGCTCCACCGTTCTGACGAGAAACTCCGAGAGGCGCAGCAAGAGCTCGACTCGAGGTAACGAGCTGGCCGCTGGTGCCGTCGGCGCAATGGCCGGTGCTGCGATAGCTGATCAGGCAAAGAGCAGTAGAAGCAAGAGGCATAGTGGCGAAAGAAAAGCGTCCGGTGAAAGATCCTCGAGAGACAAAGACCGCAAGCACCGTTCGAGTAAAAGTCGAACAAGTAGTGTCAGCGAGAAGCAGTCCGAAGGAACGCGGTCACCCCGCCGACGGTCGAGTCGGAGTCATGTTGACTCGGTTGTGTCTGGGGCAGATTCCAGTCTTCTATCATCCAGCATTTCTCCCAGTCACCGCTCCTACGATCAGAGCTCCGTCCGCTCTGGCGCTTCCAAATCGTCCATCAACAACCCGAAACTACTAGAGACTGTGGAAGATGCAATTCGCCGGCTGATTCTGCCGGAACTAAGCGCCCTAAAGAGGGAGCAGAGCAAGCGCGAAAGCCGCCGAAGCTCCCTTACATCCACCGGCACAGGGACATCCCTTTCTCGTGAGGATCTCGGAGTTGATCGACGCAGATCTGCCGACAAACGCAATGAGTCCGGCCGCGACAGCCGACACCGAGAGCGCAGGGACCGGGAGGCCCGCCATGATTATGTCGACTCTCCCCGAAGCATTGCCGGCGAATCGGTAGAAGAATCCTCCATCATATCCGTTGATGATACACCGCGGCGGAGTGATGGCGCTCTCAAAGCCGCCGTTGGCGGTGCAGCGGCCGCTGGTCTCGGGGCCGCCGCCTTGAATGCAGCATCGCCATCCTCGGAGGAGCCAAGGCAGCGTAGGCGCCGGCGTGTCGACAACTCAGCCAGGAGCAGGAGCGTCGGCCGTGAGAAGTACGACGAGGAGTTTCACGAAGAACAGCCACCTGCGCCTCCGATGCCATTGATGAGTGAAATTAACCCCTCCGAAATCACGAGAACCTCGATTCTTTCGGCCGAGACCGATCGACCCCATTCTGCCATGGAGGAGAGAGCCTCGGTTCAGGAGGTTGCCCGGGGCAACGCCTCCATGGGCTCATCACCAACACCAACCCAAACGCCCGCGTTGGATATGCCACTGACGCTCGGCACAAAGCACGCCAATATTTCTCATGGTGACCTGAGGGAACTTTCTCGCTCAAGGACTGGAGATTTCGTAGATCAGCGCGAAGCGGACGAATTCAGCCAAAGCCCCTCTCAGCAAATTCGCGATGAGTACGACGACGACTATGACGAGCAAAGCCGCATTACGGAGAGCGAAGGCGACTATGCCGACTCCCACAACGGATTCGACTACTACAACACTCAAGATGTGCCCCCACCGCTAAAGTATGTTCCGTACCAACCCGAACGGCGCGGCCTGAGTCCCATCTACAGTGTTTCCGGATACACAGAGGCAGGAAGCGAGACAGCCGCGCAGCGCGACTCCAGACTTTCTCACGGAACCGCTTCGCCCACGAAGTCGCAGGCGTCTCACACTGATCTGAGAGCCCTCTCGCCCGCTTCGGCGCCAAGCAATGTCGTTAGCCGCGGTTTCGACGAACAATCTATTGATGACCGCAGCATCAAGAGCGGCCAAGACTACCGAAACAGCCAGTACACAGAGGGCAGCGAGATTGGTGCTTCCACTGGTCAGGCTGTCCGGGGCATCGCTGCCAACCCCAACATCATCCATGTGCCCCACGGAGTAGAGTCCAATGTGGCTTCTCTTGTGGATGGATCTATGCTTGATCAGTCCGTTCTCACTACCGGATCTGGTTACGATTATAGGGACTCGCAGGCCTCGTACGGCTACGACTCCAATCTTTCGTATGGTCCGGACTCCCGCGTGTCCTATGGCAAAGACTCGAACGTTTCGTATGACGACCAGTCCAAGATGCAGCCTCGATCCCGAGATGTCAGCCCCGAAAAGCGCTCTGTTGCCGACCAGCGTGAGTTCTTTGAGCAGCGTGAGCGCGAGAGCAGCCGAACGCCCACCTCAAGCCGCCAGAGCCACCGTTCGAGGGAGTTTGCTGGAGAATACGAACTCGATGAGTACGGTAGGAAGGTTGCTCCCGCTAGGTACAGAAACTCTCCCTCTACGTCAACAACCAGACATTCCCCGACTGCTTCGGAGAAGGCCATTGCCGCAGGGGCTGTAGGCGCTGCCGCAGCTGCCCTCAAGGCCGCCAAGGACAAGACAAAGCAGCCAACAGTGGAGGAGGTCGATGAGGAACACGAGGAATGGGCCCCTGAAGGTGTCTCGAGAAACAAATCGTTCAAGCAGCGAACAATGGAGGGTCGCGAGCCCGCAAACACCCCGGCTCACAGCATCGACCGCCTTGACTATGAGGAGCATCCCAAGATGGGTGCCAGTGCCATGCCCACCTTTGATGACCCGATGCCCGAGGTTGGATACGTGGACGATGATGTCTTGACAAACCCGTCTCTGGTTCGCGAGCCGCTCGGCGGCAGCGACCACGACGATCGTGGTCATTGGCCGGGCGATATTACTCCTCGCCAAGGTACCCCTCGCCAGAGCGACTATGGCAATCACCAAGAACACGACACAGAGAGGCACAACGGCCACGGTTACGGTATGCTCGCCGCTGGCGCCGCCGCCGGTGCTGCAGGTGATGCAGCCATGTCACATAGCCGACAAGCAAGCGGAGACCATGAAGATGAGTGGCGTCGCACGTCGGCTGAGCGAAAGCGGGATACTGTCATCACAAACCCTTATGACGGTGCGAGCCCGGTCGCTCACCCAGATCTTCTCGACGGCAGAGGATTCGAGGACTATGGTGCTCCATATCACATGGGTAGTCCTGCTGGACACAAGAACTTCGACGAGGGTTACATCTCTCAGGGCCCTATACACTCGCCCAACATGCAGCCCGCTGGCAAGGCTCTCATGCCTTTCCACGACCCAACTGCTGAGGATCCCTTTTACGTTGCTCAGCATACTCGACACTTGAGTGGTTTGTCTCAAGGCATGGAGTCTCCTTTCTACGACGCAGCCACTGGCAACGGTATTGACAGAATCGAGTCCAAGGATATCATCGCTCTGATGCAGCATCTTATGGTCCGTGACGCTCAGCGAAGTGCCCGCGACACGGAGATCCTCGTCACGCTCGTCCGTTCTGCGGCTGAGATGCGTAATTCTTTCGATGATCTCAAAAAGCTTCTCGCCAATACCGAAGACGTCATCATTAAGGAGGTGCAGGAAAACACCGACGAAACGGTCAAGAACGCGGTCAACAACTCTCGCGCTTACCCCGGCAGCCTTCCCCGCTCTGTCAAGGGGTACAGCGGCGCCTCGCAGAATAGCACTCTAGATGAGACTGCTAAGAAGAGCAACTTCTTCCGCAAGGCGCTCAAGGGTCTCAGCACCAAGGGTACCAACGACCTCAGTCGGATCGAGGACATGCTCATGCAGCTGCTTGGTGAAGTCGACACACTCAAGGCGCAGACCATGCGACCCGGCATGGCCAGCGGGCGACCCTCTTACGAGAACCTCACTCCGGAAATGCAGTACGATCAAGACCGGGGCTACGAGCCCGAGGGTCAGGCCGGCACCTCCACCACGAGCCACGGTAGCCAATCCGGCATGTCGTCTTTCGCCCAATCTCGCGGACCCTCCAAGCTGGCGTACGAGTCCAACCGCATCAGCACAGTCCACGAGGATAACGAAGAGGACTACAACTCTCAAGACCAGTATCACAATCCGCAGGGCCTTCTCACACCTAGCCGTGAGTTCCAGCGTGGCGGATCGGTTCCTCTCGGCACTCCTCCCCAGCCCCAGGCCGCTCAGAATGCCTCGTTAAGCAACGACAACACCCCCAAGACGGACAAGGGCAAGAAGCACAAGAGAGGCTCCTCGAGCTGGTTCCCCAAGATTTCTCGGTGGTCTGAGTCAACGGCCACGAGCGTAAGCAAGGCCTTCCGTGGCAGCGGCTCTAGCAAGAAGGAACAGGATGAAGAGTTCCTGCAACATCCTCCGTCCCGGTCCGGATCGGACCTTCGCTATGACGACCGCTATCAAAACGACTACGGCAGTGACCAGTTGCACTCTGGCTTCTCCCAGCAGGACCTCGCTGCCCCTAAACCGCCTCATCTGGAGAACGTGCCTCCCGCTCCCTACATGACTCCGGAGGACCCCAAGTACAAGGCACACCGCAACTCAGTCAACCTTCAACACCCTCAACCTCGTCAAGGACAGACTGAGCGATTCAAGGCGGCGCTTGAGAGCCAAGCGTACGAGTACGACACGCCTATGTCCCCCAGGTCTGCAGACTGGGCCGGTTCGGCTACCAGCCTCCATCGCTTCCCCCCGAACGGCAACAGCTACAGCAATGGGTCTGGCGCGACAGGGGGTGACTACCCCAGCCCGCCGTCCGCCGGCCCCCCGCGACCTCCCAAAGAACCGATAGAAGAAAGGTCACACACACCTGCCAAGAAGCGCATCTCCAACTTGGCTTTGAAGTCAAGCCCTCTGCCGTACAATAGCGTAGAGAGTGGTTACGGCACCGGCCCCGGCACCCATGCGACTAGCAACTACACCGACAGTCCTAAGCTGGAGAACCGCAACCTCACCGGAGCCCGTGGCATGCCGGCCCGTCGGCCTAGTGGGCCCCGGGCAATGACCCCAAGGAGTGCGGAAGAAGAGGCCGCCAGGGAAGAGCGACGCCGCAAGAGAGGTACGCATTTGGATTCCAAAGTTGATGAAAAAAACACATTCTAATCTTACGTAGACACGTTCGGCACAGTCGCCAGTAACGAGACCGACACCTTTTAGAACAAGATTTCTCGCCGCAACTACTGTTTGCGCACAACGAACTAGGCATTACCACATGAATTGATGCTCCCGGATAGCTTGGACCACATGATCAGCTATAATCATTGAACATATTGGATGCAGAACGAGCGATCTGCTATAGAGTTGCAGAGAAGACTCTGCTGGGCGGCAACAACCCACAAAAAAAACGATAAAAGTCGCACATAGTCACGGGGAGCAGAGCGGGGAAGAGAGTATTTTGGTTCACCACTCAACATAACGACGACATGAGAAGCAATCGATGGCTTTGCGTTTGAGCGATATTTTCGAGAGGGGAGGAAACGGCAAACCCTCATTTGGGCACGTTGGTCAAGGCCAAGGCCAAGGATATTGGCTTGGAATGCGCGACGTTGGTTGATACCACATCTTGGGATTCTTGCTGTCGTGTTTTTAATCTTTTTGCCCATGGCAGCTGGGAGGACGCAAGAGGCAGGATACCATAAGGAGAGAGGTGAGTGTAATAGTAGTCATGGGTAATGGAACATTTGCCCTGCATCTCCAAGATTGAATCGATCGTTGAGTTACGATGACAAGACGATGTGATGTGCCCACCCACACCCCAGGAAATGACACTGGTTGCTTGCTTGGTGTTTTGATTTATCAGCCAATGGCTGACATGCGTGATTACTTAAGTCCCGCGCGGCATTAGCCTGCATCTTGCAGCTATCGTGCCTCTCCCCCTCCCCCTGACTTAGAAGTGTTAGTAATGCGAGCTGTAGGTAATTCGCAAACGGGGAGATGTCGTGCCGTAGTGAACGATTATCAATCCACCTCGGTTTCTTGGGAACGGCAGCTCGCAACAGGTCGATGAGGTCGGAGCCCGGAAAGGAGGTATATAAAGGTCAGGTCTCAGAAGATGGAACTGCCTCTTTTCAGAACACCATCGCATCACCTTTGGCTGCCTACTTGAATACAGTCACATAGTCTTCATCATACACGCTGCTCAGAAAGCCTTTCTCAAAATCCTTCCAACCCAGTCTTGTCTCCGACCGCTTACACACAGAGAACAAAGATGGCGCCCATCGCCCTGATCCTCGGCGCCGGCAAGAACATAGGCGCCGGCGTCGCCGCCCACTTCTCCGCGGCGGGCTACTCAGTCGCCCTCGTAGCCCGCGGATTCCCCGCCCCGTCCCCCTTGACGGATCCGGAGACTGGTCACCTCAGCATCCGCGCGGACCTCGCCGACCCCGCGCAGGTCCGCGACGCCTTCGCCCAGGCGAGGCGGCACTTTGGCGGGGCGCCGCCGCGGGTCGTCGTCTACAACGCCGCCACGTTGACGCCGCCGCCCGACGCCGGGAACCTGTTCAGCCTGCCGGTGGAGCAGGTCGAAGCGGACCTCCGGCTCATGAACTCGGGCGCATGGGTCGCCGCGGGCGAGGCCGTCCGGGGGTGGGCGGAGAACGCGGATGCGGAGGAGGGGCGCAAGGGGCGCTTCATCTACACGGGGAATATGCTGAACACCGCCCCGTTGCCGGTGCCAGCGCTGGCAACCCTGGGGATCGGGAAGAACGCGGCCTGGTCTTGGGTCGGGCTCGCCGACGCGGTGTACAAGGACGCGAAGGGCTGGAGGTAGGCTTTCCTCTTTTATCTGTGTTTCTCGAACACTTCCCCCTCCGTTTCTACATGGCGTTTGCTTCTGTTCCTGAAAATGAAAGTAACAGCTAACCATGACAGATTCTTCTACGCCGACGAGAGGAAGGCGGACGGGAGCAGCATCGGCAACGTCCCCGACGCCAATTCCAACGGCAGGTTCTACCTGGAGCTTGCAGAGGGCGCGAAGGACCTGCCCTCCACCGTCACATTTGTCGATGGCGAGTACAGGAAGTTCTGAAGGGGAGGTTGCGTTGGGAAATCAGTCAGAACCGAACCACAGAGAGTGGGCGAACGTAGGATGGAAGTACTGATATATTGAACAGCATGGGAATGCCGTTTTTAATATGCAAAGAGGAGTTACCCATGTCACCTTATTGTATCCAGCGTAATTGCGGAATTCGTTGAGTCGCTTGGATTAAGGGATTCCCGCCGCGTAATGACATCGGCACCAAGAGTAACACACAAACGACCATTGCAACGAGGACTGAGACACGGTAAAAACACACAGACAGGAACAATCAGAGATTCTGCTTTCAATGGTACCTCAAGACATGGTTTTGCTGTTTATTCAGCAGGCTATATCCTTCCCGCTCATCGACCTGCACATAAGCAGGATTTAGAGCAAGTCTATTCGAACTACTCTTAATTCCTTATTGGGTGCTCACCAAGTTCTGCGGTATAGAAATATCATGCCAGATGAGTGTGCTCAGAGGTCAAAGATTGAAGATCGAAGAGTGAGAATGGCACTCCCTGACCTAATCTTGTGTATTTGAACCATCCACAACGCCTCCAGGCAGCCACGTAGTACTCTCATTTCAAGCTACGAGACACAGCCAACAGCTGCACTCCGTACATAATAAACCTCTTCGCAGATGAGGCGCGAACCTACACTGGCTAATTGCTTACGTCACACCTACCAGAATAAATGGGGCCACCGGGCTATCGGGGGACAGCCCCTCATTGCATTAGCGGGGACGTGGCAACAGAGCGGGATGTGCGCTCCCTTCCGCAAAATCGTTACCCCTCGAACGACTTTCGAGTCCGCCCAGAGGCACCGATCGTTAGGCCATATTTGCCTACCCTTCCCTCTAACGCAGCCCTCTGCATACCGATCCACGATGCCTCGAGATCCGCTCATCGGTCTGGTTGGCAAGCCGTCGGCCGGCAAGAGCACGACGCTCAACAGTTTGACAGACGCCTCATCAAAAGTTGGTCCGTAAACCTCCAAAGCCCGTCCCGACTGAGAGTCGAGGAAGAGAAAGAGAAGAAGAAAAAAATCTCCCGACCCCGCCGACCTGGTCGCTGATGGAATACCGTGAACAGGAAACTTCCCGTACGCCCTGCCACCCTTCCACTCCCGTCCACCTTGCCTAACCTCCAGACGCCGCTCCGGAATAGGCGTGTGACGGCGCCGCACTCCCACGTATACTAACCCCTCCCGGCGCATTCAGGTTCACCACAATCGATCCCCAACGAGCGATCGGCTACCTCCAAATAGACTGCGCCTGTGCGCGTTACAACGTCTCGGACCGCTGCCGGCCCAACTACGGCGCCTGCGTCGACGGCCGGCGCTCAGTGCCGATCGAGCTCCTTGACGTCGCCGGCCTCGTACCCGGCGCGCACCAGGGCAAAGGGCTGGGCAATAAGTTTCTCGACGACCTACGTCACGCCGACGCGCTGATACACGTGGTGGACGCCTCGGGCACCGTCGACGCCGAGGGCAAGGAGACGCGCGGCTATGACCCCTCGGTCGACATCGCCTGGCTGCGCGGCGAGATCGTGGCGTGGATTCGCGGCAACCTCATGGAGAAGTGGGGCTCGATCCGGCGGCGGCACATGGCCATCAAGGCGACGGCCGTCGACACGCTGCAAGGCCAGTTCTCGGGATACGGCAGTACGTCCAACGTCGTGGCGCGCGCGCTGGACCGGTTGGGTATCAAGGAGCCGCTCGAGGACTGGGACGCCGAGACCATCGACCGCGTCGTCAACGCCTTCACTGACGAGAAATTCCCGACCGTCATCGCGCTCAACAAGATCGACCACCCGGACGCCGACAAGAACATCTCTAAGATCGCCAAGATGCAGGACCCCAACACCATCGTGCTGTGCTCGGCCATCTCGGAGATCTTTCTGCGTAAGATGGCCAAGCAGGGCTATATCAAGTACACGGAGGGCAGCGAGTTCGTCGACACGAGGGAGGACCTTATCGAGCAGGGCGACCCGACAGGCGGCGGGCTCAAGGAGCTCGACGAGAAGAACCGCAACCGGATAGAGAACCTCAAGGACATGGTGCTCTACCGGTTCGGGTCGACGGGCGTCGTGCAGGTGCTCTCCAAGGCAGCCGAGATCCTGGGCCTCGTTCCCATCTTCCCGGTGCGCAACACGACCTCCTTCTCCTCCGGCGCCTCCGATTCCCGTTTCGTCTTCCGCGACTGTGTGCTCGTCAAGAAGGGCACGACAGTGGGCGAGGCGGCGCGCAAGGTCATGGGCGACGCGCCCATAGCGTATATTGAGGGCGCAGGAGGCCAGAGAGTCGCGGAGGACGACCTCGTTGCGGTCGGGAAGAACGACGTAAGCGCTCGCACCTCCCTTACCCCCTCCCCCTCTTCCCCCAGCTGTGAGCACGTCACGCGACAGGTTAGGTAGCTAACGTCTCATCAGGTCCTGTCCTTCAAGGTCGGACGAGCTTGAACGCGGAAGCGCGCGGATAGCCCCGGATTGGCCGATGGCGGTGTGCTCATTTTCACCTCTGCTCGCATAGTCAACGAGACCCGGTGGCCATGCACCGCCCCTCCCTAAACCAAAGAAGGGTTCATCGCAAATCGCGAAACAAGCTCCATAGAGTTGGTGGAGGTACGGATACTTCGGGAAGAGCCCCCCTTTTTGCCTATGATACCCAGCAAGGCGATATCGCCACGGGCTGACCAGGGCCACACAAGGGTTCGGTCTCGAAACTCGGATTAAAAGAAAAAGAGATATTTAAAAAAAAAAAAAAAAAACACCCCCAAAACCAAAACCTCAACCTTCCTGCGAGAATGAGCTGCTCAGCGCTTTTTTAGCGAGAGCGTGTCACTGCGGCTGGATAGTGGATCTGCTATAATGAGATTTTCGCACACGCGATGCTCTTATGGAGTATTACCAAGGAACGATATGCATCTAGATAGCTTGGAGTTTAATCTGCATGCAGGGGTGGTGCCTCACCGGGTGGAAAGGCGCTGCGCTTCAACAGCATCTACGAGCCAGGCTAAATGGGGGACCCGCCATGCCAAGCTTGCGTACGCGTCTCTCGGGTCCCGGTTGTCTTTTTGGTTTACGGCGCTGCCACGTCAAGTACCCTGTCTCAGAAAGTGGAATTGAGCAAGGGCAGATGATAAAAGCGTATGCACATAGGGATCATTTGCTAGCTGCTAGACATATGATGGGGGGGGAAAAAATCCAAGGTAATTTCTCAAAAGAGTTCATTGCTGGGCACACTCACTACAGACATAGTAATTAAGCTCTAGTAGCGTTGCTGAATTGGCTGCTTCGATGCTAACTCACAACCCAATTTTAGGCCAAGGTTCAGCGTTTGTATGCGAGGAACATGACATCACACAGAGCGCCAGCAGTGGAGCATTGAACGACTTCCCGAACCATAAGCATCATGCCGTGCGGCGCGCATATCAAGTAACACTCAGTGGATTGTAAAAATTGAAAAGTAATAATTTTCAATAGAGATTGATGTGTCGGGTATCGAATTAAGCGTGCTATACACAGCGCAGGTCTCCCATCCTCCTTCCTATTTTTGGATAACTGCCCAAAACGAAAACGTTTCGAAAAGTTGCATACCGCAAAAGTGTGAGAACGTAAGAAAAAGCCGTGAATAGAACCGCCAGGAAAAGGAAAGAAGGCCGTTGCTGTGCGTCGTTATAAAAACAATTGGAGGTGGTTGAAGAGGAGATGGTTATCCCTGCATAACGACCGGGGCTCCCTGTCGTCGTCGAAAGAGGAACGCCCAATTATTGCCGGATGATGCGGTAGCCAAGGTGGCCGGAATGCCCGACCCGTTTGCACGGCGCTACACCGCCCACTCGGAAGAGGTTGGATAACACATCCTGGGGAAGATCGAGGGCATGTCGCTTCGCTTGCTAATCGTCATGTCCTTGTAGACGGATACGGTCGGGCGCTTTCAGCGACAAGGCGCTTAATACTTCAGGATGATGTACAGGGCGTGGATAATACCAGGCAGGTAACCTGAGTATGTTAGTTATGAAGTCATGGCGATTGAAGAGACCATAACTTACCAAGGATGGTCAACAGAATGTTGATGAAGAAGTCGGCGCCGCAACCACGCTCCAGGAAAACACCAACGGGAGGTAGGATAATGGCAAGGATGATCTTGCAGATGTCGGAGGCGGTGAAAGGCATCTTGGCTGAGGTTTGTAGATCTTTCTAAGAGGTGTTTGGTTGTTTGAGAGTAGTGGTTCGTGACGAGATCTCGAAAATCCAATGTGTGACGGCTGTAAGTTCGTTGATGGCAAGAGGAGAAGAGAGTGGTAAGTGGGCTGGGGACGAGAAGCTTAAATAGAAGGATCAGGGAGCAACACTAGCAACGGGGGGAAGCCACGACCCGACGCAGAATCAGAAAAAGGCAAGGTCGAGCTCACAGTGATGTGATGTGGACTGCATGGGGCCCCCTTCTCGTTCAACCTTACGTCTGACAAGGAACAAGCCAGTCTCGGGTGGTAGGCCAGAGAGGTCTGGAAAGCAAACCCAAGCACCCAAGCACCCCAAGCGCATCCCAAGACGGGCCAACGAACAGGACGTCCCGGCCGGTCGCCGCAAAGGCTTGGGGGCGTGATATGAGTTGGTACATGCGTCATTGACCCATTCCCGGTTTGCTGCGGCAGGAGCAAGGGGCATTCGGCAGTGTAGTGTACAGGTACGTAGCTACATGCACTGGAGTGTCTTGTGGGTGGGTAAGATGGGATGGCCTCTGAGCCGTGCGTTGCGTATGACTGTATCCCTCCGCCCACTTTTCCAAGCCATAACCTTGCTATCTCTTCTGGCATCCGTTCTGTGCAAGTCTTTGGCGCAAAACAAGGACCCGAGCGGAGCAATACCTAGTACGCCTTTATGGCGTATTGCGCCCTGTGTTGTCATGCCTCTGCTATCTGATGCCTGGTCGTCTTCATGCTCGCTGCCGCGTTTCCTCGAATAGCATCGACGAAAGCCCATTTTCGGTTTTGCAAGACGCCCCATCACAGCCGAATGCATTATTGGTTGCATCGCTTGCTTGTGCGCTCTCATTGAATCCTCTCTTCTGATCTACAGCTCTTACCAGGTAGATCGAATCTCATTGCGCGTCCTTCCCACCCCTCTGCCTAGCCTTGGGATCCCGCCGTCATTGGGACTGAGACCCAGCACGGCCAGTCCGGGCTGCCGACAGAAAAGCGTGCTCCGAGACTGTCAGTGCATCCAACCATGCTTGCTTTACCCCATGTACCTTAGCACCTAAGTCTGCGTAAACTCTCTTTTTGTTCTGCGAAAGCGCTACGTCATCAGCCTAGCCCTTGCTAGCGTTGTCTCTTAGTACGAGCACTACTTTTCTTACTGTCCCTCTTACTCATCTCTCCACGCACCGTCATCCACACAGAATGGCTAGAAGCAGTCAGGCGGGTGACAAAATAAGCCGCACTCACAAATTACAGAGGTCAATTTGAGTCCCCATGCGCTAAAATATAGGGTGTATAGGTATTCTTTCGTCATGTAACTCCCTAACATACTGGAGATCCCCGAGGCACAGGTCACCTTAAGTTAACTTTCCTGAGTGCGGGTTTTTTTGGCACCCGCTTGGCAGTCAAGGGACTTCCCAGGTCTCCATTGACCTGCAGGTGATGAGCCACACACGCCACACTCGGGGTGCTGATCTCCTGCGTAGTATTAGTGTATGGTGCAGAAATGACGACTCAGCCACATTTCCAATCCAGGGCGTCCAAGACTCGCAAGGTTGACGCCACTCTTTCTACAGCGGATATCGGTCCGTCTGCGCTGGTTGCTACGGAGAAGAAACGCAAGACATGGTTATCAAAGTAGAACAGTAGCAACACACCGGTACCCCACCCTGGGAAGATTTTCTTTCCCTTCGTTGTGACTTCTTCTCCATCTGAGTACTATCCGTACACCAACTCCATTACTCGAAAGCTTGCCAGTGCTTGTCTCACCAATGACACCAAGGTCCCTGTGACGTATGACGCAAGGGGCCCGGTCATGCCCGGCGGCAAGAAAGCCAAGTCGGTTCGGCATCGAGCAAGGCTGGGATGGAGACGCGGCCACCCGGGGCAGGGAAAAAAAGCTGGCGCACTCTAGTTCTCATACCACTAACTCAAAAACTAGCAGTGTATCAGCAAACGGTTCAACATTCATTGGATAAATACTATCATACAAATAAATCAAATCCAATGCAAGGCTGTTTTCTGTACCATTGAGTACGGTTTCCCTCCCAGCCAATTGCTAATTGTAGCCTGGTCAGCATTGAATCTAGATTAAGGTGTGCCAGTTCTTTCCCACCCCGGGTGGCGGCCTGTCTCCGCTTTTGTGACGGGGCCCACGGACGACGATAGCCGTCGGACCCTTGGCGACGTCCACGTCGTGGGTTTGGTAGGGCTGGGCTGGGCTGGGCCGGACTGACAAGGCTAGTGCTGTGGCTGGAGTTGTGAGGTGTACCGGGACGAATAACAAGATTCTGAGCCGCTAGGCTCCGATTGAATGCCACAACTACGCGTAGTGAAGGCTCAAGGAGGCAACAATGCCGTCGCCGCCGCATTTCGCACCATTGTCCAGATCTGAGGTCACGTCTTAATATTTGTTTCTTGTTTTGGCCGGGCCAAGCGATTGGCAATCGGCTGCTTGTTATTTTACATTGATTATTACACGAAAGACAAGTGTGGTCAACCTCACACTAGCTCCGTTGGTGAGCATGCTAGGTCGTTTATGCTTGGCGTGAGCTGCTATTTCCTCCAGTCCTGGCTGGAGTTTAAGACATGGCACGCATGACCTGTCGAAGTCGACTAGAAGCGGCGCGGGCGAATATGCGCCCAGTGATTTGGATCAGATACGGAATCAGGCTTCCGCGCTCGCTCACAGTCGCTTTTTGATGGTATTTTGGCTTTGGTTTCTACCAGGCATGCCCGAGTAACTTACTCATCATCTTCTGAGAAGACGGCCATCTTCTTCCCAAACACTAACGTGCCGCCAATCGTCTTGCCGAGAATGTAGCCGGCGTAGAGGCCACATAAGATCGTGACAGGCCACTTCTGCCATTCGCGGTCCCAATCCAGAGGAATAGGAACTGCACCGAGCCACGCACCTAGTACGCCCCCCACCAGACCGCCGTATGCCTCGTCCAATGGCGCAGCTGCGCTAGCAAGAGCTACCCATGTATTCGCTTCGACTCCATGAACGTAGAAGAGAGGGAACAACGAAAGAATAGCGACGTTGGCGGAGCAGAGAAGCGTATGAGGAACGTGCGTCAGAAAGGGGGCGCCGAAGAGAATAAGAACAAGGTGGATGGCAGGCGTGACGAGGGCGGCAAGGAGAAGTGATAGGAATATGGCCTGGATGTTAAGGGTTAGAAGGAAGCTCCCCCCCTGTTAAGCTGCAGAACAACTCACGATAAAGGGGTTCGGTCCCGTGCTCTCAACCTTCTTCTTCTCACCCAGCCGAGGCTTCCTCGAGGGCTTCGCGCTTTGCGAACCAGCTGCGGGAAGACTGAAAAAGGCGTAGACAACTTGGATCGCAGCGACAATTGGGAGGGAGCTGTACAGAGCTGGTACGGGATCGGCCACCAATGAGCCGAACTGCGCGAAGAAGAGGCCGGAGAGAAGCACTGGCTGGACGTGTCGGATGACCTGCGCGGCAGGGCTCGTTAGGGCGTAGACGGGATGCAGTCCGTCTTTCGGCTTGCCCGCGTCGGAAGCGGCCTTTGATGATGGCTTCGACATCGTCACGGAGTCAACCAGTGGCATGGTGGGATGAGTCGATTTCGGACGGGTTCGGACTCCGATCTCTAAGGCTGCTCGGTCGAGGATACGGGTTAATTTCGTGACGGCGGACACCCGGAAGGTCACGGCTCAGGCGAAATTCCGGACCGGCGCGTTGGCATGCGTATTTCGCCTAGGTCACATGACGATAAGGAACGCTTGTTCGATAAGAATCCCCAGATTCCTTAGACCAATCAGCTTCTCATTACCCTCTCGCGGGGGTCGACCACTGGATGTACGTATCTGCACCATTGCACTGCAGAGTCGCCCTGTCAAACCCACAGGGTTTCTCTCCGGGTCAGAAGAATGCAACTTGACTATGTCATCTCATCTTCTTCGGGGTTTGGAAGGCTGTCATCTGTCGACCTTTCCCCGGGATTCGCCCTCGTCGGCGTACCCAGCCGGCCGGAACCCATGGGCTGATAGCTGGCTGAGATGGTCAGCAGTTACAATCCCTTCATTCGCCAGATTTCTAGGCCCCTAGGCGCACCCAATCAGCGTCCTGCGTCGGTGGCTCCCGTCAGACCACATCACCCCATTTATGTTAACAGTCGTCAGAATATTGCCTGGAAACGCACGATCGCCCGTTCGACTATTATTCAAATCCAGCACCTGTAATCCGGGGATTTGCGGCCACCACCCCCAATTGCACTCTGCGCTTGTACACCCGCGGCTGGCGCCTATTGGGCAGAATAATCCCTTCATTGGCACTGCTGCAGAAAGGAGAAGAAGGAAAAAAACTTTGACCCTTGCTTTTTTTGTTTTTTTCCTTTCTTAGGATCCATCTGGAAGATGGGATGGCATGATCTTTCCCCTGCCTAGATAGGAAGTCTCGTTCGTTTCCTGCTCAGGGACGGCAATCTTACGGGTAAAGTTGCCCGCCCATCTGCCCACAATAGGCGTTCTCCGTTGGGAATTCCGATGTTGTTCGTCAAGATTCACAGATCCCGTAAGTATGTGGCTGGAAGTCTTTTTCTCCTTGGTATAAGATCCGAAGGAGGATCCCGTCTTCTGTGCTCCTGTTTCCATCTCATCATCCCACATCAGCAACACAGTTTGTCAACTCAATCGTCAACCCAACTCTCCACATCATCTTTTGTACGAGTGTATATACACAACCGCCTCACTCTCCTCAATCAACCAAAAGGGTCTGGACTTTTACACACACACACACAAGCCCGACTTCTCCAATCATCACTCAATATGTCTCCCGCTGTCGCCGCCCGCAACGCCGCCCGTTTCGCTGTCCAGCGCAGACAGTTCACTCTCCTCCACAACATGCGCCAAGTCGCTCGGTCCTTTGAGCCACATCCCTTCCAGAGGATGTCACAGAGTGGTGTCCACGCAAAGCCCTTCTACGGTGCTATGATCAAGAAGCGTCTTGGCACTGCAGCAATGTAAGCGACACCAACAGCCATGCAGGCTACTCAGACGAAAACCACTGACACTATCGCACAGCTTCTTCCCCACAGCTATAGCCATCCTTGGTTGGCCCTATGTCAGCTACAAGGCCTTTGACGGCCGCATTTGAGCAGTCTTTTCTTAATGTTGTTCCTTATCACGGGATGATTAGCAACGAAACAGGAGTTGGAAGCTGGATTTGGAAATTCGATTCATATCACGGACATGTATATATCTTGAGCATCTCACGGCGTTCGGCTGGCTTCTTGAATCCAGCATCAGTAGAAGTCCATACGGACCATGCATAATTTGCTTTGTTCAGATAAGAAGAACTGCGTATAATCTCTCTGCAAGCTTTTCCATTTGACCTGTGAGCGAGATCAGCCTTTTGCACTAATGATACCCTTGACTTCCTCTGGGATGGATGATGTTGTGTTCTGCCTCACTTACAAGACTTACAGGACCCTGTGAGTGGCCTGTGCTCAACAGCTTGAGTCGCGCTACTCCACTTTCATTCTAGCCATTCGCGCCCCTGCAGCTCCCCGGACTGAGACCGCGTCGTGTTGAAGCTGTCCTCCAATTTTGACCACTCGACAACACTCGGCATTCCTAGGCGATCACGACGGCCACGACTGTGACGAAACCTAGCATTTTGCTGCTAGAGATAAGGATCAAGCTCGACGACGGCCCGCTCTCGAGTGTCACTGGTCATCTGCGCACGAAACGACCCCACTTGTCGTCACCGCCAGACCAACAAACAAAGGGGTTTCCGCCGCGAAACGATACGAACACGCCGTACTACGCACGACGAGCCAGAAAGACGGCCAAGGCTAGCTGAACCGGTGGTATTCGAATGCATCCATCAACATGACGGATTCTCTGCACAACGCGCCCATTGTCCTGGACAATGGCTCCGGCACGATCCGTGCCGGTTTCGCAGGAGACGACTTGCCAAAGTGCTACTTTCCCTCGTTTGTCGGCCGTCCCAAGCACCTGAGAGTGCTTGCCGGCGCGCTTGAAGGCGAGGTCTTCATCGGGCAGAAGGCGGCAACGGAGCTCAGGGGCCTGTTGAAGATCAGATACCCGCTAGAGCACGGCATCGTCACGGACTGGGACGATATGGAGAAGATCTGGGAATACGTGTACGGCGAGGGACTTAAGACGCTGAGTGAAGAGGTTGGTCCGGCATCAATAGCTTTATGAGGTGCAACGCATCCAGGACGCCCCATTAGATACTAACCTCTCTGCAGCATCCCGTCCTCCTGACCGAACCGCCCCTCAACCCTCGCAGCAACCGCGACACCGCCGCCCAGATCCTCTTCGAGACCTTCAACGTCCCCGCGCTGTACACATCAATCCAGGCCGTGCTGTCATTATACGCCAGCGGCCGAACGACGGGCATCGTTCTCGACTCGGGAGACGGCGTGTCGCACGCTGTGCCGGTGTACGAGGGTTTCGCTATGCCGAGCAGCATTAGGCGGATAGACGTGGCCGGTCGCGACGTGACGGAGTATATGCAGATGCTGCTGCGCAAGAGTGGCTACGTTTTCCACACGAGCGCCGAGAAGGAGGTCGTGAGGCTCATCAAGGAGTCCGTCACGTATGTGGCGCACGACCCGAGGAAAGAAGAAAAGGAGTGGGCCAACAGGACGGACCCTACCAAGGGTGTGGAATACATCCTTCCGGACGGACACAAGCTCAAGGCAAACACATGATCTGACACCTGATATGGATGGGAAACAGTGGCTAACGACCGTCACAGATTGGCGCGGAACGTTTCAGGGCGCCAGAAATCCTGTTCGACCCCGAGATAATTGGCCTCGAGTACCCCGGCGTGCACCAGATCGTCGTCGACGCCATCAACCGGACAGACCTCGACCTGCGCAAGTCGTTGTACAGCAACATCGTGCTGTCCGGCGGCAGCACGCTGACGAGGGGCTTCGGCGACCGACTGCTGACGGAGCTGCAGCGGCTGGCCGTCAAGGACATGAGGATAAAGATTTTTGCGCCTCCCGAGCGCAAGTATTCGACGTGGATTGGAGGAAGTATCTTGGCTGGTCTCAGCACCTTCCGCAAGGTGAGTTTCCCAGCACGCCTCGTGAGCACGGGAATTAAAGACGCTGACTTTGAGACAGATGTGGGTGAGCATCGACGACTGGCACGAGAACCCAGAGATCATACACACCAAGCTTACGTGAAACGTGGTCTCGTTTCCGATTGTATGGATGAAGCTATTTCTACGTGACGTTTCCCCCGCCGTGTTCCCGTTGATACATCTAGGGCCGTGATTCGTCAGCCTTTACGGCAGTGACAAAGGGGGTTAGACGGATGATGAACACCTATGAAGCTTAGATGTGATGAGTTGCAAGAGGGAAAAGGGGGGGGGGTTGGACTGGCTAGATCTGAGATTAACCCTGATAACAAAACGGCCTTCGCATAACCGGCGTTGTAGACAAAGGCAGCAATGTTGAGGTAGTGCGTCAGCTAGAAAGTTGAGAATGATACCCGAATCTGTTGTCTCGTTAACACGTGTGTCTGGGTATGGAGTCGTCCAGGCCACGAGGGATACCCGAAGTGGTCAAGAGTATTTGGGCCTGGGCGCTTGCTTCAACATGGGCTCTGCCGGGGGTGCCACGGGGGCATGGGGTTGTCATTTGCATCAGAACATTTCTTTTTTTCCTTGGCCTCGTAGCCATTCTAATACCAGACGCAACCTTATCTGTTTGCCACACGATGTCGGCGCCTACAGAATACACCCCCTTCGGGCTTCCCTGTTTGCTTTTTCGCTTATCTCAGGTCTGCCAGCCCCCTCGTAGCCCTCCCTGCATGGCTTTATATCAGTTATCGGCCACGGGGTGGGCATGCGAGTGACAGCTCCGATCCGGATCGAGGCAAACAGCCTTCCGGTCGCTTAGTGGTCGTGTTCGAGGCCAAGGATTCCGCACAGGGGAAAGAAAGGTTCCCCGGTTGGATGACGACGACCGCTTGCTGCGCAGTCCCATCGAGGCGGGACGCAGCAGGCCTCTCCCCGTTCACCATGATTTAGTATTCGTATCGGTAATCTTTCGACTGGCAGGAGGCTTTTGTCGCTTCTTGGCAGAGTGTGTAACTGGTTCATCTCGTTTATCTATATCTGGTCAAGTGGGTGGTGAACGTGGACCACATACGGATACACCCCCACAACTCACGTTTTCTTCCCAGATCAGGCAGGCTCCAGCACAAACAAACCATGTACAAAGACGGGGTTCAAGCGACAAGATGTACAGTCCTCCCTCGACGGGTGCCCTCTGGGGATCCGGTACTGCGTTCAATTTGCATGCAAGAACCCACGCTTGGCGTCACAGCAGTGAATCATAAGTGTTGCTTCATCGCCAAGTGCCAAGCCAGATGTGGCTGCTGCCACAGCCGCTTAAACCCTCGGTTGTGCGCTGTGTGCTGGGAAAGAGGGTGCGAAATCCATGGATGCATACGATATCGTTCAGTAGGTGGTACAGCGAGGATCAAATTTTGAAACATATGATATTCAAGAGACGTTATCTCTGGCCAAACTTTTGCTGAACAACCAGATATCTGGGGGTATTGTGTCCGCTCGCTCGCTAGCATATCATGTTCATCAGAAACAAACGCCCGTAACTTTCCACCGTGCTCCCTTGTTGTTGTTGCTGTTGTTGTTGCTGTTTCCCCCCCCCTTCGCTCCGCGAGTCCCAAATACTGCAGATGAAAGAAGAAGAAGGAAAAGGCCCTCTGGACTCTACCAGCCAGAGTCTCCCGAGAACCGCTAGTCATTTGGTTTGCTGTTTTGCTGTGAGGCAACCCTGTCTCTCGTTTCTACTCTCCCCAACCCGCTGTGGCCGGCTCGCTGATGAATTATCCCTAATGGCCGATGTGGAATCCCGACCCGTGCTTGTTTTTTTCCCCCTACTGTTTCGGTTCCCATGTAACTCCGTCCCTTTCCTCTATGGAGGTTTGCAATAATGAAGAAGTAGTGCTGAAGAAATCTGTACAAAATGCGTTTGTTGTGTGTCTGTACGACCAGTCGGCCCGAAGAGGCACTCAGTTGTGCCTGGAGGTGACACGGCGCCAGATTCTGCTGCCACGCTTCTTGAGAGACTTGAGCGAGACCTCCGAGGTCGAGGACTCGCTGCTGAGGACGGAGGAGGCGTCGGAGCCCTTGCGCATGACGTTGCCAGCGCCGCCGATGCCAACGTGGCCGGTGGCGGTGCGGTCGCGGACCTCCTGACGCTTGAAGTCCTCCTCGAAAGTGCGGACGGCTTGCTCTTGCGCCGTGTGGCGGTTGCCGGCGCCGCCGATGCCCGAGTAGAAGCGGCGGGGCCCGTGGACGGCGGCAGGCTGGAATGGCGTGGTGATGCCGGCGGCGGGGGTCGTCACGGGGGCCCGGAAGATGTTGCCTGCGCCACCGCGGCCGGAGTAGGTGTAGGTGTTTGGTGCCACGGTTGGGTGAGGCTCGGTGATGAGGATCTGGGAAGGCATTTTGTGATTTTGTGTATTGGTGGCCGAGTTTGAGATGTAAGGCGGAGGCGGAGGTGGTGGTGGTGGGCGGGGTGTAAGTGATATATCTACCACAAATGTCGTCTGAACTCAGAGTGCGTGACAGGTGTATAGAGGTGCCTTGTGTGTCTTGGATGTGTCGATGATGAGAAAGAGATCCTCGTGAGTTGCAAGTGAGAGGAGGCCAAGGTTATTATAGGCATGTCCTGGGGAGAGAGGCATAGGTGTGTGAGTGGTGGTAGTGGAGAGGAGGTGTTAGTCTCGCCAAGTGGATGGGTAGAGCAACAAGACGAGAACGAACAGGCCTTTGCAGTGTCCTCCTGACATGCAAAAGATTCCCTCCCCCATGTCCCTCCCCCCATGGCTGAATGACGGCGTTGCACTCGCAAAGCGGCGCGTATGGAATGGAAACTAGATCTTCCTCTCGCTTGAGGGACAAAGGGTACGTAGTCTACGTTCACACCAGGGCTTTGATTTTTTTTCCCCTCTGACTCTTTTTAGCGCTGGTCGGAACCAGAAGAAAAGAAAAGGGGGAAAAAAAAAATTCCCACCGGAAGCCCACTCTAGGAAAGGTTTTTGGGCTTCCGATTCGAACGGGAAAAAAAAGAGAAAGAAAGAAAAAACTGGAGGCGTAGCCAGATCTTGGTCACAGAGAGTGAGAGAAGAAAAAATTAGCATGGTCCCTCAAGGCCCCGAAACGACGGGAGCGGAGCTAGGTAGCTTGGGCAACCCCCCCTCTAGGTCCATGGATTAGCTTGGTTTGCTGGGAGTTGGTGCGGTGGAGGCGAGAGAGCTCTTTTTCTTGCTCAGAGTCGTGATGATGTGATGTAGACAGTCTTCTTTTTTTCTTCCCCGTTCCCTGCAGCATGCCCTTGATGTGTGTGAGACGGTATCCATTTCGGAGGCAGGCTGCATATGTTGTGCCGTCTGTCTGTCGACTCATGGTGCTGCCATCATTTCTCCGAACAAGTACCGGTAGTGTTACTGGACCGGCAAACTGCCCTTATCGGCAATAAGCAATGATGCCAAATAGAAGTATAGTGCTGCACTTTGTTTTTCTGATAAGAGCAGTAAAAAGCGGCAAAAAGCAACGACTTGGCCACCTCCAAGCGCGGGCAACAAACAGTTCTCAGACCTCGCTAACCTTCAACCACTCTTCTCATCACCCGTCTTTACACACTTACTTGTTCGTTCCTTACCCCCCCTGGTGGTCCGCGTGACACACCGGCCCCTCCAGGGCGCGAACGAGTTTTTGCAATCACGCGGACCTCCCCTCCCCTTCGAACAAACAAGAATTGCTGAATTCGCGCCGTCTAGCGAGGGGGGAAAAAAAGACGCCATCTTGGAGCAATCGATGGGGTAAAGCTTTGCTAACCGATTACCGCTTTCGTCCGTAGCGTTAGCCTTGAGGCGGCCTGGAACTGGGGGGGCATCGGAGAAGATGGGGCTAATGCAAGGAACGTGGAGCGTGCTGAAGATGGAACACCTGCAAAAAGGTGCTGTTCGTTCCTTCGTAGTCGCCTTAGGTTGCCTGCCTGTTTAGCATGCTGGGCGCTGGCAAGCAGACTTTTTTTTCTTCCCTTCCCTACTTGCGAAGCCGATGTTTGCTCTCGTCATCTAGCTAGGGGTGGCGGCTCCTCCGAAGGGGGGGCACCCACCCCTGCTAGGACGAACAGCTTGGCCCGGCCTCCGACAACGTCAAGAGTCCGGCCTCCACCCCCCGAGGCGTCGACCACTCATCAGTTTCCTGGGGGTAATGGAAATATGCTTGCCGCGTCCACGATGGTCACCGGACCTCGCGCCCCATGTCTGATGCCACGAATCCGTTGCAGGTTTGAGACCACACGACGACTCAAACAAACACACATGCCGGCATGCTTGACGCTCTCGCTCAAACCAAAATTAAATGAATTGCCGCTTGAACCATGGGGGAGAGGGGGTGGGCAAACGTACCTGTTTGCCAGCCGGCCTTTCGTCGGCTTGCTTCGCTTGACGACAAACCACCTGCATCTCGTCCAGCTCGGCCAGCTAGATACTCATTATCCTGGTATGCCCACCTGATCATCGATCGAGGTAAACGTGAGACACTGGGTGACATATAAATTACCGAGAGAAGGGGACGATGCGGATGGCAGCAGCCAGCAACTCCAGGGACCGTCCTTGGGTCCCGACGGCCACTTACATGCCTTCTTCGTCCAATGGCCACAACAACCGACGAAGTAAGTAGAGCCGGCGCGGGCCGCGCGAAGCCATTGTCCGCATAGCCGTTGAATAAACAGAAACAGCTCATCGCTGAAGTGCCCCTTCGCTAGGCACGATCTCCTCCTCTCCTCAGTGCAATGTGAAGCGCGTCCTCGAGGTGCCCCGAAGAATCCAGCCACAACGCCGATACCACCTCGACTTAACTACCGTACACACCTGAAGGAGACCGCCGTCTTCCTCCACCCTCGGACCTAGCCGTCGCTGGTTCCGTATGACGACCCTGGAACCTCTCCCCCAAACGCCCACCCCCCTCTCTACCCCGCATTCCAACCCCTTTTCTCGTAGGCAGGTGAGTTTCCCCAGACTTTTGATGGTGTAATCCGATCACAAGGCCGACCCAAGAGGGGAAGGAGGCGAACAGAAAAGAGAGGGGAGGGCCCTTTCATTAGGTAATTGGTGTGTTGCCCCAGGGCTGAGCGCCCGCATAAACGTGGTCGGCACCGTTGTGCCGGAACGTCCTTCCTTCCCGGCCCTGGAGCAGTCATGGGTGCCGAGCGAGTTTTAACGGACCTTGGCTGTTGCATCTTTGTATTGTCATGGTGTTGAGCACAGGAACGATGCTTTGCGGGATGCGGTTGGAGGAGGAGGTCTTCTTTCGATCTCATAGTCGCATGTTGCACTCTAGGCCGGCCATGCTCCCGCCATCAACCTAGCATGGCGGCCATAGATTCAGCACTTTCGGCAGCTTCTTGCAACTCCAGCTCCCGGGACACCTCAACATATGTCTTGACGCTTTCTATTACCACGGCCCAGGACGGAGTTCAATCAATGGCTGAGTGCGGAACATAAGAAGCAGTAACCCTAGCGCTCTGTTTCTAGTTATGCATACTTGCTCCACCAAGTTGAAGAGGTCTGTTTTGCGATGCCACTGTGGCACTTTGTCAATAACTATAGTCATGGGATCAATTATGCTCAATACTTCATAGCTGGGACTGCCTGGTCGTTCGACCATGACTCTTCCTCCCTTGGTCGGCATTTGGGTGGTTGACATGCCGAGGCAATACCCCAGAACGTTTCTTGCAGCCATTGCCCAGACATGAGAACTACCGAATGATAACATGAATTTGTCACGAGCACATAGGAAGCTTGCTTTCTTAAATTATACCTAGTCGAAGTCGCGAGCTGTATCGAGCAAAAGCTGCGTGTCCTTGCAATTATAAAGCAAGGCGGCACAGGAGATAGATAGTGACGCCGGAGTCCCCACCAAGCAAGCTCCATCATCGGCCACACAACGAAACGTGCCTGTATGTCTTTCTTGTCTGACAGTGCCCGCTCAAGTCTGGATTCTTCCACACACAAAACAGAAAGAACGTCAAAACGAGATGCGAGGTTCGCAAAAGATAATGGACGATCAGGGGATTGAACCCTGGGCCTCCCGCATTCGTGATCAAGGCTACGATGCAAAGCGGGCGCTCTACCACTGAGCCAATCGCCCAACTCGAGACTGGAATGATCCTAGTCGATGACGGTCCTCGTGCTGAAGCGGATCATAGACCTGAAGACAGTTTACAACGGCGGCCGTGATACCTTCTTCGTCGGCTGTAACCAACTTGGAATGAGGCCTGTTTGTTTATGATTCGCTGCTTTCCTACTGGACTTCCGAGCGCACCCTTCTCCCCTTGTTGGTGATGAAGTAAGTGATGGTGCGCCCCGGGGCGGCGCAGGCTCGACACTTTCCGGACCGAAACACAGAAAGATATCAAATGAATGGTGGATTCGTGTACTGTGTTATGATTTGAGAGACACCTGCTTTGCTTCATTATTCAGCAAGGCTCGGGTTGCGCTAAAACCCATGGGGGCTTCGGAGAACCCTCCGTAGCATGCAAGGTCGATGTAGGTAGTCAAGCGTTATCTTCAGCCGGCCAAGAATTAACGCAGCACGCCAGACCGCGGCTCACTGGAAGCAACTTTAAGTCCCGGCTGTGATGGAGAGGTTCTCTCCATCTAATGTATCCGCCTTGTACGCATAGTAGTTTCGTATGTGACCAGTCCCCGGCTTACGGCCCGCCACCTCGGTCAGCTTGGCGAAGCTGTCCTTCTCCCTTCAGCTATTCTTCTTACACTACGCTATAGCAGGCCAATAAGCTTCTACTACTAACGTTATCCTACCTTTTGCCCAGCTGCGCTGTATTTACATCAGGAAAGCAGCCATCGTGCAGAGAGACCAAAGCCCTTGAGGTTACAGTGACTAGGTTAGCTTGCTAATATCTAGGAAGGCCTTTAGTGACCAGAGTACTGTCTCCCCTTACTTGTTGTTACCTAGGCTCAGCAGTTGGGTCTATTTAGTGACTACACTTTACTGTTATGTAACACTCTCCTTGGTTGTCTTTGCTCTTGTCTGTTAGGGACTTATATCCGTATTACTATCTGATGTTTCCTCACAGTAAAGTACTTTGGTAGCCCTGATTGAGCTTCTCTTAGATGGCATTTAAACCCATGTCCCCTCTCCAACCCGTCACTATTGGGTGGATGGCCACTCACATTTACATTCTCTGCGCAAAGATCGTCTTCCTCGGTATCATGGCGCTAGCCCTTCGTCTCTTCTTACACGTTGGAATGCCACCTCAGTGTCGAAGTGCTCAACCTGCCCGTCTCCAAGGGTGCGTCAGCCTAAACCAACGAGCTGACCCTCGTTTCTTCCCTTTGCAGACTTGACTGAGACTGTAAGTCGTCACTCGCTTGACTCCACCCCCCTCCCCCCCATTTTCCCGCTTTCCCATTACCCCTAGTCGATCTTGACCACATCACAGTATAAGCAAGTGACCAGACATGATGGATGATCCGGAAAGACCTGGGGTTGCCTCTCGAGTAACCCTGCTCGACGTCGTGCCGCTTGCACTGCGTACGAGAACTCACTTGAGAAGAGTCTTTCTACTCGTACTTTGCATCAGCAGGCATCTACCTCATTACTTCACGGGGTCTGGGACAGACAGTGTTTTCATCCGTTTCTTTTCCTGTTTACAACCAAACTGCTCCGAAAGAGGCCCATAAACAAAAAGGGACTGCAGAATATATACAAACGTCGATTTCGATCTTTTCATCTTTCGCCCCACCTTTTTTTATTCTTCTTGCAACTAGAAAACCCATAAAACCCCAGGACAGAAAATCAGGCCCATGGACAGTTGTACTCCCAAGCCCACTTCGAAGCAGTCCCAATCACACCGACTCAACCATGTACAGTCGAGCCTACGCCTGGTTGCGCTTGGCAAGCATGCTCAACGCGCTACCCGCGAGGATAAAGCCTGCTTGGTCCTTGGTCACGGCGTGGTTGGTGGGAATCAGCACCTCGGAGCCGTCCTTCTTCTTGACGAGCAGCTGGACCTTGCCCTGACCGCCGTTCTGCAGCATCTCATACAGGCCGACGGTGCTGACCTCGTCGCAAGCCGCAATCTTGTCGTAGTCGGCCTCGTTCGCGAACGTCAGGGGCACGACGCCCTGCTTCTTGAGGTTGGTCTCATGAATACGCGCGAAAGACTTGGTCAGCACGATGCGGGCACCAAGATACCGCGGCTGAAGAGCGGCGTGCTCGCGCGCGCTGCCCTCGCCGTAATTGTGTTCGGCGACGACGAGCCACTCTTGGCCGCGCTCCTTCCACTTCTGAGCGAGCTCGGGGATCGTGTGCTTGGAGCCGTCGACGTCGTAGGCGGCGTTGACCTCGCCCGTCTCCTTATTGACGGCCGTGTTGAGGGTGTTGGTGCTGATGTTGGGCAGGTGGCCCTTGTACTTGAGCCAGGGACCAGCGGCAGAGATGGTGTCGGTGGTGCACTTTCCGGTGACCTTGACAAGGACCTTGAGCCCGCTCAGGTCGCTCTCGGGGAAGGGCGCGAAGGGCTCAAGCAGGGCAAGACGCTCGGAGGTCGGGGCAATGGCGACCTGCACGTCAGGGTTGTGTGCTTCCGGCGAGATAGCCTGGAGCGACGCAACGCCGGACTCGAAGGGAGCCTTGGGGTTCTCGAGACCCTGCGGAGCCTCGAACTTGAACTCCTTTCCGTCAGGGGTCTGCAGCTTGTCTGTCATGGGGTTGAAGGTGGTTGCGCCAGCGTAGGCCATCGCCGTGACGATTTCTGGAGAAGCGAGGAAGTTCATGGTACCAGGATTACCGTCGTTGCGGCCCTTGAAGTTACGGTTGTAAGACGTCAGGATAGCGTTGGGCTGTCCCTTGGGGATGTCGTCCTGTCGTTTCCATTGCCCAATACAGGGACCGCAAGCATTCGAAAGAATGATGCCTCCGGCGCCCTCCAGAGTCTGCAGGGTGCCGTCACGCTCCAGAGTAGCACGGATTTGCTCGCTACCAGGAGTGATGTAGAAGGGGGCCTTGGGTTTCAAGCCGGCCTTCTCGGCCTGCTTGACCATGCTCTCGACCTTGGTCATGTCCTCGTAGGAGCTGTTAGTACAGCTGCCAATGAGACCGGCTGACAGAACCTCAGGCCACTGCTCCTGCTGGATGGTGTCCTTGAAAGCGGAAAGAGGAGTAGCCAAGTCAGGGGTGAAGGGCCCGTTGATGTGGGGCTCCAGCTCGGACAGGTTGATCTCGATGACCTGGTCATACTGAGCACCCTCGTCGGCTTTGAAGTCGAAGCCACCCCACTTCTTGTAGCCGTCGAGAGCACGATGTTGAGCTTCTCTGCGGGTTTGGAGCAGGTAGCGTTCCGAGGCAGCGGTGTAGGGGAAGATAGAGGTTGTGGCGCCGACTTCGGCACCCATGTTGCAAATAGTAGCCATGCCGGTGGCGCTAAGAGTCTCGACGCCCTCGCCAAAGTACTCGACGATGAATCCAGTCCCGCCACGTACTGTCAGCTTTCCGGCGAGGTTGAGAATGACGTCCTTGGGGGACACCCAATCATTCAGCTTGCCAGTCAGCTTGACACCAAGCACGCGAGGGGCCTTCAACTCCCAAGGGGCGCCGACCAAAGCCTCAACGGCATCGGCACCACCGACCCCAATGGTGATGGTCGACAGGCCACCGGCGTTAGGGCTGTGACTGTCGGTTCCCAGCATCATGATACCCGGGAGAGCATAGACCTCAAGGACCGTCTGGTGGATAATGCCTGCGCCCGGGGGCCAGAAGTCCATGCCGTATTTACGTCCAGCAGACTCAAGAAAGTCGAAAACCTCCTTGTTGACGCTGATGCCGTCGCTCAAATCGCTCTCGGCACCCTTGGAGCCCACAATCAAATGGTCGCAATGGATACTGGCCGGAATAGCGGGCTTGGCGAGGTTGCAGGACATGAACTGCAAGAGCGCCATCTGGGCCGATGCGTCCTGCATGTTGACTCGGTCCGGGTTAAGCTTGAGGTTGGCACTGCCGCGGATGTTGCGTCCATTCTCCGTATCCGTGAGGAGCGACTCCTCGACATTGTCCAAATGGCTGTAGAGGATCTTCTCGGCGAGGGTCAGGCGCTGCTGTCCGAGGACGTGGCGGACCTTGAGGAGGTTGTCGTGAAGCCTACGGTAGGTATCGGGCTTAATGGACTTGGGCAAAAGTCTACGCATCGCGGCATCTTGCTGTTCAACGTCCTGAGCGGTCGCGAAGGCCCTCCTGATCGGGAGGCATGAGGTCGCAGAAAGGTATGGTCGCGTGCGGGTCAGAAGACGCTGCCGTCATGTCAATTCCTGCCTCTCTGCTGTACACCTGATGATGGTTGGGCATTACTGACCCTCGCGGCGCCCCCAGATCGACTGGCAAGCTCAATTGGTGCCATTGTCGCTGCGCGCCTCCCTCCGAATGCTTTGACTCGTAGTGGCGGGAGAGGGGGGGATTTGGGAAATTTTTGGATTGTCACAATTGTCAATGCGGCTTGGAAATTGGCGATGTGGGATTCGACGAGAGTCTGGGGGAGAGGCTCACCCAGTGTGGAGCAACCCCCAAAATGCCCCTGCGCCGCCGGCTTCGCCCCGATACTGCACCGGATACCCCTGCACGGTAGAGGAACCGCTCAGGGACCGGGGGGAAGAGCTGTTTACTATCACCAGGCATGCGACAGACCTATTGCATGCTAACTTTTCCGTTTGTTATATTTCGGAGGCATGATTGATGTAAAGAAACTATTTCCTAGCCTCAGATGCCTATCTATGTACAGCCATTGAACTCCGACGTCACCTCTATGTTAATATCCACGCCACCCATAGTAATACTTTACTGGTTGTACTCTGAACCCTTGGTTCCAATGAAGCCCTCGTTCCTTTCTCTTCTTCGCCGGCCCATGACCTCCTTGTACCATTCAGTGAGAGTGTATCCCCAGTGACCGGCAACGAGCACACCGCTAACAATGTTGACAATCTTCATGAGCAACTGCAGGAACCCGTCTCTGGACTCCTCAACCGAGAGCAGGATCGGCTCGATATCGTACTTGAAGAAGATACCAGGGATATTGTGGTCATCGGTCTCCTTGCTCTGTTCCGTGACGGCGTACTGGTTCGTGAAAATCGTGTTGGATGACGAAGCCGACTTGCCGACCGTGTATACGGTGGGGACTACCGACAGATAGTACTGGAACTTGTGAAAGTTGATCCTTGCAAGGTTGACGGTGCGATCGAGAGGGTTGACCAGCGAGGGGTAAAAAGGTCCGAAGGACAGCTCCGAGATGATATGCGAAAAGTTGAAAGCTGCGCAAACGGTCAGTCAAAGGGTTCCAAGCTTCGATCGGAGACACAAGACGTACCGGCATGATCCAGGTGCGCTCCGAATTCCATGTAGCCGTGGCCTCTGGCCGTGATGTGGAAATCGCCCTGCACCCTGTTCACGTCCAAGTTGCCGTAGATACGGCAGCTGTCGCCTTCACCCCAAAGTCTCGGAGTCTTCCCCCACTTGGCCTTCTTCTTTCCGAGAGATACGATGTCGTGAACGTGCTCCTCGCCAAAACCCTCCTCCTCCTGCCATCCGGCACCCGTCACGACCTTGCCTTTGCTGTCTTTTCCCAGACGATGGATACCCTTGCTGTCCACCCATTGCGACCAGTTCGTCTTGTCGCGTTTGAGCATGCTGCCCGCGAGAATGCGATCACCCGCTGCGTCCTGCACGTTGATATGGAGGTCGTCGCAGTGCATGCGCACAACGATGTCCAAGTTGATTTGCATCTCATGCCCAACGCCCTTCTCAACAGCGAATGTGTGTGTCTCCGAGCCACGCCACCAGCGGCCGACTTCGGTACAGAATAGGAAGAACGAGATGACTGCCATAGCGACGGTCCATTTGCCGCCTCCCTCCGTTCGCGTCACATATTGCGGTTTCGCCTTGGCTGCGAAGAAGGAACTGTTAGTAACCAATTGCCTAGCCGAGAGCCCCATATCGAGCATTCAAGAGCGAGACTGAACAGATGTTGCAAACTTACGAAAGGCATCAAATGCGCTGACAATACTTCCCTTTGCCCCAAAGACATCATCGTCCATTTGGTGCTTCTCCTCCCACCCATTCATCATGGCGACGTTAGAAGACGTCGAAGTGTATAAAAACGAGGGGTTGAATGAATGGGTCAGAGGGATTCGGTTCGTCCTCGATTGTTGTGTTTTGGCTACTCAGAACGCAATGCTTTCTCGGCTTGATGCAAGTGTCCGCCGTCAAAACCTAGGATCGCTACCGCATGCCTCGTTTTTCGGCGTCGGATCAATTGAAAAGAAAATCTTCAGGTCAAACGAAGGTTGCCTCCTCGCAAGTTGGTCAGATTGTTCGGCGCAAGTCTCGTGGAGCGGGAGATGTGGTGGAAAGCCTTGAGGACACTTTATCCAAATGTTATCCTCACTTCGGGCACCCCCCTGTCCAGGAGCCCCGCAGTGATTGGTGCCGAAACTAGCACAAGTGACCCGAAAGGGGTGTGTGCATGGGAGCTCCGGACAGGGGTGCAATTGCTTGGGCGGGCACTAGGACAGAACACCAAATCCGCATTCCAACAAGTGACATATGACACAGCTTTTCTACAGCAAATTCAAAGGGACGCTTTATAATCTCTCGCGCGTTTTCGGGACAAAGCAAAGATGGATGATCAAGAGCTGAAATAGCTACGGCTGACTGCTGCCTAAAACCTACAAGTACCAATCTGTAATCTGTCAAGAGTGTCGTGAACGAGCGTCGCCTCAACCTGACCTGGAGGGCGAGTGATCGGTCCACATTGACCGCCAGCAAACGCTGCCCAGCGCGTGTCGCCACCGACCACCGCGTCACTGCCTTTATACAGGTTCCAAAAGGAAATCAAACACCCCGGGTCCTAATGAAATGAAACATGCAAGGAAAGCCGGAACCCCCAAGGAAACCACCGATCACTCCGTATCCAGTGGTGGAAATGGAAACTCAAAAGACGACATACAGCTCACTTCCTAAGTCTGCGCTGCTGCTCCTCGAGAAACTCCTCATCCGAGGCGTCAAGAATGTCGTACTCCTCGTCGGTCATGAAACCATCGTCAGAAGCATCCCATTCATCCTCCTCACCACAATCCTCAAACTCCTCCGCCTCGGAGCTGGTGGCAGGAACCGACTCGGACTTGACTTCCTGGTGAATGCTGGACACCGGTGACTCCTTCTCAAGCTTGGGGAAGATCATGATGCTGCTCTGCATCTCCGCAGGGGCTTGCTTGGGTTCCTCCTTGGGCTCCTCGGCGACAGGCTTGGGAACCTGGACGCTGACGTCACACCAAAGTCTATGACCGAACTTGAGACCGTCCTTGGTTGTCAGACGCCAGTAAGAAATAATCTTGCCCTCACGAGCCGGCGTGCGAAGCAGAACGTTGAAAGAAAATTCCTGACCAGGGGCAAGAGGAGCGTAGCAGACGGTCGACTCGGAAGCAGACACAAGCTCGGAAATGCCGGCAGGGTGGTTCGAGTCGACATGGCCCATGTAATCGCCACCGACGAACTTGACGGAACATCCAGCAGGCCATGCAACGTCACCATCGTTGCGGAGGACCCAGGTTTGCTCAAAAACGGTGTTGGGCGGGAGGACGGTGCCATCAGCAACTGTGTCGCGGACGAACACAGCCTGGAGGTCCTGTTCAGTGAGGGGCTTTTCGGGGATTGGTGCAGGCTTCTGCTCGGCCTCCTTCTTGATCTCTGGTTCGGGCTCAGGAACCTTCTCAACAAATTTCTGCTCGGCAATCTCCTCCTTGACAGCAGGCTCGGGGGCCTTCTCAACGATCTCCTCCTTCATTGCTGTCTCTGTGGGCTTCACATCAACAACTGTCTGAGGAACGTTGATGGAAGCGCTGGCAGTAGTCTCCGTAGAGCGGGAGCTAGTGCGACGGACATTGCGGTCACCCATCTGCTGCATACGCTGGCCATCTCCACGTTCGCCAGTGGTGGTGACTGTGACGTGGCGGACGGGCGTCTTGAACTTGACAAGGGGATGGGTCTTATTGTGGGTGTTGGCGGGACTAGCCTCGCAGTTGGCGCAGAAGTCCGTGTCGTGACACACGGTGCACTTGTACCGGACACCTGAGATGTAAGCAGGCGCGCCGTGAGCGCGGGCACAGAGGGGACCGTCGCAGCAAATGCCGAAATGGACAGAACGGCTGACGGCACGGCTGCGGACCTCCGCGAGAGGCTCGTAGATGGGAACGAAGCGGTGATTGGGGTGAACAAACTTGGAATTCACAATGCAGTCAGCGCAGTAATCCCAGTCGGGGCAGTCGAGGCACTTGTGGCGGACGCCAGCGATGTACCTGTCGCAACCATCGCAGATGGCGTTGTGGCTCTGGTTACGGCCAGGCGCCAACTTGACCTCAATGTGGCTGGGGACATGGGCGCCCTCAACTGCGGGAACGAAGGGGTGCTTGGGGTTATGGCCGTGAAGGTCCTTCTCGAAGCATGCGTGGCACAAGTCGAAGTCCTCACAGGTTGTGCAGTGGAGGAAGCTGGACTCGGGCAGCTCCGTCACGCAGCAGTTGCAAGTGCGCATGCTGTACAGAGCGGTGCTGAACACAGGACGAAGAAGCTCGCTGATGTTGGCAGGCGCCTTGGCAGGTACCTGAGCAGGCTCTTCGACCTTGGCCTTGGGCCTAGGGGCAATCGTCTCGGTAGTGCTGTTCATGATTTGGCCGTTCTTGACGATCCGCTTGATGAGCCAGTGGTCGGCACCGTAACAAGTGATGCCCTGATCGACGCAGTTTTGGCAAAGGTCGAAGTCGCCGTCGTCGCAGGTAGAGCAGTGGTAGTGGGCATCGGGAACTGTCTGGTCGCAGCTGTTGCAGCACACGGCAAAGTTGGTGTTGGGGTGCATCAAAGCAGGGCAACGACCCCAAGAAGACCGTGAAGGTGCACCCTCTGTGGCAGAGGCGTTGGCAAACCACTGATCGCGGCCTGTGATGCCCTCAGAGACGGGGATATCAGCCGAAGCCGCCGGCACCGCTTCGTCGCTAATTTTGGCGTGCCTGCTCAAGAGAGAGGCCAGGATAGAGGCCTCAAAGTCGAGGCCGGTGTCGCTGGTAGGCAGCTCCTTCTTCTGCTCGGCATCGATGACGTTAGACTGCCTCAGATCAACCAGAGGTTGTGTCGCTTCAGGCTTTAGTTCTTCCTCGGCCTTGGGGGCGCTAGACTCCGGGACGTCCTCTACGGAAACCGGCCTAGGGGCTATCTTCTCCTCGGACAACTTGGTGACACGAAGCTTGAGTTTTTGCTTGGCCTTGGCGGCACGGTAAAGCTGCTTGTAGACCGAGACGTTTTGCTTGTCGAGGGTAATGTACGAACCAGCCGAATCAGAGTATCTCTCCAGAACGACGTTGGCGTCCGAGGCGAGAGCCAGGAGAGCGCGGACCTATAGTAGGTGGTGTTAGCCTACTCATCAGGACTGTGCCGCGGAGCTCAACGGGACAAGCAAGATGCTGCATTTTGACCATACCGACACGGCAGCGAGCGTCGAGCGAGCGACAAAGCATCGAGAATGATGGGCAGACGAGCAGCGGAATAAGCGGGAATGACGTACCTTGTCCTCGAGAGTGCTTGGACCCATATCTCGCAGAGGAAGCTTGTGGCGACGAGTCATACCCTCGAAGTTGATTTTCAAGGTGACCTGCGTGTCTGGCGATGTTGCTGATGAGGACGCCATGGTGGAGGATGGAAGGAAGTCGGTGACTATGGATGAAAGGGAAACTCGCGGTCGGCCTGGCGGGGAGGGGATGACGGCTCTGGCGGGTGTTTCACTGCTGAGCAGCCACGCACGGGACACACGAGGCTCGCTCGGTTGGTGTAGAAGATGTGTCTCCTCTTTTTTATTCAATTCTTGTCGGGATGTCGACGGATATGTTAAAAGTTGTCGACGATTGATGTTGATGTGAAAGTGGAAGAGAGACTAGTCCGGGTAGCAGATGGTGAGGTGAACAATCCAAGCGGACGGATGGGGTGTGGGAGAGAGATAAGTGAGATCGGGGACGATGGGGGTCAGTCGTCGAGTGGAGTAAGAAGGTGAGCAGACGAGGAAGGAGACACCAGAGCAGGGCCTGGGAGTGAGCGAGAGTGGATGGGTGGGTGGAGTTGGTGGAGGTGGAGAGGCCTAGGCGGGTGATGCGTCTGCGTCTGCGTCTGCGTTCGTTGTGCGTCCTCTGTGACGGAAGGTACAGAGGAAGGAAGGAGTGCGTCTGCGTCTGAACTGTGTGTGAGACGGGAGTTGAGAGCTACTTGAGGGACAAATAGCTTTTCTGCAGGCTGCAGGTGACTTTTTGGAGGGATACTGCAAAGGTGCCAGGGGGGGATCAAGGGCCACTTATGTACGAGAAAGCAATGAGAGGGCAAGGCCGCCAAAAGCGTAGGTGGCCGGGAAGGGGGACCAGCAGGACAAGCACAGGACTAACCGAGGCGGTGGGAGGCAGAGGCACCTCAAACGGGTGATGATGATGGATGGCAAAGCTGGGAAAGGGAGGCGGGTTGGGTGGGTAGGCAGACAGGCAGGAAGTGGTAGCGTCACCCGCGACTGCCTCTCGACGGTTCACGGTTCACTGATTGCCCATCTGCCTTGTCGAGTGCGTGCTGGGACTGGGACTGGCCGGGATGGTCTGTCTGGGTTTTGGCCAGCCGGCGGTGTCGGGGACGCGTCAATGGGAAAGGGCGAGCGAGCAAGTGGAGTGGGGTTTGGAGTAAGTCGAGCGGGTGGATGTGGGCAAAAGCCTAAGGTACCTGCGGAACGCTCGCAGCCCACTGTGCCCGAGGGTCGCCGCCATCCACGGGCCATGGCCGCCTTCCCCAGGCAAGAAAAGAGAGGGGCAAGGAAGTGACTAGCGCGCTCCGGTTGGTTGGATGGCGATGGTCGCAGTTGGTTTACCCTTCCGAGAGCGCACCGAGAGAGAGGTACGTACTCCCTCACTCTCTTACCTCGCGGGAATGTGGATACCTTACCTAGGTAGGTAGGTAGGTACGGATACCGATTGCAACCTATTGCGTACGGTCGGTATCTGTACCTGTACAAATTATGATACTGCCGTTGATACGGTGTACACTCACTACCTATCCCCGTTCCTCTGATAAGTCAAGTCGAAACCCCCTCCTCTCTGCCGCTGCTTAGACGAGAGTGAGGAACTGCAAAACTTCTGCTTCGAGTTGGAACTCTAGAGTCGGTAGGGAGTGAAGCAGGAGGAGATGCAACAATACGGAAAGGAAAGGCTGGACTAAACATACGCTTGCAGAGTTGGCCGAGACACGCTAACGAAGGTCCACGTCGTCAAAGTGTCAGGTCTGCGTAGTGCCATCTACATCTTTGACAGTCGCACGCCGTCTCTGCTTAGCAACCAACCTTGTCCGGTTGCCGGCCTCGCCCTTCGGGAGGCACGACTGCTCACATGTCACCACAACGACGGGCAAGTCAGCAGCAAGCACAGCAGCCAGTTGACCAACCAGGCAGCATACGACACCTCAGCCCAGCTTCCTCCATTCGCTTTTCCCACCACCAATGCCGTCGCCACCGCGGGAGAGATGCGGCAATAAAGAAAGAAAGAAAAAATCATCGCCATAGAACAAGCTCGAAAGAGGCGGTCAGCAACCACTACGACGGGCGGAGACGACGCCGGCGGCGACAAGACAGCTAGCTACCCGAGCAGCTTACAATCCCATCAGTCAATGGAAGCTCCTCCAAGATTCTTCGCCCCCCCCCCCCCCCAAATCTCGACCCTGACTACGACGTACGAATGGCTTTCTCTGGATGAACCTGTCGAGTCATCGCATTCGCCTCCTTGTTCCGTCTATCCTCCCATTTGCAGGCAGCCAGACGAAAACCGCGACATTCATCCAGTTCGACTGCTTTCCTCCCGTGTCGTTGCCTCGACCTTTCCCCACCCCTCGACCACCCAGATTAGCACTCGCACACCCCCTGACTCCGACTCCCTTCTATCTACACCCGCTAGGACTACCCTGGGCGAAGGCGCAATAGCCACCGCTCATTGACGCATGACGAGGGACTGCCCTGCAAACACCAAACTTAGAATGAGGCGAGCTGGAACCTCGCCGTGAATTATACCTACCTACCTTACGGATGCTCACTTCGACCATGTAAAACCTCCATTGTACTCCGTAGTAGGCACTCATAGGGTTCGCTCGCCGGGTTGGCTCGGCATGATTACGACAGGCTCGGCTCATTAATCTTCGTGTCGCGTTCGCTTTCCTTTAAGTCGCATTCAATGTTCAAACGTGCCATGTCACTATGGTGGCTCGCACTTTGGACACTGTCGGCTTTAGGCCTCCATGCACCGAATCGCGATGCCGGAGCCCCAGCTTGCTGCATAGTTACATGGCCCGTCGGTCGGGCAATCAGCCATCCTCGTTCCGACAAGACGGGGTTTCTAACCCCGACTTCTCCGACGCGCAGTGGTGCCCAGTGCTGTGTCTGTCCTGGAGCCGAGCGTCTCGCATTTTACCATGCAAGTCTATACAAAATCCAGGTGCATCGCAGAAGGGAAGTGAACGACGAGACGAACATTGATTGCATTTGATGCGTTGTTCAACGCTTTGTAAACCCCAACCTCATGCAGCTACCGCATCTGGTCTTAGCGAGCCTGGCAGCGTGGTCGTCGGCCTTCATCTGCGTGGCAGGAAGGTCAGATCGGCGACACTGGACAGTCTGTTCGCTGGTCAGCCCGTTACCTGAGCCGTTTCCTTGTTCGAAGCAGCACCATTCCCTCAGTGGCACAGCACGCGCCATGGTAGCCTCAAAAAGCACGCAACCCTCTGGTATCCAGTCTTCCTGGACCATGCCGAAGACAATGAAGCAAGACGAGACAAAGGCCTGTGGTCAAACATGAAAAGCCCGGTCGCGCTTGACTCGTTCACGTGGACCTCTTTTGCGTTGCAGTGAGACAGCCTCCTCGAAGGCAATGGGCAAGAAAGTAGGAAACAGAAATGCATCCTGGGCTTGATAGGCCGTCTCCCAGCTCCTCATTCTGTAAGCGCTTGACTATCGGTTTTGTCGCCAAACTTGTCATGCGTTTCTCAAGCCATGGAGAATGACGGATGCCAACATGGCATCAAAACACCTCTGACACGCGTCCGCGGGATGTAAAGTGCGTCTGGTTTCTTGATGGCTGGTTTGTGATGAACAGCCACCACAAGGCTGCCGACCAAGGGGACGAAGTTCAGCAAGACAGCTCACCGTCTAATCAGGAGGAACCTGCGGCGGCGGCGAACCAGCCAGCGATAGAGCTCCGACAAAGGAAGGGAGGGGCAGCTCTCGGTGTGCAAGGCAAGTAAAAGTAAGTAGGCCGCAGCAAAGGCGATTCAGCCCAATTTGCCTTTTTGACTTTAGCCTCTTGGTAGGTTGGCTTTTCGATCGACGGATGGCGCGGACAGTGAACCCCGAGTGGTCGTTTCTCCAGGTCCGAGAGCGCTGGCTGCTTGCTTTCCAGACCCCCTCAACAACAGACGATTGGTTTATGGTTATCGCAACACTACGCTGCATACTACCTCTCTAGCCCCCACCTCAGCTTCTCAGCAATGCTAGTCATGCGAACTCAACCTACGCCTCTCCCAAGGTTCCCATCAAAAGTTAACCGCACCAAAGCTGTCACCCCCGCCAAGAAAGGATGCTCTGCCACTCGTATCACAAATGCTTTCTTCCATCTTGTAGGATCCAAGCATGATGTCGAGAAGTGGGCGGTCCTGGGAGTTGTCCCAAAAAGGCAACCCGGATAGAAGAGGCCCCTCTCCGGTCCCGAACCTCCAGTACTCCCGGATTGAAGCCGAGCTGCCGACCACCCTGCCTATTTCGACCTCGTCACTTCTGTCGTGCAGAAATACAACGGCGTCTCCCATCTTATAAACGCCCCACCGACCACCTCAACCATCCAATGTCCATACAAGGCGCAAAGGCTACGCCAAACAAGCAAGAAGCACAGACGACTGTAAACTTCCACGGTCGTCCCATCATGCAACCATCTGTGGCACTACCTCCGATGATGTGTACCTTGAAGCCTGGACCCGTGCGACATGCTCCCCGCACTCCTTCCTAGTGGCGGTGGTGGGCTCTCACATGGCGGAGCAATAAGCAGAAACAACAAAGGAGGGGCTCAGAATCTCACGTACGTCATGTTCCCCCCTCCACCGTGCCGGCGTCTTCTCACCTACCTAGACAAGCCAATGGCCAAGATGGAGACCACAAGTCGTCCGGTTCTCGACTGGCTTGTTTCAGGATTGCAGCCTTGGCAAAGGGCCACGGCATCTTATGGTGGCTACTATCCCAGGGACTGGATTGAAATACTCCTACCTTGTCTCGTGGCTGCTTCTGGACTCGTGTGTTCTTGTTACACAGAGAAGTGTTCAAGCCGTGTCGCACCTATGACCTGAATCGGGGAATAGGTCGATATAGGATATGCATGCCAGATACGAGACCAGGCACACGTTAACCCCCTTAAAACCAGGGAGCCGAGTCACCCTCATCCTCCGTCAATCGCCAGACCCTGTGCGGCGATATCCGGTTTGACGCGAAGCTGTCGTCTGTCAGACATACACCACACATCTGTGCGTTCCACTATTGAATATACCAATGCAGGATTGGTGAGTGTCAGAGAACAACGCCATTATGGTGCTTCGTATCTGCAGCCTTGCGCAAAAATGCTACGTAGTTCCTGT